ATACATACATACATACATACATACATACATACATACATACATACATACATACATACATACATACATACATACATACATACATACATACATACATAACCCCTCTCTCCCTGCCTCTCCCGGTACCCTCCGTCTCTATATCCCTCTCCCTCCCCCCTTACTATCCAAACCGTATCAAACCGTATTATATCGTATTGTACCGTAACATACCACCCAAACTCCCGGCTCGGTACACTCAGTACACTCAGCACGTACAGAAAGTACAAGTATCATAAAACAAGCCAAACCCCCAACGGTTATAGGGGAAAGTAGGCTAGGCTGGGCTATGGATGCTTGTATGTCACGTCTATATGCCAGGGTCTGTCACGGCTACATGGGCTATTCCGTCTCCATGGGCCATCACAGCTACATGGGCTCTCACGTCTACACAGCCCACGACATCCTATCACACACCACATCCTCCCCCCCTTCACCCCCCCCCCTTCACCCCAAACGCGGCGCCGGGAGGAAGCGGCAGAACGGAAGAACGGGAGCAGCGGAACGAGACGCAGGAACGCGCCCCCTCCTTCCGCATTAGATCGGATCCTATCCTCGGAGTTAGACGCGCGTTTGCGTCTCGCGGGCCGGTCCGCTGTCAGTATGCGTATGCGTGGAGGTGGATCGCTGTTGGGGGGGGGGGGGGGGGATTTCATGTGCCTGGCATGTCATGCAGGTTTGTGTGTGTGTGTGTGTGTGTGTGTGTTTTACTTGCATTTGCATTTGCGGTCAAATGGCGGAGTGGGCCGGAGTGGGAGTGAAAAATTCAAGGAGACGTGCGTGCCCAAGTCAAAGACAAAATTTGCAGACATGAAAAGCTTGTTGGTAAAAAGAACAGATATAAATATACATTTTTTTCTTTTGTTCCCTCCCTGAAACAAAAAAAAAGAAAGAAAGGCGAGGGGCTGGAGGCGGGAGATGGGAGAAGTTGGTGGGTATCAAAAGTACGGCGAGTGAGTGATTTTATTGCTTTTCGGCGCGCGGAGAAGGGGGAAGAAGAAAGGGGTTCCCGCCCGGAGGCCGCGGTTTAGGGAGATAGAGAGAGGGAGAGAGACACATACACCCAGAGAGAAAAGAAAATCGTTAACGTCGTCGTTGGGGTGGAAAAATCATAAGCCGGCCGTGACTTTCAGGGGGTTCCGTGTCAAGAACAGGTCCTAGTAATCGACCGGAGCAGGATATTTCGCAGATGCTCGGGCGTATTGATCCGGGTATTTCTTCGCCGCGCGCTGATTGATGGATCTGATGGGAAAAAAAAAAAGTCCTGCATTAGTCGCTGATTGTATCCATATATAAAGCTGGATTCTGGGGAACGGGAGAAAGGGGGAAAGAGGGGGGGGGAAAGGGGGGAAACAACAACGTACGATACACGCTTCTGCGTCCACTCGAGATCGCGCTGAACTTCCTTCGCAGCCTTGATGCCGTCCGCGAAACTAGCCTGTGCGGCCGCGAGACGGCTCCGGGCGAGTGCCTGCAGCTGGAGCAATTCCTGTGTCTTTGCGTTCAATTGGCCGGAGCTGTTTGGGCACGTTCTGTATGTTAGCAATCGTGATTCCGGGAGGGGGGAACTTCGTGTGGGGGAAACGTTACGTTTGGGCCTGTTGGGCGAGCGAGCGGTCGAGGGGGATAGGGTCGTACGCGCCGTGGAGACGGTCGCCCATGTATTCTAGCAGATCGACGCTCGCGGCGCCGCTGCTGCTGGAGGCGGAGGAGTCGTAGTCGCTGGCGCTTCCGGCATAGCTGCTGTTTGAGGCGGCGGAGGGGTCGTAGGAGGCGACGCCGGAGGTGGTGCCGCTGTCGGGGCCTTCGGGCGGGGAGATGGAGAGGCGGCTGTAGAGGCCGGTTTGCTGGGTTGGGTAGCTGGGGTAGTAGTATGGTAGCTGCTGCTGCTGCTTTGGCTGCTGGCTGATGGGGACGGGCGCGGAGGGATAGGAGTAGTAGGTCTGGTTGGACGTCATGATGGAGAGGTGATGTGACTTGTGTGATTGGAGATGAAGGAGGACAAGGTGGATGATGGAAAGTGGATGAGGTCTTGACAAGGAATTGACTATGAATTTGGACAATTGAAAAGAGAAGAAGAAGAAGAAGGAAACGAAGAAATCAAGCCAGAGTGAGGCCCTTTTATAGCTACACTGACCGGCTAGAGCAAGGATTGACTGATCGGGGGCATCCGTTTGATCCCTTCTACCCTCCGCTCTCGACGAGAAGCCCCCGCTCAAAACAGTGATAGAGCGGCATGAGTGAGTAACCTATGAGAGAAGGCTCCGCTCGCGCGGCGGCGAGTGAATGGCCAGAGAAGGGGGTGCATGTTTGGGTGGCCTCGGGCGTAGACGCATGCGGATCCACGGCCAGATGCATGTCCACGGCAATTGGAAAGCAACAATTGGTCCCCGGGCAGGGCCTAAGAGGACGAGACAGAAGTTCGTATCAGTTAGAGGACAAGTTAGCGTTGGGCGGCGGGCACGAAGGACAGAAGTGGCGGGAATGGGAAATGGGAATAGGCTTGCATGACAAGGGGGAAACGAAATGATGGTGAGAGGGCCGAGCCAGAAACAGAGGCACACACAAAAACGGAGACGGCAGGCTAAGAACAGGCGCAGAATGGGTCAAAGCAGTGAGCGGTGATGCAAGCGGAGTATGCTGCAATTGAAAGTGAGTGGTAGATAGGAGAGTGGTGGTAGAGGGCGAGTGTTGTCAATTGATGTGTTGTCAAGCCGTAGCCCTGTCTGTAGCAGGATCCACCAAGGGACCATCAGCATCTGTCAAGGGGCATTTGGTGGTGCAGCCCGACGACGACAGCGACTGGGGAAAATAAGCGCGATGACGAGTAGCAAGCAGGCAATGAGAGAGTTTAGCTAAGCCAGTAGCAGCATAATGATGAGGCATGGAAGCATGGATCAATTGACTTGTCCGTCGTCCCTCGTAGTCATCATCATCCATTCTTCGTCTCCCTTTCACTCGGTAGTTCTGACGGGTAAAGATGACAGGGCGGAAATTATGATGGATAATTTACGTAAACTATAATGGTAATAAACGTGTAAAGTATAAAGGGTGCGTCAAGTCTGGGACCGATTCAAGAGAGTTTTGGACATAATCTTAAGTCGAAAAGTGGAAGTCACGAGTCATCGGGTCGCGCTTTCTGTAATACTAGTAACTACGTCAAGGTTTAAGGTAAGGCTGCCGTCCAGGCATCAACCTTGTTGCCTTGTCGCCTGCCCCCTCAGGGTTTATTGAAGGCGACTCGGCGAGTGGTCACAACGTTAAACTTACCTCGGCCACTGTTTAGAGATGGCGAAACAGCAATTAATTCGTGAGCAGCACGACTGAACGAATGAAAGATATAGTCACGTCAGTGTTCATAAATGTATGAACTTGAAAGGACAGCCGTCTATTAACCACGCACTCATCATGCGGATATCCAAGTCCCAACACACCCTTAGTGAGTATATATATATATGCAACCCGCTCGAATCCCGCAGCAATAGGCAAGCAATACAAGAAAGAAAAACCAACCAACAACAACAACAATGGAAAAAAAAGACTATGCCACTCCAAGGGCCGTAAAAACACAGGCTCAAGAAAACTCGTGATTTGCTCTCCCTAGGCCTTCCTCCTCACAATGCGTCCCGCATGTCGACGCTCATGGTACTGGCATTCCCGCCTCCCATGCTCAATGCTCCACTCATCACCCTCACCACCTTCTTCTCCTTTGGCCGTGCGACAAGCACTTGCGCCGGACAGACGACAATCTCGTCCTCGCCCTCTCCATTGTCATCCCCTTTCTTGACCACAAGCGGGAACAGCACCAGTCGCACAACCGCCCCGCGCTGTTCCAGTTCTTCGTTTGATGACGTCTCGCCCGACCGCTCATTCATAAGCGAGGCGTTGAAGTGCACCTTGCGCACAAGCTCGCCGTGCTCGTCGTAATCAGGCTGCAGTGGCGGTAGCATAATGTATTCGGCACGCTGGCTGCGCATTTCGATCGACAGCGTGATTGCCAGTCTGAGGATGTTGCGCAGCGACTCTTGGATCCCCGTGACAGCGTCGCGTGGTGGTGGTAGTAGACGCGCGAGCGTGCTGTAAATCTCGTGCACCACAGCCTCCGTGTCCTGTGCGCGTTGCTCTTGGAATGCTGCACGCTTGCTGAGCAGTGTAAGGGTGATTGCGCGCCATTGGGCGACTGCACGCTGTGGCCCGATTTCTTGTAATTGCTTTTCCAGCGCCTTGAGCTTTTGCCGCTGGTCGCGGTCCATGCCGAAAAGATAGCGAGTAAAGACGAATTCCCACACCATGGTCATAACTACACTCATGAAGACATCGCGGCGCTTTTGCCGGTCTTCCAACAACACGTCAACTTCAGATCCGTCGAGGATGGCGTTGTCGAGCCGGCCTTCGGTCTTCTCGTCATTGATTTGCGAGGACAAGAGGCATTTACGCTTGTCCGAGAGCTTGGAGAAGCGCAGGACCCAGCCCTGGACTCTTTCGCAGAGTTTCTGACAGGCCGTATCAAAGTAGTCCTCGTCACGCACGGTGAGGAAGCTTTCGCCTTCTTTTGTTGACAGAATCTTGGATTTGGTGCGCTGGATTGTCACCAGCGCAGCTTGCAGCTCGCCATTCAGTCGTTGAATCTCGGCGTTCTTCTCCGACAGTTGCGATTCAATCTCACCGCGAACAACAGTCTCGTAACTCGACTTCATTCGTTCGTTTTGGGCACGCAATGCTTCCAAGGCCAGGATGGATGCTTGCCATTCCTTGTTCGCATGCGAGCTCTCGGCCTGCAGCGTCGCATAGCGTTCGTTGGTGTCGGCGGTGAGGTTGCGATTGGCCTCGGTCAACTGATCGTTGATGAGAGTCAGGCGGTGGACCTCTTCTTGCATGGCCCGCAGCGTTTCCGTAAGTTGGGCAATTTCGGCATCTTTGGCACGGATGTCCTGGTCACGTGCCTGGACCTGTTCAGAGATGACTTGGTGGTCGAGAGCACGTTGTTGGACGGAGTGATGGATGTTTTCCTCGGCGGCGCGTCGGGCTTCCTGCAACTTTTGGTTTTCGGCTTCCATCATACGAACTTGTGCCTCGAGATCCATAATTTGCATGCTTTGTCGCTTGCGCACGCTGGGTGGTCGCGTCGGCGACATTGGCGAGGCCTGCACGTGGCCCAATCCCTCCTAAGGCGCGTCAGCTTCTGTGTTTTCCATCAAATATATTTGGCGAGCAAAACTTACGTAGACATCGTCCATCTCAATGGCGCGACCCTTACCCTTATCCTTCCTGGGATCATAGGTGGATGCGCGTGCGGTGCTTGTTGTTTTGTCGAGAGGTGATGGTGTTTGTGGTTTTGCGATCGAGGGTCCAGCGCTACTGCCACCGCCACCACCGCCACCACCGCCACCACTCGGTCCTGCCTCGCTTAATCGGGCTTGGGCTCTTAGGTCACCTGACACGCTCCTGTCCACTCGTCGTAAAGGCGGAGTGGCTGATCGATTGCTGACTGAACTCAGGGGTCGCAGATGCTCAGCAGTCTTGTACTTGCTGCTACTGCCTCCCGATCTCTCGCTGACCGCAGACAACGGCGATGCGATCCGGGGCGACGGCTTGACTGGATCAAAGTCACCACTGGCTGACCGTGAGTGGCGTTGTGAGAGTGATCCACGCAACGGACTGAGTGTGAGATGTCGGTCCGTCCCAACAATCCCCTTTTCTTCGTCAATCTCAGGCCATGGCATCGACTCAATGATTTCATCTGTTGATAGCGGCGAAATGTCACGCTGATACTTGCCAAGTGGTGTATGGGGAGGTGACCGCTGCTGTGACTGCGACACCTGCTCCTCCTGTAACGACGCGCGCACCTTTTTACGTGACTTGACTCCTCTTTCCGGTGCACCGACATCGCTAATGTCCCGGTTCTTCTTGCTTAACGGCGAATCATCCGGACTGTATTCGCGGATCGTGTCGAGGGGCACGCTGGGGGATCGTAAGTGTCGAGTTGGTGTAGCTGTGTATGCTTGTCGCTCGACATCAATCGTAGAACCGTCCCCAAATACTGACCGCAACCCCTCTTCGCCTTTGAGTGGCGAGTCCATCGAAACATCTTGTTGCTCGATGCTTGGTAAGATACGATGCTGGCTGGCTGGGAATGATGGTGGTGATACTGCGCGTTGGGGTGGCGTTTCTCGCATTCGTTCTGTAGCAGGTGACTCAGTGGGCGTTCCAAATTGAACAGAAGGTGATGATTTAAACAAGTACGAGGCACGCTGCTTCGTAGTCGAGTCAACGGCGGAAGGTGTCGTCATACCTGGACTTCCACTAGGAAGTTGAGGACTCTCTTCTTCTACAGCCCGGGAAATGGATTTCTGTGGTGTCATGTTTTCCTCGCTAGGACTGTTATATAGTGCTGCTGAAGATTCGTGCGAAAGTCTTTTCTTCTTCACAGGCAACTCCCACCCAACCTGACTGTTGTTGTTTGATTTATCGTGAAATACATCTGTTTCCGCCGGAGGGGTGGTCATCAACTCGGGCGTTCTTTGCTCTATTGTATTGTTCAACTCGTCCTTGACCTCTGGCCTTCCTTGTCGCTCCATACTGTTCCCTTCAACATTGTTACCTGTCGGGTCCACCGTCGGTGTCAGTGGCGTATCGTGATACCCACTATCTCGGACCGTGTTTTCATTAGTTGGGCCTGACGCTATGGTAGGGGAGTCATCAATATGCAAGGCACTGTCCCGCGTCTCAGCTGGGAATTCCCAGGACGGCTCTTGGACGTCCCTTAGACTGCGATCACTTCGTACTTTGTGAAGCTCCGACTCTGGAACTGCCAAGACTGCCTGCTCTAGTGGTGCATTTACTTCACCTGATATTGATAACTTTTTATCGACCGTGGAGCCAGTCGTCGTGCTCTCCTCCGGTGTCTTCTCGGGTAGATGTACGCGTTTCTCCTTCGGCTCGAGTGCCGTTACTGATGCTGGTGCGCGGCGCTTGACGCGTTCTACTCCGGGGAAGAGGTCTGCAATCTTGGATCCACTAGGTTTCAGTTTCGCACTTTCGTCATAAGGTGAGCGCGCTCGTGGACCGTCTTCAGCGGTGAGTTTCTCAGTCGATGCCTTTGACGGTTCATCCTTTGGCTCGACGTCTTGCTCTCGAGCTTTATCTTCCAAGACTTTCGAAATCGCTGCCCCTATTGCAGCTCCCACTCCTATGTCTTTTGCCGTGTCGAGCACGTCGGTTGCAGGTGTCACCGAGCCGCTGTTCTTTTTTCCTTTTCTCCCTTTCTTGCTTGACTTTCTGGAGGGTATAGAGCTTGCAAGGTAATCATGCTCGACAGGTATGGACTCTTCCGGAGCCTTGTTCTCAGCGGTGGTCGATTGTACGTCTAAACCAAAGGCGGCTTCATCCACTTCCTTTTCTACAGGTGTGGCAGATCCCGACTCTTGCGCCTTTTGTGCCTTCTTGCCCTTCTCGCCTTTCTTGCCCTTCGGGTTTGTTGTCAATTCCTTGTCCTTGTCCTCTGCTTCGACAACCAAGTCTTTTGGAGTATCTAGACCGCCCTCGTGAGGAACCTCGGTGGAATGAATGTTACTCCCCAGAGCGGTAGAAGCAGCTTCAAAATTTTCCATTTCTTCGGCCCAGTCGAATGCTTTTGAAGGTTCCCCGACCTCTGTCTGCGATTTATCCGTGGTCGATGTCTCCAAGGGTGTCTCAAATTCTCTTGATAATTCAGACTGCGCCTCTGTAGGAAGGAGATCCTGAGTGCTAATTACTTGGTCAGATGAGGCAGTATGCCCTTCAATAGCTTCTTGCGGCATGTCGACTTGGTCCCCCTTAGCCCTCGCAGGTTCGGCAGTTGCATCAATGGTCGAATCAACGATGTTCTTCGGCGAAATAGACTCGATGGCGTCGGAAGTGCTGGAGCTAAGCGATTCTTGTTGAGCTTTCTTGCCTTTCTTTCCCTTTTTGCTCTTCTTGATTGGCTCAGGGCTCCATACGTCTTCAACAGGTATTTTCATTTGTTGTTCATCCTCGAGCGCGGGATGGTTTTGTACGACGTCGTTGACCGCTGTAGAATCGTTTTCGGGCTCTACTTGCGTTTCGGCAATGGGATGTTCAACATCGCCTTTCTTGGGGGCATCGAGTGTCAAGGATTCTACATTATCCAGTGCATCCTTCAGCTCAGCTGAGACAGGCTCTTGTGGCGTCACAGGCTGACTGTTGCGTCCTTTCTTCTTCTTCGGCCTTTTCATCCATGAGCCATCCTCGGGCTCAATTGGTAACGCCTCAGCCGGGGACGACCTTCCAGACGCCGTGCTGAGTCCTGCAGCAGCAAGACCTGCAGCAACAATGGCATCAAAAGACGAATCGCTTGGCAAGGGTACATCGAGTTGAGAAGATATGCTCGCCTCGCCTTGCTCGGGAGTGTGAGAGGCACTGAACTCATTTTGAGAATTACCACGGTTCTTTTTGCCTTTCTTGGCCTTCTTCTTTGATGTCGTAGTGAATAACTCTTCCGCTTCAGGCTCGATGGCGGACTGTGGAGGAGAACGCTGGAGAAAACTAGGATCTGTCGTAATTATATTAGAATTAAAGCCAGCGTCTTCTAGACCTGCTGCGACAGTGGCCGCAAAGTCAACATCGCTCGGAGATGGACTGCGTTTCACAGGAACTGGAGCTTCTTGTTCGGGTTGCGTCAAAGTTTCCAAGCTGTTCGAGTCTTTAGTGACTTCATCAGGCAAAACTCGACTATGGTAGCCCGAGTCTTGATGTGTGGACGCAGATAGGGAGTCAGCGGTAGGTTCCACAGTTACGTCTTCATCCACTTTAACAGCCTTTTCACTGCTCCGCTGATCCACTAATTGAGAATCAGGTGCATCAGTAGGGACTTCAGGCTCAGACCAGGATATCGATTTTGTTTTCTTGGACTTCTTCTTCTCCTTTTTACTGGATGTCCTGCTAACACTGGCCGACGGAAGATCTTCTTGGACTGTCTCAATTGGATTTGCCTCGATGTTCGAGATCGCAGGCTCTTCGACAACCGGCTGCATGACTTCCGATGTTTCTTTAACTGTATCGGAAGTCTTGGCCATTAAATCATTCCCGGCCTGTTCGGAAGATTCAGCAGTCTCCGAAAGGGTTTCTTTGTTCTTCTTCCCTTTCCTTTTATCCTTCTTACTTTTCTTCGTGGGTGCTTCGATCGCGGCATCATTTGGGATCGTAACCTGATCAAGTGTATCAGAAGCATCTGCATTGGTCGCTTCGACGGGGGCGGGAACGTTGGAAGAACTCGGGGAATTGAGATCGCGTGTCGGACTTGAAGGCCTCACAGCAGCAGCTACCAAGCCCCATGGGTCGCTTATGGTTGGTCCTGACCGAGGCTCTTGATCCTGCTTTTGCTCATCCAAAGTGACAGATTCAGAAGCAGGTATTTCGGCGGCAAGCGGCGTTGCAGTAGGCAGAACAGGATTGGCCTCTTCGATGTCATTAGCTGGGTGTAAAGATTGCTCTTCTGTGTAAGCAGAGGCCCCTAGCTGCGGGACTGACTCCTCCCCTGTGGTTCGAGAAATTTCAGAAGTTGGTTGGTCCACGGAGGATATATTTGGTGGCGAATTGGACCTAGCCTGATCTGTGAGAGCTGCTAAGACTTGTGGCTCGTCTTCTTCTTTGATCGGTGTTTCATTTGATTCTGTGATTGCGGGACGAAGAAGTGAACCTGTCTCTTCCGTAGCCTTATAATCCTGAAGTTCGGTAGCGACTTGTGAGTCTTCCACGAACGAGAGTGAAGAGTTGTCTTCCACTGGCAAAGGAATTTGCACAGGGTCCACCGTAGTCACTTCTGGCTCAGGTTTGGAAGTTTCATGCGCAGGCTCTGGTTCCATGCTTGTATCTGGCTCGTTTTGTTTACCTTTCTTCCCCCTTTTCCCTTTCTTCTTTTTCGATGTTGAAGCTTTGGTATCTTCTGGCTCGGGATCAGGCCCCGCAAGACTATCGACAGGTTTATCAGAGGGGACGCTTGGCGTAGCCTCGCCAGCACTCTGGACGGACACCGGGACAGAGCTAGCCTCTTGAGAGATCATCTCTTTACCCTCAGTAATTGTGGCTCTGGGTACCTCTGTTTGTTCTTGTGGTATGTCGACAGCGGTATCGTAGGTAGACGTGCGCTTGCCCTTCTTTGATTTCTTTCCTTTTTTCGGAGGTTCAGCCCATATGTCCTCCGCCGCAGTCTCAGCTGGCTTGGCGGCTTCTGGTGTGAGCTCGACAGGCCCAGGCGCAGGCTCGGAAGGCTCTCTTGTCTGTTGCGCATCTTCAACTGGAGCGTGGAAGTGTTCGTCTGCATCATTCTGGCCTTGCTCCACCGTCGAAGTCAAAGAATTTCCCGCAGGTTCGTTCCAATTTTTTGCACGCATGAAAGCGTCAAGCTCAGCTTTGTCTATCGGCTCAGCATCTAGGCCTTCTGTAAGATCATCACGAGTTATTTCGGCAGAAGCTTGCTTAGAATCGAGATCTTGTAAATCGTCCTTCTTCATGTCAGAGTCGGAAGGTTGGTTCTCTACCGGAACAGGCGTGGCAATAGTAAACTCAGGTACCGAAACGTCAGGGCCATGGTGCAACATTCCTTCCGTGGAGTCTGCAGAACCTTCAACTGGTACATCTGTAACGACGGTGTCAAGAGGGCACGTTGGGTAGTTCTCGTCGGTCGTGCCTTGCTCTTGAAGCTCGGGTTCGATCTTGTCGTCAGTCTGCGTGGACTTACTTGGCTCATCTTCTGTGGTACTTGACTCTTGAGGAATAGACGCGGTATCAGCTAGCGAGGTCTCCGGTTCCGGAGGCACAACAAGGCTAGAGCTACGTTTGTTCTTCTTTCCTTTCTTGCTCTTTTTGGGTGCTTCGGCCACCTCCTCGTCCAAGTTGGGTCCGTCTGGAGCGGTGGGTGTGACAGGAGTTGGATTTTCGGTTATGCTTAACTCTGCATGTACAGGCGCGATCTCTGCCGACAAAACGTCCGGCTCCGTAGGGGTAACAAAGCCAGAGCTGCGTTTGCCCTTCTTTCCTTTCTTAGTTTTCTTCGGTACGGGAGCAATAGAATCTTCAATTTGGGGATCGAGAGGAGTAGTGGATGTGTTGTCCGCGACTTGATCTTCAACCTGCTCAGGGCTCTGAGCAGATTCATCTTTAGTTTCAGGGCCGTCGGGCGAAATGTTCTCGGCAGGATTTTCGGGGACCGCAGGAACTGTTTCGATAGGTACAACAGTGTCGGTTAGCAAGGTCTCGGTAGGTTGGCTCTCAGCACTCTCTTTAGCCATGGGCACCGCTTCAACTGCTTCTACGGGCACAGCCGTGTCAATAGAGGACGGCAAAGGGTTCTCGGGCGCATTGTCCTTTGCGGGCAGCTCATTTGGTGATGGCCCAACGGTGGCGCTCGCATCTGTTTTTGTTTGAGAGGCCGATGTGGTGTCAAGAGTGCTAGGATCTTGCAGCTCTCCGGGAATATCTTCCTTAACAGCCTCCTCTTTGACAGGTTGTTCTGTAGCAGCTTCTTCCGCAACAGCTTTTTCTGCAGCGGCGTCTTCTGCAACAATCGGAGACGCTATTGCTGTGGTGCCACGTTTCGCCTTCTTTGCTTTCTTTCCTTTCTTGCTCGACGCATTAGCCTTTGACGTATCCTCAGTTCCAGCAGAACTCTCCTCGGGCACTGGCATAGTAGACATTTCTTGTGTATCATGAGGAATCTTCTCGTCCGTTGCGACTTCTCCAGCCAAAGGATTGGCATCTTCCTGCGAGCCGATAGGAACTGAAGTCTCTTCAAGTTTTTGCTCATCAGCAATGGAGCCGCGCTTCGACGCCTTGCCTTTCTTGCTCTTCTTCTTCTTAGACGGCTGGGACTGAATATCGGGCTCGGCTGTAGGGTTCTGCGACTCAGCTACGAATGGATCTTGGGGAATGGTCTGGGCAGCCTTTAGATCTGGGGATGCTGGTAGTTCGTACGTTTCAGGTTCTCTAATCAAACGGTGGTCATCGTTACCATCAACAGGGTCGGACTGTGGATCTGGCATTATGTCGCTCATCACTGCAACTGATGAGTCAACATCTTGGGGGGATACCTGAACCTTGGGAACTTCTACATTTACATCTGACTGGGCGGATAACGACTGTTCTAGAGCAACGTCTTCCTGTTCAGGGGTAATGTCTTGGTCCTCGGAAGGAACATCTTGCTGTTCAAGTGAAACGTCTTGCTTGTGGACAGGCGTGTCTTGCTGTTTAGAGGAATTGTCTTGGTCGCGAAGAGCATCTTGCTGTTGTAGAGGAGCATCCTGCTGAACTGGGACTTCTTCACTCGGTGTCTGTGTACCAGACATAGACTTCTTCTTGCCCTTTTTATTTTTCTTGCCTTTCTTTGCTGTCGTAGGCCATTCCTCCTCGATCGGATCGGACTGTGCCGGCTGATCATTCGACGATGCTGCCTCGGTGGCGACTGGGACTTCGGTGACAGCACCTCGGTCGGTTATACTTTCAGACTGCGTGATAGCACCAGCTTCGGCCTGCGTATCCGCTGTGTCTGGTACGACTTCTGACTCGACCACGGTCGATTCGGCATCTTTGTCTTCGATGGGCTGTGGTAGCTCTTCTTGAGGCAGGTCTGATGCAGGAGAGGAAGATTTAGTAATTTCAGGGGCAGTGTTTTCGAGAGCATCGTGGTCAGCTTGAATACTTTCATCGCCGATAATTGAAGGTTTGTCTAATGTCTCTTGGGAGTCAGACGTAGCAGGCTTGTCGAGAGTAGAAGGGGGTTCTGCCGGTGTGCTATTACTAGGCACCGGATCCATCGTTGAGTCTGCTACATCTGTGCCAGACTTATTGGCTTTGTTTTTCTTCCCCTTCTTGGCCTTCTTGGTCGGTTTTCCCCATTCATCTGGTTGAACATCGGCAGTCTCAGCAGAAGTAGCAGGCTGTTCGGTCGCCTCTGCGGCTGTGGCAACCACAGGAATTGTAGTAGCAAGTATCGTGTCCTGGCTGAGATCGCTGGGCGCATTTATTGGCTCTTCGATTGCTGAATCTTTTGGTGTTGTTGTACCGGATGCCTTGTTCTTCTTTCCTTTCTTGCCCTTCTTTGGCTTTTGCGAGGTCTCTTCCCGGTCATCCTGAGCAATCGACTGATTGTCCGTTGGGGGACTTGGATCTTCGCCGGGTACAGGCAGTGCAGCTTCAATCTTTTGAGACTCGTCATTCTCTATACGCTGTTCGGGCTCAGTCGCAGCGCCGCTGTCAGTCTGTACTACATCACCAGAGAGATCCTCGGCTTGCTCTGAACGCGACAAGTCTGCACTGTTGGGTGTCGGCTCATGTAGGTCAGTCGGGATAGGATCATGAACCAAACTTGCTGCAGGTAAGGGCTCTGGCTGGACCGCTGCCTCGGAGGATACAGAACCCTTTTGGGCTTTAGCTTTTTTGTTCTTCTTACCCTTCTTCTTGGCAGAAGCTCCCAAGTCATCGCTGACAGCCGTAGTGCTATTGTCTAGCTGCTTCTCAGAGCTACGCGGAGAATCTTCACCTGAGGGAGTTTGAGCCGTGGCGGAGGAAGGGTTGGCTTGTTCTTCAACTACTTCGTGAGATTCGACATTTGTCACAGTTGATGGCTCTGACGGTGTATCTGATCTTGCAGCCGGCGTAGTGCCAACGGGTTCTTCGGTAACTGTTTTACGTTTTCCTTTGCCCTTCTTGCTCTTCTTTGACTTCGAAGCCCACTCGTCATCAGCTACATCGTCTTTTGGTGTGGTTTCGGCTGACGGATCTGACAGAACTACGAGCGCTGACGCCTGCTGGGCTGTAGAGACTTCATCACTTGATATGATGGAAGACGGTTCCAGGGTTTTGGCCTCATCGGGTATTTCCACCGTATCGGCTGCGGCGATTGCAGAAGTTGTGCCGTCCGGATTGGCGATCAGAGACTCATCATCGTGGGCTGCAGTCTTACTTTCAGCCTCCTTACTCGTGGGCAATGACTTGTCGATATTTTCAGAAACGATGTCCCCGCTTTTCAGTTCGTCCACATCAGGACCGGGGGTAGCCCCACTCTCTGGAAGTATTTGAGTTTTTTCAAGAGGAAGCGCTGTGAGAGGTTCTTCTTCGGTTTCGAAATTTTGCGGTAGTGAAGTAGAGAGTGAGTCTGTGCCTTCTGCGAGGAGTTCTCGGGTTTGTTCGGGCTCTCTGGGACGATCTACATTTGAGACAGGCTTGTGCTCGACTGACATGTTCCGTACATCATGAGCAAGCTGATGGTCAATTGCTGGTGATGTGGAATCTTTGGTTGTCGGAATTCCCTGATCCGTCATGATCTCTTGCACAGTTTCTACGGCAGCCGGGAGATCCTGTGCAGAGACAAGTTCTCCCTTTGGCTCGGGTTTTGCTTGAGAGGCCTCAACCGGTGTGCTCTTCTTTGCCCACCATCCACCCAAAAGAGCACCTCCCCAACCACTCTGGCCAGACAGTATCGTGTTGAATCCATGGCTGACAGTGGCAGTATTATTGCTTGATCCTGTAGACTGCTGAGTCTGTGAATCATCTCGTTCGCGATCGGCTAATGTGAGACTAGATTCTGAAGCCTTTTGGTGGACGTCACTAAGCTTTTCAGGCGTGGTCACTCTTGATGACTTATCGTCGATAGTCTGGTCGACAGGCACGACAAGGGCGCTTGGATCAACGTCAGATGTTGATTGTTCAGCGGAGATGGTAACATCCAGTGGAACGGTTGCTTCTTCGCTAAACTCAAGACTGGACGGCTTTCGTTTCTTATCTTTCTTCGACTTCTTCCTCGATGCTTTAGACGTCGTAGTTTCAGGTACTTCAGGCTCAGCGTCGGTCGTTTCCACAGCAGTAGAGGGTAAAGTACTAGACTTCATGGAGTCTTTGTCTTGGGTTTGTGCAAGAGATTCGGTCTGTGGTATCGAAGTCTCCACTTTCGAAACATCGTCGAGCTCGCGTGACTCTTCTAGCTTGGTATCTACGGGCGAAGCTTGAGATACTGTCATCTGCGACAAAGCTGACTCTTCAGGTATGGACGCCGAGACTTCTTTTGCCTCTTCTGCAATAGCAGGAACATCAGGTTTGACTTCCTCTTGTCTATCGGGTTGGTTCGACTTGGTATCATCTAAATCTTCCTTTATCGTCTCATCAGCAACCTGATCTTGAGTGGGTTGGTTGTTTTCCGCTGATGTAGAGCCCTGCGAAGCTTCGGTCGAGTTTTCAGGGATCACATCTTCGCTTATAGAGAGTCCACGCTTGCCCTTCTTGGCTTTGCCCTTCTTCTTGCCTTTGCCGACAGAGTCTCTTCGCATGAGCGCATCAGGCACCGTTGATGTAACAGTCGGGCTTGGAGGCACCTTCTCGGCGTCGGACACCGATTTTGGGGTTTTAGGCGTCGATGGCTCTTCGTACCAGCTGTCGACGCCAAAAGCGGCATCTTGTTCCCTCAGGGTCTGTTGTTCTGCGAGAGACATTTCCATTGGGACTCCAGGCTCGGACACGGATTCTTTGCCCTTCTTTCCTTTCTTGCTCTTCTTCGAGGATGTGCGTGAAGGGGTGATGGGAGCTTGGGGCACCGACTCTTGGGTAGCGGACTTGGTAGGGGCGAGATGAAGGTCTTCATCATTAGGCTCCCCAGACATGAAGTCATCGATGTCACATTTTGCCTCTTGCAAACTCGATTGCTCCGAAGTTGGCAGCTCTTGAGAGGGGATCTGAGTTTCATGTACATCCATCGACGGTACGTCTTCTTTTTTGTGGTCTTTCAGCAGCTCATGGGCAACAGCTGCAGCGGAGCCACCGATAAGAATAGCAGTCGCAGCGTCCTCTAAGGACTCAGACGAGAATGACTTTTCTTGGGCGTCGCGAATCGACATGTCTGTGCCGCCTTGCTTCGAAATTTCTTCAGCCAACGCGTGAGTTAAGTCTGTATGTGGAATGGCATGTGAATATAACGCCTGTTCATCGTCCTTCCCATCATTGTCGCCGCCGAGCATCATTCGCTTGACATCAGACGGGAATTCACTCGCCTTTGGAGTAGCCTGCTGGCTATCCAGAAAGTCATCAGTGTTGTCGTGGCCTACAACAGAATCGTCCCCTCGCTTGCTTCCTTCGGGACTATGAAAGAACTCCGAACCGCTTTCGTCTGGGTGCTCAACAGCACTTTCCCAATTGTCAGCGCTTTCGTTTCCGGATGAGCCTTGGAGTGAGGGGCTGCGACTAGAAGGTACACTTGGAGGTAAGCTAGGTAGCGATTCTGGCTCATGCTCAAGTACTTTCCCATTTCGCTCGAGAAGATATAGTGGACGTATTTCAGTGATGTGCTTTTCTGCGGACTGCCTCTTCATATCGGCGGAGCTGCCTCGCGAGTGTCGACGATGAAACTCCGGGAGCGATGCAGGAGGGCTCATCGCCGAGGACGAACTCCACGATTCGCTCCTGGCATAGGTGGGCGATGCAGGTGGACGGCGAAGCCAGTGAAATGGAACAGCGGTAGTTGAGGACTCTCGCAGTTTTGACAACGAAGGGGGTGTTTCCAGATCCGCGAGCTCGTCAGGAGACGAAGCTGGCAAAGGTGGAAGGTCTCCAGCAAGGGGCAAATTGATCGAAGCTGGCGATGGAGGTCCGCTGGAAGGTAGAGGAACACTTTCAGGATAAGATGGATCCTGATATAGGTCTTCGATGCTGTGAAACTCTGGAACCGGCTTTGTTACGGCCGGGGTGGTGGAGAGGTTAACGGGCAATTGAGTTATCTCCACCGCCCGCTCACCTAAAAAAGACTGGTCTTGAGAATCACGGCCCTTCTTCTTTTCTCTCCGTTCGGACTTGCGATCGTCGTCATCCGATCCGTATGAGGATCCTGCAACGGAACTTCGATGTCTTCGCTCGCGTCGCTCGCCTTTGCGGTCGTCATCATCAGACCCATAGGAAGACCCTGCTACAGAACTTCGATGTCTTCGCTCACGTCGCTCACTTTTCCGGTCGTCTTCATCGGACCCATATGTGGAACCTCCAGTAGAGCTTCGATGCTTCTTCTTCCGCTTCTTGTCGGGATCGTCTTCTTCGTATCGTGAGTCTTTGGATCTTGACTTGCTCGTGCTAGCGAGACTATCAGTCGACTTCAGTCCGCTAAGCAATCCAAAAAGGCCTCCTTTCTTCTTCTCCTTGTCATCATCATATTTCGCAGGAGAGGAGACGACAGAGGCAGCATCGTCAAAATCACCGTTATCGCGCCTCGACTTTCTTCGGGACTTGTGTGAGCTCTCGTACAAGTCGCCAGGTTCAGAAGCAGCTGACGACTTCTTGTACTTGTCTGATGGAGATGTAGATCTTCCTTTCTCACTCTCCCGACGCCTGTGATGTCTGCCACTACTTTTCTTGTCATCGTCGTCGTCATACCGGTAGCTTGGCTCGGAGGCAATAGAAGATCGCTTATGCTTATCGATAGGTGATGGAGACTTGTCTCGTTCGCTTTCACGACGCCTATGTCTCTTCTTGCGATCTGCATCATCAGCGATACGGTCATCAGGACTCATTTCACGATGTTTCGAGCGTCGACGGTCGTATTCGTCTTCCACGGTAGGGTCTTCGCGAGCAGGACGGCGGTCATAATCGTTTTCTTCTGATTTGTGTCGTTCAGCTCTGCGGCGCTCACGTTCATCATCGTAACGCGATTCGGACTTTACAGATCTTGCATCGTCGTAGAAACTGTCTTCTTTGTCTTTGAGCTTTGAGGACTTTCGTCGCTCTTCATAATTGTCGGATCGCGCGGTTTCAGATTTTGTATCTCGATCGGCGGAGACAGAGCGACCTGACTGTAGGTCACTGGTCACATGCGGTGGGTCTGCTACAGGACCAGCAGTGCTCGGCGCAGGCTTCTCGCTAATGTAATCATCCCAACCAACTTCAGATCGAAGTGGAGATGCTGTTGGGCTGAAGTTCTTGCTTCGTCGCTTACTCCCCCCTTTCCTGCTGGGCGTCTTGACGTCTGCGAGTTCTTCGAGGTCATCAAAAGCGTTACTTGGAATGCTTCGACGCTTTTCCTCCTCGGTCGTAGTAGAATTGTTGCTGTTCTGCAGAGATGCTTGCTCATGACCATTCGTTCCATCGCGCTCGCTGGTACTAGGCGCTGAAGATTTTGCTTTATCACTAGCAGAGCTAAAGACTGCAGAAACGGCGCCTGCCACAACACTTGCCGCAGTCGTGGCAGCAACAGCGTCAACCAAGCCAACTCCACCTCCACGCGGACCGCTACTTTCACCAGGCTCAATGTCTCGGATATCTCTTTCGCTGCTCGCACGCTTCTTTTTCTTCTTGTCCTTCTTACTACTGGACGCTTCCCAGTCATCTGAGGCTGCTGCAGATGACTTCACGTCACGGGTTGAGGTTGAGGCTTCGTCGATCGCAGATGTTGGAGCTGAGTCAGAAGCCGTCGAAGTCTGATCGGCGCTATCCCGCTTCTTTGCCTTGTCCTGCTTTCGCTTCTCTTTCTTTGTAAGGGGTTTGGCAAATGCAGGTCCTGAGTCGGGAGCAGGAGCAGCTTCGGGTTCATCGTCTATGAAACCTCCAGGAATTTGTATGTCGCGTGCTTCGAAGAATTCATCAGGCTCTTCTGTAACCTCACCTTCGACAAAGCCACGGTCTTTATTCAGTGGATCTGTCGGAGTATTTGTGGTTTCCAGCCCAATATCGGATGAGGATTCCACATATGGTTGTTGATAGAGACTGCTATTTCCGCTCCATGCCCGACGAGTAGGCTCGATGACAACAGGTTTGACTTCTGGTGTATGAGACTCATAGACCTTCTCGCTGGGATCATAGTGCCGTGAAGACACAACAGCCTCAGGGCTTGCAGAGTCTTCATATGCAACGTCTCTGGTTCGTGAAGAACTGGGGCTCGACGAAGTATATGCTTGATGTTGTGTCGCGTATGGGTCTGGACGAGTGCTTTCGCTAGACTGGGTATTGTTCTTCACATGACGATCAAGGTCATGCTGAGACATGAATTGATCCCGCGATGACTCAGGAGTCTCTGGTACATAGTGGCGAGTTTCATTGGCACCCCAACTTACTCCTCTCGGTGGCATTGATGCGTATCCAGCTGCCTCGATTGATGCATATTCATCGACCTTCGTAGGCTCGTCGATTGGAGAAGCGGCAGGTGAGGGTGAGCGAGAAAGTCCACTTGCAACAGATGTGGCTCTGCTGGCAGGTGGAGTAGGTGTTATCAAGTTCAGCGCTGGCACGCCATGTGTATCAGAGGACGATCTGTAATTTCCAGTACTGAAGGCGTATGGTAGGTCGTAAGGAGGTTGCCGTGGCGGTTCTATGACCGCAAATCTAGTATCGTGTGCAGAGTATTTGGGAATCTCGATATCCGCATCGGGCGACCGAGACACGTGGGATGGTGAGGCTGTTTTCAGTTCTTCAGGTGCAAAGAAATCTGCCTGGCTCGGAGTTGCCTCGCGGTATCTCTGGCTCAGATCATCTACGACATCATCCGCGGACATCGTGTGAGTTGGTTCTTTTGCCTTTTCGGCATCTTTCTTTGCGAAGTAGTCTTTATCAAAATCCATTTCGGGATGTTCGTCCTCGGCGAATTTTGGAGACTCAACTTTCGATTCGCGTTTCTTTGCCTTGCTCTTCTTACTCTTCTTCTCAGTTCCCTTGTTGTCTTTACTGTTAGAGTCCTTTGATTTTGACGAACTTGCTACTGATGTGGCGAGCGCAGTAGCAGCCGCTCCAATCCCGGCAACAGCAGCAGCCCCTTTCCAATCGCTATTCTTTTCACGTTCTTGAAGTTCCCGTTCACGATTTTCAATGTTCCATGACCTATCGGTACTACCAGTGGATTGAGGCTTTACAAAGGATGCGTCACCCATGAGTTCCTTCTCCAGACGCTCACGATTGAGTCGGCTCTGTTCGAACTCTCTCTCGAGGCGAGCACTCTCATTTTGCGCTGCACTGCTGCGCTCAGCGGCAGAACGAGCAGCCTCTTGCCGCTCGCGATAGATGCGTTCGGTCTCACGATCCATGTCAGCTTTCTCTCTAGACTCCCGAGCAACACGGGCTTGGCGTTCAAGTTCAACGCGTCGCTCCTCCTCCCTCCGAGCGCGGTCGTCTGCCTCCAGCTGATCACGTCGCTTTTGCTTTTCTTCTTCTTCGCGTAGGTAAAGTTCCCGTTCTCTGCGTCTTTGCTCATTGATACGTTCTGCTTCGAGCCGTTCTGCTTCGAGCCGTTGCGCTTCGAGTCGCTGTGTTTCAAGTCGTTGTGCTTCAAGGCGTTGTGCTTCAAGTCGCTGTGCCTCTAATCGCTGTGCCTCTAGTCGTTGTGCTTCAAGGCGCTGTGCTTCGAGTCGTTGCGTTTCGAGCCGTTGTGCTTCAAGTCGTTGTGCCTCGAGTCGTTGCGCTTCGAATACTTGAGCTTCCAGGCGTTGTGCTTCAAGCCGCTCGTCTTCTTCCGCTCGCCGACGTCTGAGGGCCTCTTCGTCTGCGCGGCGACGAGTAATGTCGTATCCTTCTGAGCGTGGCCTCTCTTCGCCCTCAAGCTGTCGCCGGGCTCTCTCACGTTCCGCTGATTTGGCCGCTTCCAACTTGCGCTCCTCTTGCTCGATACGTTCACGTTCCAGTCTGATTTCACGCTCGATTTCTTCGTGGCGGCCGGTCTCGCGTCTCTTGCTCAGATGACCGTCATCACGATCCTCGTCCTTTCGTTTCCTGTGCTCTCGCTCGCGCTCTTCTTTGTTGAGGTCAAATCTCACGGAGCTCGGGCTCTGCGCACTTTGACGACGTTTCTGTGAAATTGCTGCAGCGCCTGCAATAGCAGCTACTCCCGCAATTCCCGCAATCGCAGCATCGCGTTTGAAGGAGCTACTCGTGGGGCTAGAAGCTACGCGCTTTGGAAGTGTAGGACGATTCTCGCGGTCATCTCTGGAGTCGCGAGGGCTCTCCGTGTGGCGATATGAAGGTGTCGGAACGTTTGAGAACACAGGAGGACCGCTCGGTTGGGTGTAATTACCAAAAGAATTTGGTCGGACAAGTGAAGCAGATTCAGAGAGGACATTGCCATTGACAGGTGCGACTGGTTTTGGTTGCTGAAGGGGAACATTGTCGGGTCTGGAGACTATAGGTAGACTGGAGCTGCGAGAGACATCGAAATTGTAGGGGTCAGAAGTCGGTACTGGATAGACAGTCTGCATCGTAGGGACGCTACTAGTACTACTCAGCCCTCCCTCGTGACGGTGAATCGTCGTTCCCACATTTGCGACTGCCATTCCAGCTGTCCCTGGACCGACGTAGCTCTGCTGAGAGTCATACGCTGGAGGTACTGGGCGTTTCTTCTTCTTGCTGCCCCAACGCCAGAGCCATTTGTTGGTACCTGAATCGTTGGACACCAGACTTTCAGTGCTTTTGCCTTTGCCTTTGTAGTCGAATTCGCCGAATGCAAGGCCGGAATTGACACTTGAAGAGTCGTCGTGTTCTACGTCAGAGGCCGACTCCCATCCATCTTCGTCTGCCCCAGCAGACCCATGACTGGTTCGATGATTTTGACTACGCTGTGAGTGATGACGTTTCGTATCACGCACAGCTACGACCTCAGGCTTGCGACCAGTGTTGGTGGACTTCCCGCGCTTGTGCTGGGCAGCAGCGAGAGCAGCAGCCGTTGCACCGAGACCGACTAAAGTAGCGTTGAGTCTCTCGTTGGACGATCTACCTTTCACTTTGCGGGACTTTGAAAAGCCCGCACCGTATGCAAGTCCGGAATCCGAAGAAGAAGACGAAGAGTTTGAAAAATTGAAAAGTCCCTTTCGTGTCTTCTGGTGTGAGTGGTTCTTGCGGTCCCTGGGCTTCTTTTCGGGGGTTGAGAAGAATCCAGCGAATAGGCCTTGGTTAGAGGGTCGACGATAGGGCCGGGAGATGTCTACATAAGAAGAAGCATCCGAGCGCCGAGAACTCCGGTGTTTCTCCTTGTGGTCAAGTCCAAGCACAGATCCGAGGCCTTCCTGACTATGGTGCTTACCACTGCTACTATCGTGCCGGCGGGAGAAAGCTCCGTGCGGTGAATTCGACCGACTGCGATGTTTGGTACTCTTGCCAGTAGCTGAAGCTATGACTGCTCCTCCCAAGGCAGCGCCTATCAGACCGTCCTTATAACTCCTGGAACGAGAGCCCGACCGAGATCTTGAATGGCGTCGGACGGTCTTGTGCTCATCTTTGCGGTCTCTCGATCTCGATCCTGGGCGTCGGGCTACTTTGTATGACTTGCCGTCGCTCGTGAAGCCATTGTCGCGATGCGTGCGCGACGAGCCACCATACTCATACCCCCCAGCGATGCCACGAGAAGTGCGGCTCTTACGATCTCGAGATCGACTCCTGCTACGAGCCGTATGGATTCGCGATGAATATCTGCCAGACTTCACGCTATACGTATCATCAAAGTCATCACGACCCTGATTCCAAAGGGATTTGCCAACTTTGGCGAGGCCAGCACCTGCAAGACCTGTCGCGATCCAGCCGGCTTTGTTACTTTTGCGTCGCTCATTGTCAGAGGAGTAATAATACCGAGAGTCCTTGTCGACGCGAGATCGTTTGTGCTCGCTCGAGCGCCTTCGCGGCGGACCGTGATAGTGATGCTTCCTCGGCGCGTCTTGCACGCTACTATGGGGATCGAAGCAATTGCGACAGACGCCGATGTACTCGGTATACTCCTCCATCTTCCTCACATCCTCGTAGTCCTTCCACCAATCCACAAATTTGCTGATTGGCCCTCTGTGTTCATGACGTTGGTGTGTCGCCGTTGCGTTGGCACCATAAGGCGCTGGTGAAAGTCTGGCAGTGTTGTATGCGGCCCCTGCGGGCAACGGTAGCGAGTTGTGATGATGCGAGCTATGTTGATGAAGCCCATATGCACCCGCTGCAAGTCCAGCCGCCGCATATGGATACAATCCTGGGTTAGAATGAGAGTTGGAGGAGTGCTTACCTGGTTTGGAAGGTGTCCCGGTGACTGTTGGGCCGTGAGGATCCATTGTAGCTTCAGGAGAGGGATGACTGTAGTCGCCATTATGCGCCTCCAAGGAGAAAGCATCGGTGCTGCCAACGGGGCCAGTCGAGGCCTGTTGGTAGAACGTCGAGGGTGGGTTGCCAGAGAGGGTCGCATACTGAGAACTTGATTGGTCATGGGAGCTTGAATGGCCCACTGCATAACCAAGTACAGCTCCACCAGCCAGCGTGGCTGCGCTGCTGGCCTTTCCAGGTTTACTTGGTTTACCTGGTTTGCTCGGCTTGCTCGAGGAGCTAGGCTTCGAGGAACTTGTTTTGCTGGGTTTTCCAGATGACGGCCTTGGGGGCTTGATTGGAGGGGGACTTTCTTCGAAAGTCCCAGGCATATTTTGACTGCCGGGTCTTGGAGGTTTCGGGGGGCCTGGATAGACTGGCGATACTTTACCAGTATAGAAGTCATTTGCGGTGCCTTGGCCAGTCTCAGGTGGCGGATTGCTCGTAGCAGTAGGTGTCATGAGATGCGGATCAGGATTGGGTACTGGTTGATTGGGCCGAATTCCTGGTTGGCTCATGACGGATTCCCCCTGGTCGCCATAGTAGTCTGCAGCAGCACCAAACGGCGACTGGAAGGGTGCTGAATACTCTGTTGGGTTCTGTCCTGGAAACTGCTCTGTGACGTGGGAGGAAATAGGACGAATCTCTGGCGAGACTGGTGCGCCCACCTGTCCGGGAAAAGGTGAAAAGCCGGGTGTCGCAATTTGAGAGGAGAACGTGTCTCCAGCTCGTGGCATGGACGGGGAGTCGACAATCTCACTCCGACTTCCCTTGCCTTCCTTCCGAGTACTTTTGCTAACAGCCTCGTCCCTCTTCCGCTTCTCCTTCTTTTTGTCGTCCCGGTCTCGACTACGAGATCTTTCCTTGCGATCTTTCCTTCGTTCACGACTCGAAGATCTAGCACGTCTACTACGTGTAGACCGAGTGTCATCGTCAATCCTAGACCGCTCGTCGTATTCGGTTCGCGCGCGAGTCACAGTCTCGAGGAGGGAGTCATAGCGACTGTCGGCAGTACGGTAAAGCTCGGGAGCAGTCGCGTAAGAGGATACGGTGGAGTCGGGCGCAGGTGGTGGATAGGTACTTCTAGAGGTAGGAGTGGGTTTATCTTCGCTTCGGCCTGGTTTCCGAGTCGAGCTTGAGGATACGACGGATTCGCGGCGACGCGCCGACGACGAGGCTTTGCGACGGCCATCCTGAGAGGCACTGTCGCTCTTGCCTGTGATTTTGCCCCACATGATGATTTTGGGGATTGAGGGTGGGATATTCGGTTATCTCTGCGGAAAAGGCGAGTCTTGTGGTCGCTCGTTGTGGTGGAACCCAAAACCTTCCGCTGGGGTAAATGGGTGTTTTGTGATGATGGATCAAACAATGGCCGGGGTATCTTCCAAAGGGAAATTCGTTATATCGTTAGGTCGTAGTATGTATACATACGCATGTGCAGATATCGGAGACGCGATCGGAAAGAAAATAAAGAGTGCGCAGGCTCCAAAGATGGATGGACAGGAAAGTTTGAAGAGCAAAAACGTTGGAAGCTTGACTTTGAGGTTGTGTTGTTTGAACCTTGGCGTGGCTGGGACGCTAGTGAGGCGCTAAGGCTGCGATATTTCGATCTTTCGCCACTGATTCATGGATGAGTGAGTCGTAGATTGGAATTGGGCAACGTAAACAAATAATGTCTTGTACCAAGTCTAAGCCTTGTTAATAAGAAAAGGAAGAGTGGATGGCTTCTCGAAATTGTTGGTTTTAATTGCTGCAATCTTTTGTTGTAGATGGTATCTCCCAGTCGCAAGCACAAACACTTGATGCCCAAGCCGACTGACGCTGAGTCCTCATCCCAGCACATAATACAGTTTTCATATATTACAGGTCCTGTGTGCCTTGCTGGTGGCCCAACTTCTTCGCCCAAAAAACGCCACGCTATGCACTCAACTATAAAAGAAGACAAACACGCCTCTAATAGGTGTGTTGTGGCGCTCCGCCCATTTGCGCTCTCAAGGCCATGATCTGCTGTCTTGCATCTGGCGGGAACGCATTGATCTGTTCATCCGTCAATGTCAAGACCCGTTGAAGAAGTTCGGCCTGGTTGATCTGCTCGGCCGCTTGCGGTTGTTGGACCACTGGTGGGGGTTGTTGATATGGCTGGTGAGCCATCGGAGGTGTTGGAACGTGAGAGGGCTGGTTATACTGTGCGTAGTTTGGGAATGCTGGCATTGGTGCCTGAACAGGTTGCTGCGGCTGCGGCTGTGGTGGTGCGACCGGCTGGTTGGAGATGACGGATTGAAGAACGCTGGTTTCGACAAGTCCAAGAAGGAGTAGTGACTGGAAAATAGCATACGATAGCTGCGGTGACTGTACGAGGAGCTCGGTTGCGCGCTGTGGGTTCTGGTTCACAAGGTTCTTCATTTGCGAGATAACGTCGAGAAGCTGGGGAGCAGGTAGTGTGTTCAGAGTCTTGGAGATTTGATCAGGGCATGTGATATCCGGTGGAAGATCTGTACCGGCTGGAAGTGGTGGTAGGGAATTCTGAGGTGATGCTTGTACAGGGCCTTGTCCATTCATGCCAGCGTTGTCACCACCTGTTCCTCCTCCAGACCCATTCTCGTTGGACCAATCGACACGCAGCTTGCGGCCCTGTATCTCGTAGTCGTTCAGGTTGCGGACGGCAGAAGAAGCAGCGTCTTGCTCTGTGAATTCAGCAAAGCCGAAACCTTTGGGTCTGCCCGTTTCTCGATCGGTGACTATGCGAAAATCGACTACCTGTCCAACTCTCCCCAAGAGCTCCTGGATCTCTTCTTCTGGAACACCTGACTACTGTGTCAGTAAGATGGTCTGCGAATATACACCCGTATCTCTCACCGTAAGGGATGTTGCCAATAAAAACCACTCTTCCAGCTTTGTCCGATGCAGGAGGCATGTTGACAGCGCGCAAGACGAGGCAGGCCAAAGATGCAAACACACAAACGTCGAAATCTTAATCCCTTCCAAGTATGGAGTGTATGTGTTCGTGCAAGGTTCGTGGGTTGGAGGATTTGAGTGTCTGTAGTGAAGAACGGTGATGCGACGCGAACAAATAAAATGTACCAAGCCAATCTAGGTAGCATAATACTGGTAGTGAGTTTGATGCTGACAAAGAACGGGCCTGGGGTCCGTGCACTCTCATCCAATGCTAAGCTACTCTTCTTCTTCATCGAGATCAAAGTCAAAATATATCAGTCAGAAAGCAAGCATGTGAATCATCTATTCGATACATTGGCCAATCGATACATCCCAAAGCTCTACTACCACGGCCACGCTATCTGCATATCCAATCACCCTTCGAAACTCGTCATGTCCAGGGCAAAAGATGCTACTAGTAGCATAAGCATCGCAGATGCAATGTCTAGTAATTTCTACAAGACGTCCTACTACGGACATCGTTCTGTCGCAGCAAATATCACTCATAATAGTCGTCACTGGAATCCCGCGTGAACAGTCACAGATCATCGAACTTGCGTCTGCCACAAGAGCTTCTCATCGACCCTGTTCTCATGGTTTCAACTTTCGCACGTAGTCATCCGCGTCCACGGCAACTTGGAGACAGCATCTTGCTGTATTCATTGTGATCAAAGGCACAAAGATCTTCCAATTGCAACCAGGCAGTAGAACTTTCGCGCCGACAAGGCCGCTAAACAACCATCGCAACAAACTGCATGCTTCCTCTATACGTTGTCGAAAACGTCATAAACCCTCCACCATCGATTCATTTCCTAGCCTCACGCAAGATGAATCGAGCATAACAACCCCAACGACAGCTAATCGCTGATCTGCTCCCGGTCTGTGTGGTTTCTGATGACTGGTCAATGGCAAATGGATCGTTGGCAAATGCATGGACGGATGACGCCGCTAGCGCCAACTCACCAGGCATCACTCAAGGCGTCCCTCAGCTCTGCAGAGATACCGCATCCCCGCAACCAGGCCCCCAGCTCTGAACTCGGGCATCATGCACCAATTGCTGTAGTAGATATGAGGCACTGCCTACAATAATGGGGATGTTGTGTCGATGCGTCAGGCCGACACCGCATAGGCACCGCCACCACCTGCGCGCACATGCTAAGCCGTTTGGGGCCATCTATCGCTAGGCTGCAATGGAATACAGTCGACACCGATTGCTAGGAGTCATTTGTTAGGCTACTGTGACTGATACATAAATATGAGGGCTTTATCCGTTCTGTTCTACTTCTAAACACAAACATCTGATTCTACTTGATATTCTTCTCGTGTCAAGGATTCAACCATGCCTAGCTTCGACAACGAGATTGACGCACGGGAAGGACATGGGGGACGAGGTGCCTCTAATGGTACCAGCAATGGAGTCACCGACCATAGCAAGGAGACTGTAAAGAGCTTGAAGAACGGCACAGACGCTCCGACTCAAGCCATCAATGGAGATGCAAAAGAATCAGAGAAACCATCGACTCAAGACGGAGAGCAAGCCGTCAATGGCAATTCAGAAGACCCCGAGAAGCCATCCGCTCAAGAAGGAGAGAAGGCCGAGGAGAAACCCACCGAGCCTCCAGTCGAGCGAGGCTCAGTCAGCGAGGCCAAATCAATCTTTCGCGGACCCAAGGACGACGACGGCGAATACACCTGGTCCGAGAAGGCCGAGGCAGAAGACAAAGCCGCCGAAAACGAGACGACTGCAAAGTTCGCCGTCGTCGTACGCAAGAAGAAGAGTTGTGATTCCCGCAAATTCTACGAGGCACACTCGCTCATCATCCAGAGCGCTCTCTTGAGGGAAGCTCTGGGTGAGGTCTTCAAGGACTATCCGGGCATCACGCCCTCGCTGGAGAGATTTGTTGTCTATGCTCCTTTCCGCCCCTTCGTTCACCGATGGACTGCGTTTCAAGCATATATGGCCCGCACCGACTTGAGCGATGCGATGAGGGAGCATCTGCAGATTCTGCACAGCATCTTGATGGAAGAGGTCGGTGACACGCTGAATGTCTTCCGCGACTATGTCAGCCTGGGTGTCATCACCTACGAGCACTTGTGGACTATTTTTCCCCCTGGGGAGGTCGCCATACTGGTCCGCAATGGGAACCGCATCTCTGCCTTTGAGGTGAAAGAATCGAATTACATCCAGACACGCTGTGGACCGTCCATGGAAGTCTACCAGCGAATGGTGGACGTGGACGGTGAGTCTGACACGTTCGGCTGGACTGAATCTACTGCCATCATTCCGGGCTTCAACGGAACTCGTAAGATCAACGACCTGAAAGTGTATCCGATCAAGTTCCACGAGGACAAGGACAAGCTGGAGAAGACGCTGATTGAGCGGGGAAAGAAGTTTGAGTCTCTTCGTGGCTATCAGTTCAAGCAATATTCTGGCATGGCCGTGACGTGGAATCGCGACGAGGTCGAGTTGCACATGCAGACAGCTGGCAGGGTTGTCATCGACGTCAAGTCGTTTGACAAATGGAGCCCCTTTGCTGCCAGAGACATCCAGAGGATGGGCAACATTGACGAGCTGAAATTCACCGAAGCCTGCAAAGAAGGTCTACTCGACGAAATGGCGGAAGAAAAGAGAGCCTCGGCAACCGTTGCTACCAAGCTCACGCCATATCACCAGATGGTATGTTTCCCTCGAGTGCGCGGCTACAGCCTGAAAACCAAGTCATGGCTCGACTTCTACGTCGAGAATGTGTCCGACATTGAATGGAACGACAAGGCTTTCGAGAGCTTGGTGCTGCCCGAGGACCAGAAGGAGATGATCCTCGCCTGCACAGAAGCGCAAGTAGACAACAAAGGAGACGGCTTCGACGACGTCGTCAAGGGGAAAGGAGAAGGCCTCATCATGCTGGCCTCTGGGCCCCCTGGCGTTGGCAAAACCCTCACCGCCGAGGCCGTGGCCGAGCATCTACGCGCACCACTCCACATGTTGACGTCGGGCGATCTAGGATCCAGCGCTGGAGATCTAGAAGACCAGCTCCAGTCAGTACTGGACATGGTAGGCCGATGGAACGCCATCCTGCTCATCGACGAATGCGACGTCTTCCTCGAGGCGCGCTCCGTCCACGACCTCGAGCGCAACAGAGTCGTCTCCATCTTCCTCCGCACGCTCGAGTATTATCAAGGTATCCTCTTCATGACCACGAACCGCGTCAAGGAGATCGACCAGGCCTTCCAGTCGCGAATCCACGTCTCGATCGAGTACCCCGCCCTGACCAAGGACTCGCGGCGGCAGATCTGGTCAAACTTCCTCAGGAAGTCCGAGTCGTTGGCGGGCTTCTCGGACCACGATCTTGATGAGCTGGCTACGGCAGACTTGAACGGTCGCCAGATCAAGAATGTGCTCAAGACGTCGCAGCTGCTTGCGTCGCGGCGGAAGGAGAAGCTCAGTCGCAAGTTTGTGGACACGGTGCTGAAGGTCGAGAGTCTGCGTCCAGAGGCATCGCACATATACATGTAAGCGACCGTGGATATTCGAATGTTTTTCTGGCGTTTTCATGGGTGAGCATTTAGACAGCAACATTCCAGGCGCTCTTCATGCATGGGTATACATGTTAGACGTCCGTTCAGATACGAAGTCAACGGAGATTCTTATTTTCCGTGACGAAATAGAACATACGCTTGAACAGACATTTTGACCAGAACCTTATATCGTCAATGCCTCACGTAATTGAAATTCTCGCTATAACAGTATGAGAGCGCACTATTCCAATGCTCAACCCCAGAGAGCAGATGACCCATGCTGAATACCAGTCAAACCAGATATAAAAAGCCCATCCAGTCGACAAGCCAGCCTCCATCCATCTCAATGCAAAACCTCTCCTCCAACACCCACGCATCCCTCCCCACCCCCATCTAAACCCCATCCCAACGCGCATACAGATCCCCCGGCAACATCCTCTCACCCTCACCCCCATCCCAAACAACCAGCCTATCCCCCCCCTCATCAAACCGCACAACCCCACTCCCAACCCGCCTCACCACCGCCCCAATCCTCCGAATCAACACCCCCAACCCCCTCAAAACCCCCTCATTCCCCTTCTCCCACGCCGCCAGCTCGCCAGCCACGTCCTCGACGCAGGAGACGCCAAACGTGCCTCGCTCGTGGTACGCGCGCACGAGCTTCGGCGTCTGCGAGAGCCAGAGCTGGGGCGCGATCTCGGCGAGGGGGATGGGCTTGTGCTGGACGCGGGTCTTGATTTCGAGGATGGAGGATGCGGCGATGGTGCGGCCTGTGGGGTGGATGGTGAGTTTGAAGGCCGGGAAGGTGAGGGGTGTGGGGGGTTGTGAGGGGCTTATGGTGAGGGTTTGGAGGAGGGCGTCGAGAGAGGCTTCGTCGTCGTGGGCGGGAGGTGTGAAAGTGCATGTGGACGTGGATTTGGATGGCGAGGGGACATGAGGATTCTGGTCCTGCTTGTCCAGCACATATCCGTCCGTCTCAAAGCGGACGAGCAGCTTCAGGCCGTGAAAGGTGTAGGAGACGATGCGGTGATGTCCGGTGCCGTGCTCGACCTGGTTCTCCGTGCAGGCCTCCTCGAAGCTATGCCCGTAGCCCATGAATTCATTCTTGCCGATATACGTCGTCGCCGCCGTGTCTTCGCGGCAGAACACAATCGTGTCCTTGACGCACTCGACCCTGATGGTGAAGGACTCGCGCCGGCGCGCAGGGGTGTTGGGATCGACGAATGAGAGGAGTTTGCGCAGATTGTTGCGGTCGCTGACGAGGTCGACGGTGGTGATGTCGAAGGACGGTTGGGTTAGGTATAGGGCGCGGAAGAGCGGCTCGAGCGGACTGTCCGGGTGGCGGGCCGCATTCTGGGAGATGTAGATGAGACCAGAGTCTTTCTTGACTGCGCTGGCGCGACGGAGACCGGTCCAGAGGTTTGGACAGCCGGGCACGGCGATTGTGGGGTTCTTGGTCTCGATCCAGTTGTAGGACGAGAGGTGCTGTAGATCTGTGATTGTGGCTGGGAAATCATGACTGGTGTCTTCCAGATCGGGACGAGTTATTTCTGCAAGGATTGAAGGCGCCATCTGAGATGGGAGATTGTAGTCTTGTAGATGAAGAAGAGATGGAAGGTGAGGATGAATGGTAAACGATGATGATGAACGATGGAAGATGAATGATGAATTATGTAGGATGAAAGACGAAAGACGAAAGATTATATATGAAATACACGCTCTGGCAATCTAAAAGTGAACAGGGATAACGAAACTAGCTCCGTGTAACAGAGCACATCCAAACATATTCAGTCGTCAGAGGTAGTAGTGTATGACGCAAGTTTCACGTCTTTGCACAAATTAAACTCATATCTACATCTCCATCCAGACTTATTCTTAAAAACCCCGCCAAATTACCCCTAACCCCTAAATCCAGTCTTATAACGAGCATACCAGTCCATCGTTACGACCAATCAGTCCTACGTACTACCTGTCAGAAACAACAGCACCAGAACGATATATATAGTCAAAAAACGATAACAGTCATCGGCAGAAATCTGTAAAAAGCACAACAATATACCACAGATTCACGCCTACCATCCAGGACAAGCATCGTAAACACCAAGACAACAGCCCGACCCTGTTGCTCGAAACCAGACACAAACGCCACCCCGTCTCCTGGCTATCCATGTATCAACCTCCCCAAGCAGACCAAACCACCCATAACGCCCCTAGATCTCCGATAAAATGCATTCCTCACCGACCCAAACCACAAACCCCCGCAAACACGGCCCATCAGTTCACATTGCACGAATCACAAGAAGCATGCAACATCCTCTCCTGGAGAACCCACGTTCAGCGTGTTGAATTCAACTAATACACCTCAGACACCCGCTGTCTATAATACCCCTCAATCCTCCGCACTCTCCCGGCTTCCTCCCGCACCAGCACCCGCATATTCTCCAGCTTCGCAACTGCCTCCTCGCCCCTCTCCCCTGCAAATTCAAACCCGGCAAGCATCATGTCCAGCCGGCTCAGCACGGCCTACTGGCGCCGTCTAGACGCAGCGACGACTTCCAGCCCGCGGCGAGCGTGCAATTGGACGGCATTGAGCCGTGCTTCGGCGGAGGTGAGCGGAGTTGGAAGGTGGCGTTGGGTGTGGTGGAGAGTGGTGCGGGAGAAGGTGGTGTGTGTGTGAGAGGGGTGGAGGTGGGTGAGGCAGTGGAGGAGGTTGGCGTCGAGGGTGTCGAGGGCGAGGAGGACGTCGAGGGGGGATTGGGGGAGGGAGTAGGAGAGGGTTGAAGCGGCGGCTACGAGGGCAGCGATGAGGGTGGAGAGGTGGGATGGTGGGAAGAGGAATACTGAGATTGATGGTGGTGGAATCTCGGATGGCAGAGCGGTGGTTGGTGGTTGCGGTCGGTTGTTGTTGTTGTTGTTGTTGTTGGGGTCGCTTTCTGGCAGCGCTGCTGGCGATGGCTCAGGGGCTGGTGGCGTCGAGTGTGTTTGGCCCATGATGGAGAGGTGTGTAGTAATGGGGTTGGCTGGAGAAGCAGAGCGATTGGATGTGGTTTCGGCAGAGGATAGTCTGCCGCCGAGCTGAAAGGGCGGTGATCTTGAGGCGACTCGCACGATATCTCCTCCAGAAGGCGGTGTGGTCTTAGAAACGGGTTGTTCAGACTGTGCGAGGACGTTAGCAGCGAGCAAAGAAAAGCTAGGAAATGTACACTACGCTATTGAACCATTGTGAGGTTGGCGATGGGCGATTCGAGGATAAGGTTTGTGAGAAGGCCGGAAGTTACAGAAGTTTCACCGCTTGAGATGATTTACCAGGGCGGACGGGCCTTGGGGCTCTGTTCACTTTGTTCAGCTAGCCGTGCGTCATTGTCGCGTGTTCGTAGTGACATTACATGGTGAACGCGTTGCGCGAGGTGAATAACATTGAAGGAGAAACTGCTACAATACATGAGAATCTCGTGTTACAGGTCAGCTGAAACTATCAAGCTTGTTGCAAAAAGGGGCTTCTATCATCAAACATATCCCAACGCGCGCAGCAATACAAAAAACACCAACTTTCTCCAAAAGCCAGCCTTATCCACATCCCCTTAGCTATCCACATACATGACCCAAACCATCCCCTCTCTCATTCAAACTCATTCGTGCCCAGCACTCCCTTCCAACTCAAGACCCTCCATACAGCACCCCCGCCATCCTCCGACGCAACGAACTTCAAAGTGTTGTCATTCCATCCACATCTTAAAGTACTACATCAGATTTATGGTCCTTGACTTTGTACGACGTCGAGTATGAACGGATGGGATAGTATATTGATAGTGTTATGGTTGTGTTATACCGGTATAGTGGGCTTGATATCAGGTCCTTCTACCATTGTACTATTATAACACCACACACTAAGGGGGTAGGGATTGATATACTACTATGATGGCAACGACGACGACGATGACTACGGACAAAAGAGTCCCTGACGTGCGAGCGGGTTTTATGTATGTTTATATGTACATTTATATCTACCGAGGGGTGAGGGGCGAGGGGTGAGAGGAGGGCGATGATCTTTATTAGACACATTGCCTTGCGTGGATGCATGTTTGTTTATTTATCCATTAATTATGCCTATGATATTGGAAGCATAGAGGGCATTGAGGGCCATAAGCATTCATGAGCAGTCAGCAAGTTACAGCCTACAGGTAAGATACACACATACATACACACAAACCTCTTGATACCAAGGATAAAAATTCATGTATTATTTATAGGTGTATATAACCACATGACATCTTCTACATCATTCATTACTCATTCGCTCGCTGCGGGTACCAAGGAGCCCCTTCCCCCGCGGCGAGCGACAAACAGCCAAACTTCCGAGAACAGGATTCACAGCAAGACCAGATACATCATCCCCTACTCCGCCCGCCCATAAGCCCCCAGATACCGCCTCTCCATATCAACATCACTGTACGGCCGCCCCGCATCCTCGACACTTGCATCGCCCGGCCGCAACACCGCGGGCGTCGTCGTCGTAAACGCCCCCGTTCCCATACCCGTCCCGATCGGACTCACACTGCGACTTGCCGACCGCTCGTAAACCTCCGGGATAGTCTTGGCCTCCATCCCGTGCTCCACGACATCCGTCTCGCCACCACTCGGATTGTTGTGAGGAGGCTGGAGGTACGTGCCGAGGCCGGAGGGAAGACTGTCTGGTGGCATTCCATGGAAGTGCGGCGTCGAGGACTTGGGCGGCGCGTCAGTCGGCGTGACGACGACGGTCTGGTGCTGTGCGTTACCGTTTTGATCAGAATTCCTAACAATCAGTTTAGTTTAACTTTAGGCCTCTAGTTAAACTAGACTAAAGTACTTTAATCCTAGCTATTATAGAATCAGATTAAACTATTAATTCTAGTAGTAGAATTAAAGTTAAACTAGACTAGACTAAAGTATATTAATAAGACTAGCTAAAAGTCTTAAAGATAGATAAAATTCAGTATTCTAAGGCTATATATCTATATTATCTATATAGTAATTCTTAATATCAGGCATGTGATTTGCACGTGACCCTATGTGTGTACAGTAGTCTTTTATAGTTAACTCCCGTTATAATAATTCAAAGACGGCCACGAAAATCCTATCGTTATAGCGAGATTATCGTAATATCGGTTTTATATAAGCTAGTTACCTAGGCGTTCATTAGACCCACGTGAGTTCTTATTACTAATTATAAAGGGCTTTCCTCTAGACCCCACTAATACCTATTCTATATCTATTTGTAGATCCATGGTTGGTGCGTGGAGCCCGCCACCTTACACTATCTATATATAAATTTAGTTTAGCTTAACTATTAGTAACTTAATCCTACTCTAGAATTAAATTAGACTAAAGATCTAACCCTTAGTAAGAGGCGTTAGTTAAACTAGACTAAGTTAATTCTAGAGAGGTAGAATTGAAGTTGGACTAATTATTAGGAACTCTGTAGCTCACTAATCGCCATTGCCTCCAATGGAGATAATATATAGCACAAGGCCTTGGATGACGACGATGTTATTGCTGTTCATGAATCATGCTCTCGACAGCGCAATCTTTGCGGCTGAGACGTAACAAGAGAGTATCTCGGCATGTCGTTCCACAAGTACTGCTTGACATTCAGAATTTGTCAGTAAAAGAATTGCGTGAAATTCTAGCTAATAGTATTCGGCTAATGACCTTTTAAAAAGCACCGTGCCCGGGTTTACGCGAACTACAGTAGAAGAACGGTTCTATGGGAGTTTCAGAGTATGTCACAGCAAGGTCACTGAAGTAGGCTATAAGTAACGTCATTTGGCATTTATTTTATCTTAATTCAAAGCCACCTTCTTCCAAACTTACAGCCGCAAACGATATACCGCTAAGCCATCTATACCACCAATGCATCTTCTAAACATCCTCGTCATTACTATCATTGGTATCACTACCAATATAGTCGTCGCCGAGACCAAATGCAGACCGCCGAACTGGTTGGAACGGACGGCTAACAAAGGCTTGGATAACGTCTATAAACATACTGATGCTTCTTTTATTCATGGCGTCATTGACTCTCTCCAAGCGGTACCTCTGGACGAATATCAGGCTTGTCCAGATCAGATGATAGAGCACTTTAGGCCTGGCGAGGAGAAAAGATACACAATCCCAGATGATATTCTACCACCCGAGCTGAAGGGGGGTTTCGTCGTATGCCGGGAAAACGGTACTCCCCTTAATTATCAAGATATACAAGCTATCGAAGAGCTACAAATGGAGGCCTGCGAAGGAAAGGATAATAAATGGGGGAAACACGTCGGAGGCCAGCGTAAAGATTACCCTCATGGCGACGGCGTGGCATTTCAATGTGACTATACTCCTCGGTTCCACAGCCATACGGTACAAACATGCGACCCGAAATCGCTCGCAGAAATGTTACTGCTTGTCAACCGATATTGTATGGATTATCCCGGTTGGTTTTCTATGGAGGCGTGGGACGTCACATATGGTCGGCAACACAAAGAGGCTCTAAAGCGCTGCTAGGAGGTATTCTCGCAGCTAGCCGAACAGAGAGATCGGAATAGCGCCTAAAAGGTGATAGGTCGGAATTTGAATAAGATGGGAGTACCGCGGACTGTATATGTCACACGGCGACACTTTTTCGAAAGTCAGAAGTCAAAAGTCAGAAGTCAGAAGTCAAGAGTCTCTTTCGCCGTTACCCGCACAGATCCCACTTGGTACACGTGATCTTAACTGATTTGAACTGATTTTAACCTTGCAGGCTTAAAAACAGCACTTAATCAACGTGTTTCTAATTGATCTCAATTGATTTTTATTCAAAGAAGTGTATGGATGTATTTGAAGCATTGAATTGTATGTATTGTAGAGCCTTAGCTTTTGAGATGTGGGCCCGTGATATAGAAAATCTAGCCCTATGACACATGTAGTCTACGGTAATAGAGTTATCGATAGAAGATAGTAGTAACTTATATGACTAGTAAAGCTATAGTAGATGCTAATAGACACTGGCGATAAACCGGGCTAAATGGACCATACAATATCTGATTGGTTGATGACGGGTTTATGTAATTATCAAGGTGCATCGCGATCGAGATCGCGGCCTCTTATACACAATGTAGCCGAGAACATGAGAAACCACCACTAAAGCGACTCCAACCATGATTCCAAGCCACCACATCGATAATGAGGTATTGTAAGATAGAATGATAGATCAATAGCACTTTTACTAATCTTGAAGCTATTAATTGTCTTTTTAATATAATCTGGTTAGGAGTACCGGAGTTATATAATATATCACGTGGTATATTATATAATTTTAAATTATATAACTTACTTCTAATAGATCTCGTTAAATCATCTATTTTTAAGAGAATATCTACCTATCTATATATAACTTTAGTTTAACTTAACTATTAGTAACTTAATCCTACCCTAGAATTAAATTAGACTAAAGATCTAACCCTTAGTAAGAGGCGTTAGTTAAACTAGACTAAGTTAATTCTAGAGAGGCAGAATTGAAGTTGGACTGATTGTTAGGGACTCTGGTTTTGATGTGAGGGAGCGGATGGGTTAGAGAACGATCGGGCTTCGGTCGGGGGGGTTTGCTGGATTGTGATGGTGGAGGCATATATGGTTGCGTTTTCGGTGTGGATGGTGTGTTGGTCCGTTGCTGGGGAGTCGAGCTTGGGGGAGCGAGTTGCGAACCATCTCGTCTTGACTGCTGGCGCACTACCGAGTTTTGTTGCTGAATTCGCTGGCGAGCACGTGTTGGACGACGCTTCGAGGTCTCGAAAGTTTGGCGGAGAAGGAGACAAAACGGCGCAGCCCGTCAGCCCGTTCTTGGCAATCCGTTCTCGGAACTCGTTGAGGATGACGAATTCGAGCTGCAGTTTGAAGGCGTAAACAAACGAATGCATGACGGCCTTGAGTTGGAAGTAATCCAGATAGTCCAGCGTGATGACGAGAACATCGGCCAGGATCACAATGACCTGAATGAGGATAAGCACGGCCATGGTCTTCTTCATCTTCGGATTCAGCGAATCTTGCAGGAGTTTCATCGTAGCGTAGACATAAATCGCAGAGATGACTATCTCCTGGGTGGAAAAGCCCATGACCTGGACACGTTCCATGGGCTTCATGTACGGGAGAAACTGGGTGTGCGTCGGCTTGTTCGATACCAGGAACTGAAAGACGATAGTTGGGATGTGGAACAAGCACGCGTCGATAATGATCATTGCCAGGACAATCTTCAGCGTCCTATGCCCCACACTGACAAGATGCAGCCGGGACCAGAGAACGACGCTGAAGCCAGAGACCATGCCCACCCAACCGATTTCCGCCAGAACCGTAGCGAGAATCCAGTTCGCCTTTGGTACGCAATACTTCAGTATGAAGCCGATCGCGTGCAGCGTCACGCCCCATGTCGTAAACAAGACGGAGTAGAAATACACGCCCTGATAGCGCTTAAATGTGTAAAACACCCAAACCGTCAGTTCGACAGTGGTCCATATGGGGAGCGCAGTGAAGACTGCCAGCAGAGCCCTACAGATGTAATAAGTACAGTTCAGCAATAATTGGGGCCTTCAAGACTACTCACCACACTGTCAGGTTCCATGGCAGCGGTCCGGTACGTTTGAACGACCAGTCAAACTCGTCCAAAGGGACCCACGGCACGGTGATATTGCGTACTCCAGACATCGACACTGACCACAATGTGGGGAACAGTCGGGCGAGATGGTAGATAATCGCGCAATATGACTACGACAGCACAGCGACCTGCACCTCTACACTTTTGAAGAATTCTTTTGGGCAGTCTCCAAGACCGTGCACATTGCGCAACGGCAACTGCTTGTAGATATATCTTTTCCCTGACGGGACTTATGTGTCGTACTGGGGTCACAAATGAGGCTAGAATGTGCCCTGAACGCAGCAAGCATTGTCCACACGGTGCTCACTGGCGACCAAATGTGGTGATAGCTTAATCAGAGAGCCAGAAGCACGTCAGTGAGAGAGATGTGATGGTGGTTCGATCAGGGTCTGTGCAGGCCAGCAGGAGTCCATCAACCAAACAGACGTCAAGAATTATGGCGACTTAACAGACTGTGTCCAACCAAAGGCCCGATCACCAGACATGGTCGCGTCGAGTTTCGTCAAGAGATTAATCAATACGAGACAACGCATGGAGATGTCTCTTTTGCTGACTACAAGCGAGCGGACTTGGCCATATATAGCATGGTATGCAGGAAGCAAGTCAGCTCGGCCCGATGGCTGAGTGCATGCAGGGGTCCCGAATGGCTGCACAGACGGGGGCCAGACATGGATGCTAAGCATTACAGATCAGACCACCAGTCTTGGAATATTCGACGTGATTACTCGGTTGGGTGTGATAGTAGGCGCATGCAATAGTATGGTTGACAAGGCAGTGATTTGAAGCATGTAAGTCGGTTCCCTGGCTTTGTTCCAGTCAGCAGTCGAGGCGATGAGGCAGTCTTTATTTATAGAACCACGTGCCGTTCCTGTACATCAGCACCACTAGAGATCTGCTGACGTGAGAGACTGCGTCGATCGCAAGCCCTACGAAATGTAATCTCGGCAGTTCTGTATCGTTGTCTGTCGTTTGCAAGAGTGGAGGCTTTGGCCATGATCGTCTTGGGTGATGTGACATACTACCCCTGCCCCCGCTAAGAACACTGGCACGCATCATGAAGCCATTGATTAGCCTCGACTGATGAGTCCTAGAAGGGTTCCCCGCTTGCTCGACTTTGGCTCAGGAATCCTGTACTCAACCAGTATACGCCTCAGTTTGGCAGACTTTCTTGCATATCCCCACAATTCAATTGTGTTCTGCACCTCGAATGGGCGGGCATCCAAGAGCAACTCCGCAACCTCAGCATGCCCATCCTTGACAGAGTGTTTCAAGATGTAGCTGTAGACCGGCTCCGTGAGGTACATCCGCAGCGGGTATCTGTGTCTGACAAGAACTGCTAGTTTGTCTGCCATGGACAGGATGCTGCATATGACAAATGGGTTGTTGTATGACACACCTGGAGCCATATCTGCGTACCCTAGGTCTAGGTCTCTCCGCATTCTCATCAGCTCGTCACTGTCAGGATTGATCCGTAAATATGACGTAATGGCTCCAAAGGTGAGCTCTTGGGAGAGCTCGTAGCAGTAGCGATTTATCAGGAACTCTAGCGTTTCTGGTTGTACTTCAATAAGAGCCACGCCCGCCATTGTCGCGCCCCCTTTCAGCGGAACGTTAATGTTGATGGCCTTTCTTTTCTTGCTCCGAATGTGGCTGTTTGTCTTGCCCGTGAGCTCCTCGAGCACTCCCCAGCATCCCTTGGTTCCAGCTAGTACCAGTAGATTATGGAAGTCATTCTGGCAGTCGGCGCCTTGATCGAGAAGCATAGCTACGGCTTCTTCGTCATTATTGCTAACAGCCCAGTAGAGAGGACTGGTCTGTGACAAGATCTGCCCGCTTTTACCGAATACCGGAGGCTTAGCCACGCTGTTGACATCAGCACCGGCATCCACAAGGATTTTGATCAGTCTAGCAAGATCTGGTAATTTGACTCTATACTTCTTCCATGCAGCGAAGTTTCTGATCAGGTGGTGGAGCGCTGTAGCTTCGTCAGGACCACTCCGAGCATTTGGGTCAAGGCCAATTTTGAGGAAAAATGCAATGACATCCGGAAGTTTGCTCCGCGGATGTTTTTCAAACTGAGCAGGCAGATTGGAACTCATGTCGGTTGAGCTTGCGAATCGACGAAGCTCGACACGACAGGTATCTCCAAGCTTCTGGGGATGATCCCAGTCTTCTACACGGACGTTTGGCAGGGGTGTCGTGTGCGGGCGACGAGCTCCATCACGGGATGTCGTTTGGCTAAATCTTTTGTTGATCCCGTCCTCTCGAGGCGTGGGGCCGCTAGGTCCAGCCTTGATTCGTGAAAGGGATTGGCTGGGTCTTACAATGGATCGGCCGACTTTGTATGTATCGACTGTCAGGGGCAAAGCAATATCCGAACTGCCAGGATAGTGCTTCGGAGGTGAAGAGTCCGTATCAGACGGTGGGGTTGTGCTCTTCATCCGGGGTATGGGTGGGGAGACGGGCTTCAGTTTGTCCAAGTCGAATGAGTCTGAGAATGATTGAAACTGATTCCATTCTGCTCGGCGATTCGCATTCAAGAGTCGAGGCTTTTGGTCTGCCACAGTGTCTTTGGGGTCTTGTGTCGGTGCCCATGAATCCGCTATAGGGGTGGGTTTAGTGTTAAAATTGACTTCCAGGTGAGGCTTTGACTTTTTGTTGTCGTCCTGCAGATTAACTTCAGTGATCACGCTTTGAGTGGCCACGGGTTCAGGCGGCTGTACAACCACTGACGGTAACGTAACGACTTCTTGTACGTGCTCGTTGTCCTCTGGCTTCTTCCCTTCTGTATTTGCACTGATGGGAGTATTGTTAGTTATGCCTGGGAGGATGACAGGATGTGTTGCGTCTGGATTTTCGCACGAGCCTTCCGTTTGTGTGTTTTCGTATGTGACATCCCACGACCGTGGGTCATCATCAGCGCCACTGGAGGAATCGTCTTCCAGCAAGCAGTGCTCACAGCAATAGTGAAGGGCCGCTTGTGGGCTGCATATTGTTTTGTACAGGTCAACCGACGTCATACGTGCATCTTCGTGCAGAGCAACAGTCCTATCGATCCAGTCTATGATTGGCGCCTGGTCCAGCGACGTCTTCAAGTCCCGGATCCATTCCTTGGCAGAAGCGATATTGTTTGAAAACCAGAACGTTTCAGTTTTGCGCTTGAACGTATCGCGCATATCTCTGATTGTTCGCCCGCAGAGTGCCGTCAAAATCTCGACGAATACGCAGCCCAAGGAGAAGACGTCAGACTTGGAGTTCCTCTTCTCGTAGTTCTGAACTTCAGGCGCACAATATGGAATGCTTTTACCAAAGTTCCCTGTCGTAGTACTGCGGGTACGGTCTTGCCAATCAAGAGAGATGCCGAAATCTGTAAAGTATACTTGGCCTTTCTTGATCAGAATATTCGACGGTTTTATGTCGCGGTGTCGAATTCGCTCTTCATGGAGATATGCCAAGGCAGAAGCCAAGCAGCCAAAAGCCTTGTTCAACACCAGCTTGTACTCGTCCTCGTTCATGGCTAGTGTGAAATACTGCTCAAGATCACATTCGGCTACAGGAAGCATGAGAAAGCCGAAAAACTTGGGATCGGTGTAGCTGGCGACCTGTTGCGAGCATCAGCCATCGCCATCAGGCACGAGGTGACAAGGAGAACTCACAAGCTCCACACAGTGTTGGTGATTGATACGCTTGAGGACCTGGAGCTCCGTCGCGAAGGATTTGAGGTCACTTGTCCGCGTGCCTCCCCTTCGAAAAGACTTTCGAGCATATTCGCGGCCGGATAATTGGCTTTGTACTTTATCGACAACGCCATAGCCACCTTTCGCGATCATGCCCTTTTCAAGAAGAGGGAGCTCTTCACCTTTGACAAAGTGCACATGCTTCTTCTCATCGTTTTCCAGATCAAGGCCTTTTGTGATGACCCTACCCTGTACCTCGAGGAAAAGGTCCTGGTGCGACTGAGACAACGACCTGGGTAGCGACTGCTTATTGAAGGGGAACCAGAGGTCGGTACAGCCTATGCTGGTGAACTTGGGTAACAATGAGACCTGGTCGATGATTCGAAGCACGATGTAGATTCGTGGTACGGTACTGTATGGAGGGCCAAGCTCCTCGAGCAGTATACGGCATATCTCCTTGCAGTCTGCGTCCGTGTACTGCTGTACTCCGAGCCCGGTAGGGAAAAAGTCATCCAGGCCTAGGCCAAGTTTCCGCTGCTCTCCTGGCTTGACTGTAGCATGCGCGGCCATTTCGTCGTGCTGAGAGTGTTACACCACCGTCTCCGAGTGGGGATCACATTATCCAAACGCGACAGCCTGTGCGGGCTATGGAAAAGCAGATTGGTGAGATGTGAGAGAGCACGAGAACAGTCCGGCGAACTGCGAGATATTCTCTGCATCGCAGTGAGGCTGCATGCCTGGTGGGGGTTTGTCGGCAGCCCTTGTGATGGCTATGAGGCCTCCGTGAGTCGAGGCGCAAGCCATGTCGGAGTGGTGCAACCAATAGAGGTCGACCTCGAGTGCTGCGACAACACGAGGCTCGTATTGGCCATTTAGTGTCTCACGTTATGAGAGGCTTCATGTTGTTAGCGAGATGTGAAACTCTCTAGACGATTTGATTCCTGGGATGAGGTGAGATGGAAATGAATGCTGCAAGACGGCGGCAATTTCTTTGGGAGAGAGGGAAAGTAGCACAAACGCTACGGCGGTCCCGTGACCAGCGGATAAATTCTAGGTATGCATCAAGACAGAGACTGGGCACGATAAAGAGCTGTATCGTACGTTTGACATTCCAGCGTCTATTCGATTGAGTGATTAGATATTACATTACGTCCACGCACCTTGGCCCTTCGTTGCGGACAGGGCTCGGTTGACTTGAGGCGCTCCTTGACCACTCCTCTGGTGGTTTACAAAACCCCATCGTCCGCCATCATTCCAACGAACAGCATCTCCCTGTGCCCGTCACCACGTGAACTTTGCGTGACACATGCGCAACGCATTACACATTCCCTTCCTCAACGGCATCTGACAATGTCTCTCTGTCCTCCATAAATATTCCAAAATCCTCCCCAAAAAAACCACAACGCTTGGAGCGCCATGCAATCCCTCTCTTTCTCTCGAAGGCGCGAATCGAAGCAAACAGGGACTCCACGAGCTCGAAAGGAGGCTCGGGAGTAACGAAGGTGTACAAGTATCTTATAGTAGAAGCGATTGTAATCGGGGTATCGTGAGAAGCGTTGTAAGAAAGTTCTCCAAGGTCCCATTGTAAATGACTTTTCCTGTCCCAGCACGCGAGTGCCATAACCGGAGAGCGAGCGGCGGATGAAGCAGTATATGGAAAAAAAGACTCCTGAAGGTGAATTCAGAGAGCGAAGAAAGATTCGCAATGCAAGAGCCGCATCGCCTCGGTGCAAATGTAGCGAACCGCTGAAATGCTCTATGAAAACGCCACCCATGCATCAATCGTGAAAACGTGATATGTGGAATTTGAGTATGTCGGGCTCATCGGTATTGAATGTGGTGGTTGTGGTGGTCTCTTCAGTGAGACTGCTCGTGGTCGGAATGCGAGGCCAGAGTGTCGCTTTCCCAGGTGTAGTTGTGTTCATCGGCAGGACTTGGCGGTCCGTTGGAGGGGCTGCGAGCACCCGAGGAGAAGGAGGATGATGAGCCTATTGTCCACTCATCGCTGTCCGAGTTCCCAGTCGGGTGGAATTCCTCATAAAAGTCCAGCATGCCCTGAGTGTAGGCATCTTCAGGCTCACCAATCTCGGTATAGTCGTAGTCCCAGCGGAACTCCTTGTCGGGCTGTACGCGGGGGAGGAATTTCTGGCGAGCAAAGAAGAAGAAGAAGGCGGCGACTGGAATTGTCAGCTAAGACTCGCACAGTATGGGGCTTTGAAGAGCAACTTACGGAGACTGCCGGCAACCAGGTCAACAGCGTAGTGATGCGAGAGGTACATTGTAGCCCACCAGAGCCACAGCACGTAGCCCAAAAAGACGGGAAGCAGCTTTGGGAAGACATGGCCAAGAAACAGGGCTTCGAGGGTCGAGTCCGCGGCGTGCAGCGACGGAAAGGCGCCAAACGGCGAGGGAGAGCTGGCAAAACCAGGTACATACAGGTCAATGCCAAATAGCTTGTCTATACGGGCAAGACCGGCAGCTTCTCCCGGGATGCTGTAGTTTGCGGGTGCAAGACCATAGTGATTCTCATACCACGGTGGAGAGCATGGGAATACAAGGTTCGTGGCCACACCGAGCAAGCTCATGTAGCCAAACGCACGAGCGTAGACGGGGAGAGTTCCCGGTGGACCCCAGATGAACAGGGCAATGGCGCAGATGAATGGGGCAGCGAAGTGACCGACACCATACGGAATCCAGGCAAGGATGTCCAGAATGACATGTTTGTGTGCTGAAAGGATATTACTCAGGTTGGCGCCGTACAGAATATTTTCGAGGGTGGGCAGAACTCGGACCCAGATTGGGGGGCGGTAATCAGCAGGTATGAATCTTTGCGGGCTTGTCAGTCGTAGTCCATGCATGAAGAGCGTCTACCAGCACAGAGGAGCGAAGATGACTTACTTGCACGAATAGAATAGCAAGAGATAGGCAGCAATGGGTAGGAAGTTGAGGAAGAATTGACGAGTGACTGGCAAGACGAGAGAGCTCATCAACAGGGTGGCCACGAAGGTCTTGAATATTGGGCCGGGCTCCTGGATGACGGAGAGACAGAAGATGCCGACGATGGCGAGCAGAAGGTACTGGGCGTCATAGTGTGACCAGTGATGGGTGCGTAGTGAGCGCAGAGTGTCGGTGGGAGAGAAGGAGGATTGTAGAGAGGCGATGGAGGAGGTTGGGGTTTGGCGACTCCGTATGCGCGACTTGGTAGCTCTCCATTTCCTTCGGACTTTGTGTGGCAGCAATGTTGGCAAGGCCTTGAATGGGATCTTGACATTGGACAGCATCTGCTGGGGATAGTAGGAGGAGGCAGTCATGGCGGACTGGTGGACTGGCGGAGAAAGTGGCGGAGAGGACTCGACGAGCAGTCAAAGGGGAGCGAGCGAGCGAAGCGCATGCGAGGGGAGGAGGCGAGGCGAGGCGAGGAAGACTGCTGGGTTGAGATGCGAGTTGTTAAGATGAATGGTATTCTGGTGAGGCTGGCTGGGTGGCAGAGATAAGTGAGAGGGCAGAGAGGGCGAAGATGGTGGATGTGAAAGAGAAAGTGGTGAAGAGGTGTGCGTGCGGAAGTCAGCGGGATGATGGCGAAGAATGAAGAATGAATAATACGGCGAGGCAGGGCAGGCAGACCGGGTCCGTGCGGAAGAGAATTGGCTGCTTGGTGGAGCTAATGGTCATAGGTTGTTGGGTGTAATTTCACAAGCGACGACGGAGTGCCACATTTTTGCATATTTTCTTTGCACAGCGCCATCAGCTCAGCAGTAATGTTTAATTTTATTATTTGTTTTAACGTTAATGTTACGCACTATCTGTTTATTAGTCAATATTTGACTTTATTGTCGCTTGGTGCTTTGTAGCTAGAGGCCAACAACGGAGTCGGGGGTGAGAGAGTGTGGAGAAGAGCGGCAGATACCAGTCTATCACTACTACTGTGAGTACTATACTACTATACTATACTACTGATACCAGTCCAGATAACGGTGCGGACTACTACAGTATGCCAACAATACGCCGACGGAGAAGGAAACGGATGCGAGGAGCGAGCGACAGGCATGCATGCCAACATGCCAACATGACGGCGGCTATTCATGCCATGCCAGGCATAAGGACGCTGACAGGGCGGAGTTTTAGCAGGCTCGCAGCACTCCGTCTGGCGCAGCACGCGCGTGTCTTTTGCCCTCTTGTCTCCGTCATCGTCGCCGTCGTCGTTCGTCTTCTCTATACATACAATGTGGACGACGGTGGACAGAATTGGAGTTTGCTGGTGGACTGACGATGAGGCGTGGGTGATGATGCGATGATGCGCCAGGTGAGTCGCTCCTAAGCAGCCAAGCGGTGGTCACGTCAAGCTGCAGAGTTAGACTGTGGCTAAGGCTTAGCTGCCAAATATACGGACCATGACACTTTGACAAGTATAGGCATGAAGAGGGACTACTGTACTGGCTGATTATTCTACTATGTATGGCACGCACACATAAGGCGAATAGTGATATATTTAACAATGAATACCATATATATAGCACACTGTATTAATCGTAATAATCGCCGGCAGCACCAAAACCCGAAAAGCCGAGCAACCCGAGCTAGCTCTAGCACTTTGTAATTTCGTTCTCGTTCAGGCATCCCCGAGTCTTGGCAGTATTATGTACCGCGCTAAGCCGCTTACAGCACCCACCTAATCTCCTTTTGTTGAGCGAATCGGGGAGGAGCGCGTCCGGGTCGTGTTGTCGCGTCGCGTTTCACGTTCGGACGAACTTTCGTGCTGCACGTGCCGTGCGCGCTAGTCCCGATACGGTGTAATGGATCTGTATTACTAACCTTTCTTGGAATGCTCCTACTTCTCCTACATCCACTACATCTCTTACATCTACTACCAGCACTACTATCACGACCAAGTAATACTACTACTCCCATCCTTATCATTCACTCGTACCCGATTCTCGCCTCGTTGTCCCCGTCCTCTAGAAACTCGTCTTCCAGATACCATCTCGCCCGCCGCCTTGCCTTCGCCCTGTACTCACACCCAACTGATGTAACTGATTTCAAGGAAAGTTGAGCAACGCCTTGTAGCTCGTCCGCCTCCTCCCTGTCCTCTGCTCTCTGCTCATCGTCCCTGTCGTCCAGATCAGAGTACACTCCGCACGCCTTGTCCAGCTCCAGCCATGGCCGCTCCGGTGCCGCCCACCGCTCAAAGAGTGTCCAGAAAAACATATGCCGCTTCAGTGCGCTGCTTCGTTGCCGTTCATCAGGCTTACTGCTGTTCAGCTCTCTTCTGCAGTGGTCGGATATCTTCCCCCTCAGAGTCTCGAGCTTCGATTGCCCTGCGATGTAAAGTCAGCCATTCATCTCCACGCACTTGGTCACTTCGTCGCAGAACACACAAGCCTGGTCGTCTGCACTCATCTCTGGCACCGCCAAACCCATGTCAAACCCCTGCCCAAAATTTCTCTCCACAAACTCCCTCGCCAGACTCTGCACTATCTTGCTCGTATGCGGCCCATCTACTCGCACGCCTGCCTCCCCTTTACCGAGTAGATAGGATCCCTCCACCTGTGCAATGCTAGTGAGATTCGCTGCCCGCGCCTCGTCCTCGGTGTCCCATATGTGCGAGTACAGACTGCCTGCTTTCTCGTCGTCGCCCTTACACCCCCTGGCCCACTTGTACACGCGGAACAAGAACGCTGCCTCGTACACGCTGCCCTGTTCGTCGATGCGCTCTATGTATTTCCGCAGGTTGATCATATTCGTGCCTTGGCCGTCTGGCTGCCCTGTGCATCTTCTGTTATGGCGCTGCTGCGTGAAGAGGGCTTGTTTACAGGCTTACACTGGTTTGTGTCTTTGAGCAATCGACTATCCTCCATCTCGCTGCCTCTGGCTTCGGAACTCGACATGGCAGCTATGGTTTGTTGGCAGAGTATGGTGGTAAGTAGGTAAGAGCGATCATGCCTTCCTTCCCTCCTTCCCTTCTTGTACTCATCAACAGACAAAGACTTGCATATTCCATGGACAGCACGTGATCACGTACCATGATTGCACAAACAAAGAAACAATGAAGGCAGGAACGAGTGCAGCAGTTCCATACTTGGCACCTTCCCTGCGCTCGTACTCTTCCTTGTTTATCCCATCCATTCCATCTACCTATACAGTACTACCTTACAGCCCCCTCTGATCCATCCACCTATCCACCACCCCCTAACACTTCTCGCCCTCTCCTCTCCCTCTCCTTTCTTTCAAACAACCTAACCTCCCTCACTTCCCCTTCACACCCGGCGCCTGCGTCCGCAACGCAACCGGCACCCCACTACTCACCGGACTGCCCACATTGTTCCACTTGATCGCCCACGTGCCCTCCGTGTCCGTCTCCTCGACATACCAGTCCATCTGGATATCGTCTGCGCTGCCCACATGGAATGCCCAGGCGCCGTACAGGCCGAAACCGGTGATGTTCTGCGTGCTGTTGGTGCTGCTGCTGGTGAAGCCGACGTCACCGAAGGAGGAGGGCGTGGTGGTGTCGATGTAGAAGTGTGCTTGCGAGGGCAGGGTGCCGTTGTCCGGGGTTGCGGTGAAGGTGGTGTTTGATGTTGTTGCGCGGACTGCTGGGGTGTTAGAGGTGTTGTTGTTGTGGTTGTGGGAGGGGGGAGGGATGCGTTGAGGGTTATTTAGATGTATGAGAGGAGAGTCTAGATCTTTACGGCGACGTGCATATCAAGACCAGTATAGAGCAACAACTTACGAGTAACATTATACGTCTCCGAGACCCCAGCCGGTGCCGCCGTGCCAGCATACGCCTTGCCTACGAAACACTCAGTACAACACTCCACCACCATCCAACCTCGTCCAAGAACTCACCATCGCCATAAAACACCGGCAGACCCTGGAGCTCTCCCCTGGTAGAGTCCAACGAGTAGGCATACAGATGAAAGTCCGCATCCACAGTCGCAGCGCGAGCATGGAACTCGCTGCAAACCACACCGCCAGCCACGAAAGCTACCATTGCCAAAGGCCTAAACAGAGAGAAGGATAGCATGGTGGGTAAAGGAGATCAGACTATGACGCTGGAAAGAGTGTAGACGAAACAACGAGTACCTAGGAATCTGCGATACTCATGGCTGACAGTGGGGGAATATATAGAAGCGATGCATGGGAGAGCAGAGCCAGTCTAAGATGGCCGCGCAACAAAGTCCGATATTCACCACTCACGGCAGTCAGTCAGTCTTCCCACCAACCAGCCATCCCGCCAGATAGATTGCTCCGAGACGTGCACCCTCGACCAGACAAGCCCAGATCAATACAGAGATTTTCCATCGTCTGGATCATGCTTTGCCCTTGTACGCTCTACCCACCCAACCCACATCCATCCTCTACACGTTTTTTTCTTCTTTCTTCTCGGTACTGCAAGGGGTCAGATACGTTTGCATGGCTGCCTGTGATGCTTGCTATAGGGAACGGCAGCTTGGAAGCAATCGTTCCGTCTCCACCTCTCCCCACTTTCCCCCTGAATCAATTCACTGCTGATTTCCCATGGCTTGCGCACATGGTGCGTACGACGACTCATGAATCATTCGACGCGCGTACGGGGAAGAGCGCAATGGTGGACGATAGTTGATATTAGGGGTCTGTGTGGCTGTTCGAGGCTCCATGATGCTTGCAGAGCTACCATCTGCCACATTCGGTGCTATCCACGTCAATGGACCTGCTCAGCCTTGCGGGCGCTCCCGAGACCATATCCGGCCCATACTATCTATGTACGTGGCGAGGAAAACACACCGATAATGTGGGATTGTGGGTCAATTCAAGCCTGCGGGGCCCACTGCTTGTATATGTCTATAAGACTTGGCAGTGGGGACCACGTGGGGCGAGATTACTGTAGTATGATTTACCCCCCGAGATCTAGGAGGAAATGGATAATAATGACGGACGGGATGCGTGTTTACAGTCCAGTTTGCGTCCAAGCTCCTAGATCGTCCTCCCCGGAAGTATGTGCTCTAACAAAATAGCTGATCCGACGACTTCGCGTACAGGGCTTCCGTACATGGCGGCAGGCAGGCATTCACTTGAAATTATGTGAACGCCACAAATACCCGGGGCCTAAAGCGGAAAGGGAGAGCTTTGCCGCGTGGCGCGCGCCGGGTCTACTAAGGCAGGACCTCCTTAGCGCCCGCCCGCTGGCTGCCGTTGGGCCTTGGCTGCAACGTCATCTCCTTGTCTTCCTTTCAACAAAATTCCGTTCATATCAAGAATGTCTCGTTCTCCCTATAGCTCTCCACGACATTGCGACCGTATGGTGGCTTGTCATGCCCCCACATCCAACAGATGGATGCTCTTCCTGGTCGCGATGACTTCGTGGAATTTCTGATTTGGGCATTCTTTGTTCGGCCTGGACAGCCTATTCAACAACTGCTACATGATTGAATGGTCTCCGATTCTTTTCTGTGCTGCCATTCTTGGACCACTGTTTCTTCGCTAGGGCCAGCATGTTCTTGGATTGATGCTGGAGTCGAACGCTCCAGAAGCTGATATTCTGGAATCTCGATAGATTCGCTGTACAAGAGACAAGGAATAGATTCTCTCCGCGACTCCACTGGACCCACTGCCAAATCACGATCGATTCAAGCGAGATCTCTCAGTCCATATCCAGACATTAAACTGTTACGAGTCCAAGCCATTCCGGAACAGTCTATTATTGAGCGCCATATAGGTGCAAATAAGATGTTTGCGTGAAACATTCAGGGGCACCTACGTACGCAAGGCGGCTACGTAGTCCCAGGCACAGGATTCTATTGTTTGGTAATGCGCCACGCCCGCTGTCGGTCCGCTTACAACCATGCTTCAGCCCTCGATGGAATTTACATCATGAAGTGGGGAGTCTGTCTACCGTTCAGATTCCGTCCGCTGTATAACGCTGTAGGCCCTTGTGCCTCGCGCTTTCGCAAGGTCGTCGGGTGTGGCTGTTGACTCGTCATCGCACGATTTACCACATGTTCCATCGCGATTTGCGCAGAAATCCTTGCCTTATGGGGCTTATACGGGTCAAGATCTGACGACTTATCGATATCAAACTCGTTATATCGCTTAATCCTGAACCAATGACGTTCTCATCCAGATTTGACGGACTGCCAAAACAAACAATTATTTCTTCTAGTGCTCCACAACTCGCGTTTCCCTCATGCATAGTCTGAGGTCAGACTGCTTCTGATTAGTAGATTTGCTCTCTCAACGCATCTCGGGCCGTAGTATAGGCGAGTTTCTGCATCGCATAATGCGAGGCGTACGTGACGAATCCAGTAATCCTCGTCTCGGCTTCTTCTGCAGGAAGTATGGAGCGTACGTACATTCTCGATGCGTGTGGCCCCTGAATGCAGTATTGGTATCATGGATCTAGGTTGTCTTCCAGCATGTTGCAGGACTGCGGGTCTCTCATCTCGTATGTCCAGATTCGTCCCAAGACACGAGCCCAACAAGCATCCATCTCCACGGGGCTGGGAGAGCATGTGGGAAGCTTGTAGTTGTCTTAAAGATATAACTTTCACTCATCGACTACTCATTGCTATCGATCATCATTGCAACATCACTCTCATTCAACTATCCTACATATTTATCATTTCTGCTTGGTAGTCCTTTCGAGTGAGGGGCTCTACTTGCTTTGAATCCTTCATTAGCTTTCTTGTTGTTCTTTTTCCCACATCATGCTTCCTCTCTATCTTTTCTCGGCATTTGCTGCTCTCGTGGCCGCAGTTCCGGCTTCTTCTGAGCGTCGGCAGGACGCTGGTCCTTGCAGTGGAAATACTGCAGACGACCGATCAGTCTGGTGCGACTACGACATAAGTACGGACTACTATGATACTGTGCCAGACACCGGAGTAACTCGCGAGGTACGCTAGATTTTACCACCCTTGTGATCACTTCGTTTGTTTAGACCGTCTGATATGACTAGTACTGGCTCGAAATCACCAACACAACCCTCGGCCCAGATGGTGTCGAGCGTGTCGTTCTGAGTGTGAACAACACAAGCCCTGGGCCGCTTATCTGGGCCGACTGGGGTGACACTGTTGTCGTTCATGTCTCCAACAGCCTCTCGATCAACGGATCAAGCATACACTGGCATGGTATCAGACAGAACTATACCGTTCAGAATGACGGTGTACCTTCTATCACTCAATGCCCCACGGTTGTAAGTTTTGTCTGGCCTGTTTCCTGGTATGCTGGCTGATCATTAAAAGCCTGGTGAAACATACACCTATACATGGCGAGCAACCGCGTACGGATCATCATGGTATCATAGCCACTACGCCCTCCAGGCTTGGGAAGGTGTTTTTGGTAAGACACCTTGCGTGGGAATATTGTAGAATTCTGCTGACCATCTAGGTCCCGTTCTCATCAACGGTCCTGCTACTGCAAACTACGATGTCGACGCCGGCTCGATTACCCTCAGCGACTGGAGCCACCAGACGGCGGATGCTCTGTACTCTTATGCTCAGACTGTTGGACCGCCAACTTTGAGTACAGGACTTATCAATGGTACAAATTCGTACAATAACAGCGGGACTACGGTTGGCTCTCGCTTTGAGATGAACTTTGAGGCTGGGACCAGCTACAAACTTCGCCTGGTCAATGTTGCCATCGACACCTACTTCAAATTTAGCATTGACAACCACACGCTGACTGTCATTGCCGCTGATTTCGTCCCTATCGTACCATATACTACTGATGTCTTGAGCATAGCCATGGGTAAGACAGACAAAACGCCACCACAGAGTACTGTTCTAATGCAGCGTAGGACAAAGATATGAAGTGATCGTCACAGCCGATCAGGGCGCAGAAGGAGACTACTGGATGCGTGCAACCATGATGACTGCGTGCTCGGAGAACGACAACCCTGATGACACCAAGGGCATAATCCGCTACGACTCCTCCAGCACAGCCGACCCTACGACTACCGGCTACGACTACGTCGACGAGTGCGTTGACGAAGCCATCTCCAACTTAGTTCCCTATGTGTCTCGTAGCGTCGACACAGGTGATAGCTCCACTCTCCCCGTCACAGTCGCCAAGAACACCGACGGCTGGTTCAAGTGGTCGCTCGGGACGACTTCCATGGTCGTCGAATGGGGCGACCCAACACTCCTCCAGATCCAGACCGACTCAGCAGCGACGTTTGAGGCCAACGATGCCGTCCAATCTCTCGACACTGCAAACTCCTGGGTGTACTATGTCATCTCAACCACCCTTCCCGGTACTGCCTCCCCCCCAGCCCCTGTACCTTGACTCTCTCAGTGCTGACTTTGCCACCCACAGTCCCCCATCCCATCCATCTCCACGGCCACGACTTCTACGTTCTCGCCCAAGCTGCCTCCGCGACGTACAGCTCCTCCGTCGCGCTGAACCTCAGCAACCCGCCGCGTCGCGACACCGTCAATTTGCCTGCGTCAGGCTATGTAGTCATAGCCTTCTACACCGACAACCCGGGCGCTTGGTATGTGCCCTTTAAAATCATGCCAAACATTCAAAGTACTAACTCCCGTCGTCAGGCTCATGCATTGCCACATCGGCTGGCACACGGAAGAAGGACTCGCGGTACAGTTTGTGGAGAGGCAGTCTGAGATTCCCGGTCTGCTTGACAATACGACGTTGACGGAGACGTGTGATGCTTGGAATGCATTTCAGACGTCAATTGGGCTTGTGGAGGAGGATTCGGGGATTTGAATATGGCTTGACGACGGATATATACATATATATAGATGGATGGATGGACGAATGGACGGATATGTGTTTTCGTATATATAATAGATAGAGCAGCGCAACATGTATCGTTGTTTGGCGAGGGGGAACGTCGGGATATCGATATCCGATTCTTCTGGAGAGGGTTAGACAGCCTGCGCGAGATTATGAAATTCGGTATATGTCGCCTTCATGAGCTAGGTGGTGTTGGAATGATTTAAGACATGTTTTTGTCTAACAGTGTGCTATGATACTAGTCGATGTGATTTGTACCTTCTCAAATAGTATGAGGTGACTTGCAAGGTAATTACCTGTTTTGGTATAAGCCTCGTACTGGGATGAACGCCTGTCGAGACAAAATATTCATCCTGAATCTTGGCACTACCATGGCCCAAGCTCGACCGAGGGAGACAAACGTACTGCAGTGTCCTCAAACACACGAAAGCTCTCTCTACCTTCTTTCTGCAACGTCTCCACCCATCCCAAGCATGTCCACCCACCCGAACAAGAGACCGTCGCACCTCCGCGACAAGAAAAATGACGACTTCGAGGACCGCTGGGGCGACGAAGAAGAAGTCGAGCCAGAAGAGCAAGCCGACTTTGAAGAATCCCCTGCCAAGCGCGTGAAGCTCTCTCCTGCACCACCCCAAATCACCGATGCCGAGCGCGACCAAGCCGAACGCGCCGAGTTCGAGCAGCGGCTGAAGAACAAGGAGAAGAAGCGCAGCGACCCTGTGCCTACGAAGCGCGCTCCAGAACAGCAGAATGCGTCGATTGAGGACCTGCGCCTGCGCTCGCGCCAGACATACTTGCAGAAGCGCGAGGCGGAGCAGCTGACGTTGCTGCGGCAGCAGGTCGCACAAGAGTATGCGGAGGAGAAGGCGAATCCGGACCTGAGCGCGGCGGAGATCAGGGAGTTTGCGCGGAACAGGGAGACGTTGAGGCTGGCGGAGGAGCGGTTGCGGATTGATGATCATCTGGAGGGGTATGCGCTGCCGGAGGATTATATTACGGAGAAGGGCAAGATTGATCGGAAGAGGAAGGAGGAGGCGCTGTATAAGCGGTATGTTGATCGGGATGAGCATGGGCGGGAGAGGTTTGTGACGGAGCATGAGGAGTGGGAGAGGGAGCAGACGCAGAGGGCCAAGGCGGCGGGGTATGGGAAGGCGCCGACGGCGGTGGACGATGATTATGAGTATGTGTTTGAGCCGGCGACGCAGGGGATTCAGTTTGTGGCGGACACGGTGCTGGCGGGTGATCGGAAGATGACCAAGGAACAGCAGGTGTTTGAGAAGCAGGTTTCTGCGGCGGAAGCAAAGGCGGTATCGATCGATCAGGTGAGGAAGAGTCTGCCCATGTACACGTTTCGAGACCAGATTCTGGACGCCGTGGAGAAGTTCCAGGTGCTGATTATTGTTGGAGAGACTGGAAGTGGGAAGACTACACAACTGCCACAGTTTCTACATGAGGCTGGGTATACGAAAGGAGGGCTCAAGGTCGGTTGCACGCAGCCACGTCGTGTCGCTGCTATGAGTGTTGCCACTCGTGTTGCGGAAGAGATGGGCGTCAAGATTGGCAATGAGGTGGGCTATGCTATTCGGTTCGAGGACAACACGAGCGACAAGACGGTGTTGAAGTACATGACGGACGGTATGCTGTTGAGAGAACTCCTCTCCGATCCTCAGCTGAGCAGCTATTCCGCACTGATGATCGATGAAGCCCACGAGAGAACTTTGCATACTGATATCCTCTTCGGCATCGTCAAGGATATTGCTCGCTTCCGGCCTGATCTCAAACTACTCATCTCCTCGGCGACCATGGATGCACAGAAGTTCAGCAAGTACTTTGATGATGCCCCCATTTTCAATATACCTGGTCGGCGATACCCTGTGGATATCCACTACACACCGCAGCCCGAAGCGAATTACTTGAACGCAGCTGTTATAACTGTGTTTCAGATTCACCTTTCTCAGCCTCGAGGCGACGTCCTCGTCTTCTTGACGGGTCAAGACGAGATTGAGGCCGCGGCGGAGCATCTACAAGAAACATCACGCAAGCTCGGCTCGAAAGCCCCGGAGCTCATTATCTGTCCTATATACGCCAACCTTCCCACTGATTTACAAGCAAAGATTTTCGAGCCGACTCCACCGGGTGCTCGCAAAGTTGTGCTTGCCACTAACATCGCAGAGACCTCGCTCACGATTGACGGCATCGTATATGTGATTGACCCTGGTTATGTCAAAGAGAACGTGTATAATCCGCGTACGGGTATGGAGTCCTTGGTTGTGACACCATGCTCTCGGGCATCTGCAAATCAACGTGCCGGTCGTGCAGGTCGTGTAGGACCCGGCAAGTGCTTCCGCTTGTACACCAAGTGGGCATTCCACAACGAGCTGCAACAGAATACTGTCCCAGAGATTCAGAGGACCAACCTGAACAGTGTCGTCTTGCTGCTGAAGTCGTCGGGAATCGATGACATTGTCAACTTCGACTTCATGGACGCACCTCCCGCCGACACTCTTATCCGATCCTTGGAGGAGTTGTACGCGTTGGGTGCCATGAATGACAGAGGGCAGCTGACCAAGATGGGCCGTCAGATGGCCGAGTTTCCTACAGATCCTATGCTTGCAAAGGCCGTTCTCGCAGCAGACAAGATAGGTTGTGTGGAAGAGGTGCTTTCGGTGATTGCCATGCTAGGCGAAGCGTCAGCTCTCTTCTTCCGTCCCAAGGATAAAAAGATCCACGCCGACTCTGCTCGTGCGCGGTTCAATGTGAAGGAGGGAGGTGACCACATGACACTGCTCAACATCTGGAATCAGTGGGTGGACTCCGACTTCAGCTACGTCTGGGCGCGCGAGAACTTCCTTCAGCAGAGAAGCTTGAGCCGTGCGCGTGACGTCCGCGACCAGCTTGTCAAGCTCTGTGATCGAGTTGAAGTCACGCTGTCCTCCGTTGGTGCTGGCGAGCTCATACCCATCCAGAAGGCTCTCACTGCCGGCTTCTTCCCCAATGCCGCGCGGCTGCAGCGCGGCGGCGACAGCTACAGGACGGTGAAGAACGGGCTGACGGTCTATCTGCATCCCAGCTCCGTGCTGATGGAGGCACGGCCCAAGTGGGTGATCTTCTACGAGCTGGTGCTCACGAGTAAGGAGTACATGCGCAGTAACATGCCCATACAGCCGGAGTGGTTGGTCGAGGTGGCACCGCATTTCCATAAAAGAGCTGATCTGGATAAGCTGGGGGTGGATAAGAAGGAACCCAAGGGTCAGGGCCTGGCGAGCTCTTCGAGCAGACTATGAGAATTTGTCTATTGTTGTAGTAGGGTAATCTTTCTTCATGTTTATCATACACTTGGCTGTTGCTTGCTTCTTCGTTCTCTCCGTCTATACAGTGTGCTTGCGGCGCTGTCTATCTCGTCTATTTCCTCACAGGTTCCCTGGTCCCCTTATATTTCACGCAAGAAGGCTATTCGGTGATACTGCAATTTCGTAATGTCACTTTCCAAAGTGAACAATGAAAAGGGGGGCCCGTGTGGTTCACGTGTTGCCTGGTGCACGAAAGTGGAAGGTTCTCGCCGTCATTTCTGCCTCAGTCGGGCCACCGTAGTGTTTGTTTACTTTCCCACCTTCCCGTCGCGCTTGACTCGCTTGACTCTCTTTCTCTCTCACACATTCACACACACACACACACACACAAACCTCACCTCACCTTAAAATTCACAATCATTGACCACCTTCACTCCAAAGCCGGCGAGAACATCGCCATTGCAGTCCTACGATGTCGTCTAGCTCTATCGATGTCGACCAGTTGCTGTTCCCTTTTGCTGTGTGGGTTAGGTTGTCGGAGCCAAACAGGGCAAAGGTGATTGAATACGTCTGCGAGCTTTATGACGCGCAGCCTGAGTCTAGGGTAAGATACTCGATCCTGTCTCATACGTTGGATGAGCTCGAGCTAATGTTGAATGACAATCAGGATTCTACACCACCTCCTGGCAGTGAGCCATGTTCACCGACCGTAGCTCGTGAAGTACTTGCAAGTGCGTCGAGACTACCTGAAGAATCCGGTGAAGCTGATGCCGTGCTGAATGATTCACCTTCTGCAGCTCGCAAGGATGAGTTGACTGAAGAGGAGTTTGATAGGGCTATGGAGATCACTCGCGGTATGTTTCAAAAGCTCACTATATCGACTTTTTGGGTGTCCGAACTGGGAAAATTCTTCAACAGCGAGGTTCCTGGCGGAGATGCCAGCGCTATCGGACCTGCCACTACCGGATTGGATGGTGCAGCAGCGCAGTTGGCTGAATCAAGTGAAGTAGACCCGCAAGTGACTCCAAAGGAGTCGGCTCCTACTACGAAGACTTCCGATTCACCGGCATTTGCGTCAAAGGATCCGGGCCCGGTCGAGGTCAAACCTGCCGTTGCTTCGCCGTTGTTGCCACAGGGTGGAGAATCTGCTGCTGAGATTCCGGTTACTTCTAGGGTTGCTTGTAGGACACTGCCCCTTTGCGTGAGAAAAAGGCTAATCTACACGTAGCATTTGGTATTGCCACTTCTAGCAAGTTGCCAATGACCGATCCGCCAAAGAAAGAGAATTTGTTCGCGTCGGTAAGCCAGTTCATGCGAGAATACGATCAAAAACACCCGCCAACGGATTCTGTGCTGCCGCTTTTCGCTCACCTCATCAAGGCAGGTACTCCGACTCCGACTTTCAACTTGTCGTCGCCATATGGTTCTGCAGCTGTTGTTGATACTCGAAAAGCTTCTTCTTTCGCATCCATGTTTACACAGCTGGGTGCTCCAGCAGCTGTTGATCCTCCAAAGGCTTCTCCTGCCCAATCCATCTCTAAGCCAATGAGCTCTGCTGCAGCTGTTGATCCTCCAAAGGCTTCTCCTGCCCAATCCATCTTGAAGCCAATGGACCCTCCAGCAGCTATTGATCCTCCAAAGGCTTCCCCAGCAGCTGTTGATCCTTCAAAGGCCTCTCCTGCCAAACCCATCTCTGGGCCAATGAGCTCTGCTGCAGCTGTTGATCCTCCAAAGGCTTCTGGCTCTGCGGCAGCTCCTAGATCAATCCGGGGTGGCGTTCCTAAGTTTTTTACAAACTCCGCCAGGCCCATGTTCATGTCTGAGAGACCGAGAGCAATGCAAGCACCAGCGCAAAATTCCAGCGCGCACAATGCTCCGCCATCGGCGTTGAAGCCATTCCAGATCAGCGCACCCAAGAAGGTTCCTCAGGCCTCGTCCACCGGCCCGAAGTTATCGTTCAATCAGGATCCTCCAAATTCAATGCAAGCGCGTGCCCAAGGTCCTCCCATCAGCGACTTCTCTTCCGCGAGCAGAGTCGCCCAGAGGAGCATTCCGTTTGCATCTGGCCATTCTCGCAATCAGGCAGCGTCCTTTGATCGTTCCTCAGCTCCTAGGCACAATCCTTACGTAGCAAAGCCTGTGAGCAATGTCTTTGAAGTTGACGGACCTACTACCTCGCCCGTGGAGACCAAGCCTCTCAGGGTCAAGCGAGCTGCTGTCAAGATGGCCGGCCCTGCCACACCCATAGTGGCTGCTACTACTCCGAAAACGGCATCTCCAAGTGGTGACGCGGTCAGCGCTGCCCAGACTCCCGTACCACGTAGCTCGCACCCAGTCGTAGATTCCCAGAAGAATCTGGTGTCAGAGCAGCTTCCTCGTGATCTTGGTGTCCAGCAGAATCTTGCATCTCCAGGTCCAGTTTCTACCATGCCCACGCTGACCACCAAGACAGTTGATGCCGTTCGTAAGCCTACAATGACGCCTTCTGTAAATCTCGAGGGAAGCACTGTTCATGTGCAACCTATCGGCTCGGGTAAGTCCATCTCTCCCTCCAAGAAAGAGAAAGAGACATCGACTGCCACTCCAGCAGTCAAGCAGTACGCCTTTGGTGCATCTGGAAGTATCAAATCCGGTATGCAGCATAGTCGTTATGCCCGTTGATGCGGCAAGTCTCACGAACCTCGGACAACACATGACCATCATACTAACCTTCCATACAGCTTCAACACCTCCGCTCTTGTTTGGATCTCCACTCTCATATGCACCCTTGGAAGGAGTCGCTCATGGAAGCGACGATGATTTGATTGATTTCGACATTTCTTCGGCTGATCGAAGAGGATTTATCGCAATGACTTGCAAAATGAAGAAAGGTTGCACTTGCAAAGATTGTATAGGAGGGACGTGGTCAGGAAAGCAGATTGCAACCATTTCACTACTTGATTAATTTGGCGCATTGAAGGCCACTAATAATTTGCTCACAACGTGAGTTCATGGACCTGACTGGTGTGGTCACAAAAAGAAAATGGAGTAGAGAAAAGCAACAAAGAAAACCGCAAGCAGTGACGAACGTCGCGTAAGCGACTAGTAGCACAGCGGTGAGCATCCCATAGGTATGAAGCAATGCGTGTTACATTGTAGCCAACGTGACTTGAACCGGTTTTTTGCTTCTTGATACGTGAAGTTTGGCGTTGCGTTCTCCCATTTTTCAGAATTTGACTTGGTGAAGGACTTCTCAATCCGGTCTGACTTGACACATCTCCATGGTAAGTTGACCGGCTCAAGTCAGCAATCAACTCAAATTTCTCACGACTGTCAGGGTCAGATTTAAGTTCCAACTTCACTGAATCTCCTCACTGGTAAGGTCATGTGAGCTTTATCTGAGTGGTCAAATGTGAAGTAAGGTGGGAATGCCTCCCAGCCGAGTCAATAGTAGAAATTGAATACAATTTCTCCACCCACTTACCCGGCAACGACTTCAAGAAAGGATCGACGTCAAGTATAGATCATCTCATGCTATCGCTGCCACCCGGCACTTTTCAGAGATTACCTACTTGGCCTACTATCTCTACGGCCTATTTATACCGCTTTCACTGTTACTTGACTTTTCACCTGCGTCCCTTTCCGTCTTCTCTTCTCTTCTTCTATTTCTTTCTTTTCTTTTCTCTCTCTCAATACAACAAGAACATCTCCTTCAATCTCTTCTCCAACCTCCAAAAGACAGACAGACAGACAGACAGACAGACAGACAGACAGACAGACAGACAGACAGACAGACCAGTCAGTCAGTCAGCAAGAATGTCCTACAACTACCACCACCCACCGAAACGCATCCACTATCCCGACGGCACCACCACCTCCAACAACAACAACGACCCAATGACAGACCAAGTCCTCTCCACAATCCTAACCTGCCTCACCCCGCCACAACTCCACGACCTGATCAGAGTCATCAGCGCCCGTCTGCGCGACCGCAGTATTCCTGCTTCTGTGGGTGCCCAGGCGGCGAGGCGCATTAGTGAGGTAATTCAGAGGAATCTTCGGGAGTGTGCTTTTGAGGGTGATGGGGTTGAGGGTCGGGATGGGGATGGGGTTGTGGGTGGAGATGGCGGTCTGGGCAGGGGTGAGGTGGATGTGGATGTGGATGTGGATATGGAGGTGGAGCTGAAGTCGGCTGCTGCGCAAGATGAGAGGAAGAAGACGAAGGCGATTGATATGGGGAATTTGATCAGTTTCGATGATGTGCGTATTCATCCTTCCTTCTCCCTCTCCTTCCCCTTCTCTGCATGCACATACACAGCACATACACACAGCTCACTCAAACAGCTCCCCAAACACATCCCGAATGTACCAGTCCGAACCTCTCCTCCTTCCGTCCCTCTGACACCAAAGAAATCGAACATCGACCAGCAAACCGTACACCACAGTCCTGATACCAATACCAACAATACCACACACACCACAGAACGCATGGATTCCACCCCCGATACCATCCCAGCCACTAATCTATCCCACATGCGAAGTTCCGAGGGGAATAGATACCATCGTGCAAATGGTGCAGGAGTACTCGATTACGACGACGTGCAGTATAATGACAACAACGACAGCACCAACGACCCGAACGACAAGAGAAGCTATACCCGATCCCATCCTGCGAATCACACCTACAACCCTCGCACCCCTGGCCACATCGACCACCAAGTCCATGACAGGAAGCATGTCGCCGTGCCGTCGTTCACGGCTGATTTCATGGCTCAGTTTGCGCGGCTGCATGAGCAGGAGCATGAGCAGCAGCAGGAGCAGCTCGAACAACAACAACAACAGCAGAGAACTAGGACGATTACCGCCCAACTGCCGAAGAACGCGCATAAGCATACAGTTTCTCCATCTGCTGTCTCGCATCACAACTACAATCATGCTGGTGCCGAAGCAGCACACGTCGCGGTACCTAGCTTCAATATCGATCTCATGGCGCAGTTCAAGGAGCAGCATGCTGCGGCTGTGCGTGTGGATGGTGGTATGGGTGGAGGGCGTGTAGAGGAGCATGGACATGTAAATGGACATGGACATGTAAATGGACATGGACATGCAAATGGACATGCAAATGAAAATGGACACGCAAATAGACACGCAAACAACACCCCACCCAACCCCCTCCTCTCCCGCTCATCAGCCAAAACTTCAACCCCAATCTCAGACATCAACATCACATACCCCTCCCAGCCAGCCCCTCGTACAAATACACCAAACACCACACCCAACACCACATACAAGCCCCCCACCACAACTCTCCCCGCCAAACGAGGCGGCATGATGACCACGACGACAACGGGCGGAATGCCGAGTGTGAAGCGTGTTAAGACGGAGGGTGGAGAGCAGGGTGGGAGATTGGGGGGAGCAGGTGGTGGTAGTAGTGCTGGAGCAGATGACGACGTGCGCGGTGGGATCCAAGACTTACAGATGCACATGGCGGCCATGATGGAGCAGTTGGCGCGGTTGAGTGCGGTGGGGGGTGCGTGAGATTGTGGTTTGGTGGTGGTGTGTGGGATGGCTTGGTGGTGGTGCGTGGATTGGGGAATCGACGTGGGCTCGTATGGATCAACCAAAGGATGAAGGAAGAGGAATGCGTTCATTTATTCATTTGTCTGGCGGACTTATGGGTGCTTGGAGATTTGACACTCGCGACAAAGGGTCGTGATTTATGCGAGGGATTCGATTTGCTTTTTTTTTTTTTTTGGGACGATGGTGCATTTTCAGGGGGGTTCTGCTCTGACTGCGCAGGGAGGGTACGACGATATATTCGGCGTGTGGTTATTTATACAGGCGCAGGGTGCATATTTCCAAGTTCGATGGTTCTATCAATCAGGCAAGCAATAACAGCGATCTTGTCTCCATGATAAAAATGCCATGCGCTTCATAAACATTCGTGTCCCTTTCCTAAACCCCCAAAACCCGCATTTACAAGCCACGCTTCCAACGTACGAAACCCAACACACGAACCTCACGTCTAATGACTGATATACTGAAACACAGCACTCACATCCCGCTCCCCAGTCTCCTGCCTCAGCAACAGATCCTGAATCTTACCCAACGGACCGTCCGCACCATCATTAACAAAATGATTCCACGTACTCGTGTCGCCATACAGCATCGCCGGCGCCTTGATATGCTGCCGCCCATCAGCCCTGCAGCGCTTACACTTGAACGTGTCGTGCGTATCCGACGTCGTGTCCGGCTGATAGAGGAACAACTCGCGCAGACTGTCGATGCTAAAGTGCCGCTCGACGTCCTCGTTCGAGTCGACGACGCACGAGGAGAGGGACTGCTTGTGCGACTGGCGCTGGAAGATCTTCTCTTCGATGCTGCCCGTGCCGATGAAGCGGTAGACGAAGCAGTCCTTCTTCTGGCCGTCGCGCCAGACGCGCGCCAGGGCTTGCTGGTCCGCGGCCGGGTTCCAGTCTGGGTCGAAGAGGACGAGGCGGTTGGCGCCGATGAGGTTGAGGCCGCAGCCGCCGGCCTTGGAGGAGAGGAGGAAGACGAATTCTGCGCCCGCGGGGTCGTTGAATTTGTCGACGAGCTTTTGGCGTTTGTTGACGTTCATTGTGCCGTCGAGGCGGAGGCAGCCGTAGCCTCGTGCGCGGCATAGCTTGTCGAATACGTCTAGGGTCTGGGTGTAATTGCTGATGAGGACGATCTTGTCGTTGGTGTCGGCGTGGATGCGGGCGAGCATGCGGTCCAAGACTTGCATCTTGCCGGAGAAATGAGTCTTGACGTCTCGGTCGCGGCCTCGGGCGTCTTTGGGGGTGAAGTCTTCTGGAAAAAAGTTCTCCGAGCCTGGTAGATCGGATGGTAAGTCGAGTAGATCAGGGTGGTTACAGAGTTTCTTCAGCAGGCCGATTGCCTTCAACGGCTGGCTACCTTTCCCGCGGAGCAGAGCCTTGATCTCTGGTGACTTGATGAAGAAGTTGTAGAGGTCTTTCTGGAACGGCGCCAGGTTGCAGAATACGACGTGCTCGTACTTGACTGGCAGGTATTTCGACAGGATATCGTTCGTCCGGCGGATGATGAACTTGTTCACAAGACCGAGCAGCTCTCTGATACACTCGTCGCCTTTCTTTCTATCCTCGTCAGTGCCGTCCGCATCACGACCTCTCAAGATTGGGATCTCAAATCGTTTCCTAAAGTCGTTGCGCGTGCCAAGGTAGTTGGGGTTCGCGAAGTTGAGGAGTGCGAAATACTCTGACAAGTCGTTCTGGATGGGAGTTCCCGAAAGAATTACACGTCTCTGTACATTTAGGCTGTTCAGTGCAGTGAATGTCTGGCTCTCGCCATTTTTGAGGCGATGACCCTCATCGCAAAGCAAGAGACCGATGGGTGTATCGCTCAGCTCGCCAACGTTGAGACGTAGTGTTTCGTAGGACACGATAATGACTGGACGAGTCACTGTACGTCCGCTCGCAATCTTCCATTGTCGGAGCTGCTGGGTCAGCTCCTCTTTCGACGCTTTACCATCGATAGCAAAGGGGTTAATGGCGTCCTTGCCAAGCCACTTCACAAGCTCATTCGCCCAGTTGCGAACCAGACTAGAAGGACATGCGATGACGCACTTCTGTATGGTTGGCTTGCCTGCATCAGGCGACTGTTTCAGGAGCGTCCACATGAGAGCAATGCATTGGAGCTTATACCGTCAGCAGGAGTCCAAGGGGAGAAGCAAGACACCTACAGTTTTTCCAAGACCCATCTCATCAGCCATGATGCACCCTTGTGCCTTCGAGTCTATCATTCCAGTCGTGCACTGATACATGAACTTGACACCCTCGACTTGATGCGGCCTCAAGACCTTTGCAAGTCGTGGGTCAATCACTACAGGTACTCTCGGTCTATCCTCGACATTCTTTTTCAGCCCAAGTATGTCTGCCAGACTCTTATGCATAATGGGAACCTTCATCTCCTCTTTCTGTGACCCGTCCAACTTCTTTTCCACTTCTTCTTTGGGTTCTGGTTTATCATCTACAGTTGGGTCATACAACACAATCGCAAACTCGCCGCTCGGGTCGTGCAGAGGTTTCGCCTGGAACACTCTCCCCTGTCTCAAGCCGAGCAACGGTGGAGGCTTAAACGCATTGTATTCCCCCGAGCCCTTATTGAGCAGGGGGACGGCGAAGCGTTGTCGAAACAGCGTATCTTTGTCCTTCGGCTTGAATACCGGAAACTTGTTAATGTCCCTCGTGGCGAGCGCCAGTCGGTCCTCATTCGTGTATTTGCCATCGCCATCTTCGCCCGTGCCGTCTGCTCCACCGTAGTCTACCTTTCTTCTCTTCCTTGCGGGCTTCTCCGACGCACGAGTCGGTGTTGCACAGCCGGGCATCTTGAAAGGCTTGCGCAGTTTATCGGCCGACTGAGGCGTGCCACCATAGAGGCGAGAGGGTTTCTGCGAGATCCCGGGCTTGTTTTCCTTGTCGTCGCTCAGCGAGAGAGGTTTTGGTCGATGCCTACAGTTGTCAGCTTTATCATAGTATTGTGATCTTGAGGTTAAGCGTACATAGGGAGTGTTCGGTGGTGTATACGCAACGGAGGAGGGATCATGACGCGCGACGACTTTGAGGTAGACGCGCCACTTGCCAAGACCATGACGCGCAGTCACATGATGATTTCGAAATGAAAACAGACATCGAAGAAAAGAAAGAAACTCGATTTCTCTTTTTCTTCGGGACTCAATGGCTAGCTGTCTAGAAACCATCGAGTCAATTGGACAGTATCAATCACATGTCTCATATGACTTCTCAACATGCGACACGGACAGGTAGAAATTATAGTCGAGTGAATTAACGACGACAATGGCTTTTCTGCCAAAGGTCAAGCTATCATTGGAGAACTGTGGCCTCAGACTTATCATGGGCACCCATTACACAATGCCGTCTACTTGATGTATTCTGCCACGCTGTCCTGAGCACCTGCTGCTTCTCTCCTGTACAGCTCATCAATCAGCTTATGACGAACGACGGCGGTCTCCCAGTCCAAGTAATTGTCTGTCCTTCCATCTGCGAAAGCTTCATATATACGCGCAATATTCTGTGCTGGTTGAGGCAGCTCAGACCATTCGTCCTTGTCGGCCTGTACCTCCACAAGTTCGCCGCCGTCTTGGTATAGCTGTATCTTGGTATCAGGGTGTCCAACGTTCATCATCGCACCCCCAGCTGTAAGTTTTATCTCTCCAGTCTCACCGTAGATGCGCCAATCGAGGCCTTGGCCCTCGCCTGGCAACGACTTTCCACCGCGCAGGTGATATGAGAAGAGAGCTCCAGACTTGAAGTGTCCCTGTACGAGAAACTGGTCTGGCGAAGTCCGAGTGACCGTTTCGACAACCTTGCGGGACGGATCAGTCAGGACCTTGTCTGTGAGATCGACTTTCGGGCGCTTGGTGTCGATGATAGAGCTATAGGTTGCTAGGTCGCCGAGAACTTGGAAGACACCTTCGATTGCTACACAATACAATTATGAGTGATTGGCTTTAGTCAGTGGTCAGGGGGCACACTTACAGTGCATGAAGTGTATGGTGAGGACATTGCCTCCAATCTCTCTAGTCGTAATATAGCGTAGTTCTGCCCATTCCTGTGGCCCGCCATTGTATGCAGCTCCAGTGAATGTTGAGCTGAGGACCTTCCCAATCTTGCCTTCATCGATTAACGCTTTGACTTTTTTGATAAATGGCGAGCTGAGGGCTTGCAATCCGATCATAGTCTTGGACCCCGACTCCTTCGCAATCTTTGCGAGCTCCTCGGCTTCTGCGAGATTCTTTCCGAGTGGCCATTCGCAGAAAACATCCTTCCCGGCTTTGACTGATGGGAGCAAAGTCTGATAGTGTCTGTCGACTCGGACAGAGCATACTACAAGATCAACATTGGGGTCCTTGGCGAGGTCTTCTGGGGAGCCGTATGCTGCGACGTTGTCCGCAAGTGAGTGAGCCTTGATGGCAGCACGAGCGCTATCTGCAGAAGAATTGCATAACGCTGTGATGATATATTTCGAGGATTTGCGCAAGTATGGTAAATGGGCATTGACAGCCCAACTGCTAGAGGCGTTCAAGCCGATTATTCCAAGACGGATTGGTGCCATGATCTTGAGGGGTAGGAAAGGCTTTGCGTTATATTGTCGTCTCTGCTTAATGAGTTGTGCTCGGTCGATTCTCAAATAACCCAGAGGGGCTTATATATTCGTAATCACGTCATAGCCTTCTCCGCATTGATTGATGCACGCATTTGTAAGCGGAGAGTTTGGCATAGGATGCCTTGAGACGCCGCATCCAATTGGTAAGTCTGTAATATGGCTGAAGTTTCACAACAGTAGTGTCTTAACTCGATAACTCGAATGTTTTGATCCACCCAAGCTGGATCTCGATAAGTACAGCTCGAACGGAGTACGGAGTTGCGCCCATCATATGCTAACCCACTTGGGAAACGAGCTTGGAAGCTTTGTCATGTCCCGAAGCGCATAAGCACCAGAACAACACCGGACCTCGGTGTACCTCTGCACTGTTCTGTATTGCAGAATATGCTTTGTGATTACGAACTTCCACCTTGAGTGCTGAAGTCCGGGACCTGTTCCCTAAGGGGTTAGGGTGAAGTCCCCATGGGAACAAATCTCAATTGAAGTTGGAGAGCGTCATCTCGAGTGTCTGGCTGCAGCAACATGCCTGACAATCTTCGGAGGAGCCTGGTTTGTAATGTATCCACCTCACATGAAGTGTCCATGGTTGGGAGGGTGCCCTAATCATCCTTCTTCTCTTACTCTGCCACCACTGCCCCCTATATCCCACTCGACCCATCTTGCCCCTTTGTTGCCTTTCCTCGCGCTGGTATCTCTGGCACAGCGTCCAGGGTTGAGCACAGCACAACCTGCATAGCTCAGTGCAAATGGCGGGGCTTCAGAGTCTGCAATTACAAGCACATTCGGTAGTGGGTACAGAGACAGCGCTGAGCCGTATGACCAGTGCTGAGGTCGAACAGACATTGGAAACGGCGAAAGGTGGGATTGCGAGAGCAAAGTGAAAGCAAGCGCCCGGGCAGTCTGAACGTGTGGATCAACTCCTGAGTCCAAAGGATTCGTAGATGCCTCATCGCCCGTGACGTCTACTTCCATAGACTGGGCGTCCTGTGTCGCTTGCCTTGGAGGGGACGAGGGCAGTCCACCAGACATCGAGTACTCTGCGTTTCTTGTCTGGGTTGCCGCCACGTTTTCTTCGCCTTCGGCTTCGTCATCTCGTTCGTTGAACCTAATAGCCGTGCGACGAAGTCTGCCCAACATATCATCTCGTAGTAGCACCATTTCACCCGCAACACCAAACCAACTCAAGCGCGATGGATTTGTGGTCCATATCGCCTCTCCTTCTTTGATGCCCTTGCGGTTAGCTGCTACACCGTGCACTTCTCTGTTAGCCTCTGCTACAACACGACGTATTCGACTCGTGAAGATATCAGGAATAGCCTTCCTAGGCAACGGAACAGCAGCACCTGCCGAATGGGCCGAAGCCCAGGCATCGTGATCTCCAGGCACAAAAATCAGTGTCGTTCGCGCTATCAATTGAGGAAACTCTGACAGAAGGGAGGCCAAAGAGTCAAACGACTCTTTGTACTCTATACTGCCACTGCCAGACGCCCCTGAAAGTGCAGCATTTGTTGCAAAATTACCCATAAGGACCATAGCCAAGGGGTAGGATGGAACTGGTAGAGATGAGTAGCTTGACAACATTGTCCGTAGAGCAGATAATGTTGCTGGTTCCGCCAGATTTAGTTCTGATGCAATGGCTATTATACCGCTGCGAGCTGGTGGCGAAGGCGTTCCTAAGTCTACTTCCAGGGGTGGAGCAAGAAGACGCTGGCACAGTCGCCGCATTCGCGATCCATTGCCGCGCTCAGATCCAACCCCTAGAAAGTCTGTCCAGCCAAATGCTGGACCAGCGAGTGCATCATCGGCTGTTGCGTCCTTGATTCCAAGTGTAGTGTTTCGACGTTCGACCGGCGGATGACCAACAGAGAAACAGACAAACTTGCCACCAATTGTGCCACCGATACCGCCAGTACCACCAAGTGCTGAGGCCGAACCTGCTGATGGATTGCTGTCATCTTCTTCGTAGGATCCGTCAATTAGCGCCATCATCCCAGGGGCAAACCAAGCGCCGTCTTCGGGAATGGGTCGAGCGTGCTGGAGATCTAGTGCTATACTTCCAGTCAAATCAGACAGGGCGAGGGTGCCTGTGGGAGCAACGGTCAAAAGTCCGAATAGAAGATGCGTACTGCCCCCGCGGCCAAGGAGGTTTGCAATTGGTGTTATTTTGTTGTACTGTCCGTTCGAGGCGACACTTTGTAATGAAGACTTGTGCGTATTTGCAGAAAATGTCGGTACTTGAAAAGCCTCGTTACGCAGGATGCGCTGGTGAACTACATGATACCTCTGACGGAACATTTCAATTCGATGTGATGGTGGCGCAAGGAGAGATGGCTTCGTAGTAGATCTAGACGATGGTTAGAGTCTCCTCGGCCGGGCGTTTATTTCATAGTAACATACTTCTCGAAGTGTCTTTTGCCAACATTGTACACCAATCTTGGTTGATCAAACCCCCCTATTACTTTGAGCCAATCCCGGGGGTCTTTTGAAGCATCTTCCTCGTCTTCGTTGTCTTCCACCCCAAGACTTGACATGCCAAAGCTATCCTGTCTTTCGTCTATGGCAGGTCTTTCGGATATGCCATTATGCAAAGCTGCATCTGGACCAAATGCAAAGCTTCCTTGTCTGCTCACACTCGGTGTGCCACTCTTCCCTTGAATGATTCTACCGCCAACCATGCAGCTTTCTAAACCTTTTAGAATATCCTTGAGCATACCACTGTCGCCATTTATTATGACTGACCCGCCTGCTTTTTTCCAACTCCGAGCAACTTCCTCCAGAACACGCTCAGCGAGGCCTTGTTCCCGCCATCCCTGACCACAATGGCGCCCGATGAAAGTCGCAAGACTGCCGAGGGCAGAAGATTGTAGGTTCAGATCATGGTTACGTGTGAAAACTCGGACAGCAACAGGACGAAGGAGGTTTGGCGGGAGCAAAATCGGTACTATAGGCTTGATGGCTGCTGGTGCTGGAATCGCATTGATGGGCTGTGAGAGGATGGGATGCACTGGTGTTCCAAATCCTGGAGAAGATGATGGAATCGGCGCTTTCTGGCCTAGTGAAGACGGTGCTGTCCGTCTAGGATTTATCGTCGACATTGCAGTTGAAATGTGTATGAGAGAAATGTACACCGGAGTGCCGATGCGGGACAGTTTAGAGTGAGACGCGCCTAGGCGCGTCGCGTCAACTCGTGACCACACTTTAATCCTTGATACTTGCGCTCAGAGATAAACCGCATCTTACACCTACAGACTATCGCATATCTTCAAAGTTCAGTTGCGACTACAATCACTATGGATGACAACGAAACACCCACGCTCGCCGCGATTGCGAAACTTACTGAGAATGCAAACCTCCAGTACAGCCTCAAGAACTACGATGCCGCTGCCGAGCTGTACTCGCGCGCAACCGAAATGCAAGATGAACTACATGGAGAGATGGCGCCAGAGAGCGCGGACCTACTATTCCTATATGGACGCTGTCTTTACAAGGTCGGCGTAAGCAAGAGTGACGTCTTGGGCGGAAAGGTCGCCAGCGAGGAGAAGAGCAAGAAGAAGGGGAAAACATCGAACGGCGAGGGCAGCAGTAGTGCGGTGTCAAAGAGCAACGCTATCTCAAATGCCGGCGATCAGAACGCAGAGGCAGTGTTGGAAGCTGCGGTGGAGACTAAGGATAGCACAAAGCCGGCAGACCAAAGCAAGGCTGCAGACAAGCCATACTTCTCGATCACAGGAGATGAAAATTGGGACACGGACTCGGACGATGAAGACGCTGGAGAAGAAGGCGATGCCGCAGAAGACGAAGATGATGACGACTTCAAGATAGCCTACGAGATTCTAGATACAGCACGCGTAATTCTACAGCACAAGCTAGAAAATCATACCGGACAGTCCAACATAAAGAGCGATAAAGGCAAAGACAAAGCCCATGAATTATATCCAGGAGATGTCTCAGATCCAGTTGTGCGCGCAACCAAGGAGAAATTGGCCGAGATTCTGGACTTACAGGCGGATATCTCACTAGAGAGTGAACGATTTGAAGATGCTGTACCAGACAATCAAGCTATATTAGCTCTTCGAAAGGATCTTCTACCACCTGAACATGCTTTCATAGCAGAATCATACTACAAGCTCTCACTCGCCCTCGAGTTCGCCTCACTCACGTACCACGAAGGGGAAGGGGAGCCGCCTTCGGTGGACGAAGGAATGAGGAAGGATGCCGCAAAAGCTATGGAAGATGCGATTGCGAGTTGCCATTTGCGCATCAAGACTGAATCAGAGAAACTCTCATCTCTCAGCGCTGAGGACAAAGTCAAGAAAGAGCTTGAAATCAAAGACGTCAAAGAATTGATTGCCGAGATGGAGGAACGGGTAAGCTCCCCTTTAAGTTGGTTAAAAATTTATAGTGCTAACACTGCGCAGTTGGTCGATCTCAAGGCTTCTCCTTTAGAAGTTCCTAACCTTGCAGGCCCGGCTGGAGCAGCCGATGCCAATCCTCTCGGGGGTATTCTAAGCTCGATTTTGGGCGAAACACCTGGACAGCAGAAGGCTCGAATCGAGGAGGCTGTCAAGGGAGCAAACGATCTCTCTGGAATGGTGAAGAAGAAGAAGCCTGCGCCAAGTGCAGCAGCCGGACCAAGCACAGATACGAACGGCAAAGGAAAGCGGAAGCTCGAAGACGGAGACGACTCCGACACATCAAAGAAAGCCAAAGTCGAGGATGCCTAAGCTGGATGATTAAGGATGCCATATATTGGAGTTTTGTGCTATAAGTGGGCGTTGAGCATATTCGCTTTAGAAGCCCCTGATCTTACATCCAATCTGTATTGTACATGTTACCATATACCGAACTTCAAAACAAATGAGCAATACTCCTTAACTCAGGACTAACAGCCTCTTTACTCCTCAACGTAAGTCCAGCAGCCCTCTGTGCCAGTCCGACCACTTCTTCGACTCTTCTCCCCTTCAAGATACCCGCGACTACCGCGCCCAAGAACGTATCACCCACCCCATTGACACTGACCACATCTTCACCCACCAACACCTCAGGTGGCTCAAATAGTCTCATATACACGCCACCAACCCCACTCCCATCCACATTAGTTCTACTGAGCACATACGGCTTATACTCCGCCCTATGCAACCTCTCATCTCCCCTTGGCAGCAAACTAGTCAACAGCACACCCTTGGGCCCCAATTTCGTCAAAATCGTCGGTATGAAAGGCAGCAACTGAATGCCCATCTGTGGAATCCCCTGGTCCACCAAGTCCGCATTCGTCGCGTGCGTCAGCGCCGTACGCAGCCCACTTGACGATATCCCCAGCGCGTCAATGACCTCCCACCAGTCCTGCCTGCTCAGCAGCGCTTGCTGTGCTGTGGCATGCATAGCCGCGAGCTCGTGCTGGTTTGGTGTCGCGATATCGACGATATGCTGCGGGAACACCCCGATGTCAGATGCGGTGCCGTGTGCGGGGCCGGAGAGGAAGCGCGCAGCTTTCGATGTGCTGACGGGCTCGAAGGCGGTTGTAGCACCGACGGCTTTGCCGGCTCTAAGCCAGGTGTGTGCTGCGTCGCGGGACCAGTTACCGTCTACGACGACGCATGCTGGGGTGAAGGTGCGGTCAGTGATGGAGGGCCATAGCGAGGGGATTGATGCTGACGGGATGTCCTCGAGGATGGTCATGTCGGCCATGGCGAGCATGAGGTCTTTATTGGCGTCATTGACGGCGATGTATTGGGCTGTGCGGGCGGAGGAGGCGGAGGAGAGTGTTTTGATGCCTTCTGTGCTGAACTTTTGGGACTGTAGTTGTACAACTGCGGCATGGCCGCTTAAGTCATCGCCGATGGCGGTGCAGAGGGAGACTGAGCTACCTAGGTAGTGGAGAGCTTTGGCAATGTTGTGACCTACACCGCCGAGGGTTTGAGTGATGCGAGATGGGTTAGAGGTATGAAGTTGAGGTGTGGTGCTCGTCTCAGAGGGAGTACCGGAGAAAGGGGTATAATCGCAGGCAAAATCTACGGCTAGAGCACCAGCAACAATGACTTCAGTGTTCGCAGTTTCAGCAGCTTCAAGAGGTGTTACAGGTATCTCAGATGAAGAAGATGAACTTGGCGTAGAAGCAACAGAGACAGTAGACGTAGTAGACGGCATGAACGTATTTGAAACACTACGTACATGTCCAATCAGTCCGAGGGTCTCCGAAAGTCAACGATATATCTCACCCAGTCTCGGCTCCCCTCTCATTTGCTTCTAATAGACCAAGTTCCCGGGCTACGATTGTACCACGTCTTACGTTGGATTCGATGAGAGCTCTGTTCGCAGGTATGCTGTTCCCCTTGGTCAACTCCTTGATTTTGTTCAGAATGTATGGCGTATTAGCGTTTCCATATGCCCCTGCGGCCTCAGCTTCCTTGATGGCTTCCGCAATCACCAAGTCCATCTCTGCCTTCGGAATCTGGAATTCTTCAGGGATAGGATTTGCAAAGACAAGGCCAGACTTGATTCCAAGTGAATTTTGAGCATCTGAAATGGTTAGTGATCCTTTACTTCGGCACAAGAGCAACCCTTACGTATGATGGCAGCAGCCTCGATTTCATCTTGAATTGTGACCGGGCTTTTCACACCGCTATCACGAGACCAAAACGCCGGAAAATCGACATTTCCCTGTCGTCCATCGGCGAATGTGCCGACCCCTGCGCCTTCAGTCTCTAGATATTCAATCGTCCGTCCTATGTCCAGGAAACTCTTGCACCCACTACTGACCACTGCTACAGGGGTCCTGCCGAGTTCTGTCAGATCTGCTGATATATCCATGGACGACTCAGCGCCACGATGGACACCACCTAGTCCCCCAGTTGCGAAAACCTTGATACCAGCTAAATGGGCCAGAACCATGGTTCCAGCTATTGTCGTACCTCCATTGAAATTCTTGCCGACAAGTCTCTGGTAACTGAAATCAGAGAGGTATGCAAGGAAAGGGTCCAGATCATTCATACCATTCCACAAACATAACTTAAATCACGTCTAGAGAGCTTCAAAGTCGTGTCTTTCCCGGCAGACGCAGTTAGTCGGATGAGCTCTTCTGCATCAAGGCCAACACGGGCTACTCCATCAATGACTCCTATAGTTGCTGGGACACCACCATTCACGCGGACTATACTTTCTAGATGCGATGCTAATGCAACATTGTCTGGATATGGGAAGCCTACCATGTGTCAGCTTCAGTCAAGCTTCTACACTTGACAAGTGGCGATCAGGCCTGACCGTGCGTATATATAGTGGTCTCCAAAGCCACAACTGGTTTGCCTGAATTCAATGCTTCTCTCACTTCATCATGCACCCGAATAAAACTGTTGTTCTTTGTGCTAGCATGCCGCCAACGGATGGATGATGCCTGCCTGACAGTACAGCGTAGGGCTGATGTCCGTCCAAAGACCCCAAACATAGCCATAATTGATATGGCACCCAATCAGGAAGAGAATGGATGTTTGGTGTGCTAAAGCGATCGTACTGCAGCAAATCCATACGCGGGACGAGGCAGCGTGGGGGTCATCTGCCAAGACTTTCGCGAAGCTGATGCATCGTGGCCGGAACATCTGCTGTGGAGAAGTGAACTTGAATGGAAGCATCAACAGGACCACAACCATAAACACAGCCACCACAGTCTTGATGCTGGGCTCGATAAACACATACCCAGCATGATACTCCTACCTACCATTGCGAGCTGCTTGACAGCATTCGCATCTCTCACGGCCGCGCAATCGAACTTCTCAGAACCCAAGCTCTCGAAACAGATACTCCCAGCAGAATTTAAGCCCCCGCAGGTGTTCCGGAATACCAATCTCGTGAAGAACATTGACTTGAGCAAGGAGTATGCGAGAGAGACTGTCAATCTCATCATTGAGAATATCGACTCCAGACCACAGTCGGAATACTATCTTCCCTTCGAATCAGCGCTCATTGCTCGCATCGGCGGCTTCGAAGTTAGAGACAAGAAGGACGCATCGAAAGATGCCTTTAGAGTCGAGGTTGTCGAATATGACACAGAAAGGTCAACTAAACAGATTCTATGTAATTGTTCTATGCTGACGCTCATCAGTTCCACCGAGTTTTATCGAATCCACCTCCCCTCGCCTCTAAAGCCAAAGGAAACCCTAACACTTAGCATCTCATACACCGTCCTCTCCGCCCTCGAGCCTCTTCCCGCAGAAATCGAGCAAGTTGCAAAGCAATACGTCCAATACACCTTCTCCGCCTACACGCCGTCCGCCTACCTGACCCAAAAGCAAAAGACCAAGCTCAAATTCCCAACCTCCGACGTCCCAGACTACTCCAAGCTCCCCAAAGCCACCAACGCCGATGGCAAAGAAGATCCGCAGAAGCAAGGCAAAGAATTCACATATGGTCCGTATGCCGACATTCCCGCCGGCGCCTCCGCGCCCGTCGCCGTGCGCTACGAGTTCACGAAGCCCCTCATCCACGCCTCGCTCCTAGAGCGTGACATCGAGATCTCGCACTGGGGCGGCAATATCGCGTTCGAAGAGCGCTACTGGCTCACGAACCGCGGCGCCAAGCTCAAGGACCACTTCTCGCGCGTCTCCTGGGCCATGACCCAGTTCCAGAAACCCGCGACGTTTGCGCTCAAGGAGCTCAAATTCCCCCTCGCCGTCGGCTCAGTCAATCCGTACTTCACAGACGACATCGGCAATGTCAGCACAAGCCGCTTCCGCAGTAACGCCCGCGAGGCAAATCTCGAGCTGAAGCCGCGCTACCCGCTGTTCGGCGGCTGGAACTACAAGTTCCGCGTCGGCTGGGACGCCGATCTGAAAGGCTACCTGCGGAAACTCAAAACGGGCGATGGCTATATCCTCAAGGTGCCCTTCCTCGAGGGCCCAAAGGCATCCGAAGGCATCGAGTACAAGCGCGTCGAGCTCCGCGTCGTCCTGCCCGAAGGCGCACAGTACGTTTCTTACCCCCCCTCCCCCAAAACACCCCTCCCCCCTCTCTACACACACACCACTAACCACACCAACCAACTCTCAGAAACATCAAATTCGACACCTCCATCCCGCTCATCGCAAGCGACACCACCCTCCACCACACCTTCATGGACACGCTCGGCCGGCCCACCGTCTCGCTGACGGCCATCAATCTCGTCGACGATCTGCGCGAGCGCGACCTCATCATCACGTACGACTATGCCTTCCTGGCCGGGTTCAGGAAGCCGATTGTCATTTTCAGTGCGCTTGTCGCTGTGTTTACGGTGGCGTGGGTGGTGGGGAGTATTGATGTCAGTATTGCGGCGAAGAACAAGAACAAGAAGATCACGAAGAGGTGAACAGAGAGGGTGGATAAGAAGGGTCAGATGGCTGATTCTATCTTCGATGTAGTAGTATTTAGAGGGTAGAGGGAGGGACGGAGGGACGAAAGGAAACACGTAGTATGATTTGCAGGTTCATGAAAAGTATAGATTCTATCACAGAGAATTGTATACAATACCATTACGGATTATCTTATACACACCGCAGCAATACACCATCAAAATTTACAGACGCGGAATACAACCCACAAAGGACGTCCTCTCTCACACGCCCTCACACACACACACCCTCACACACACACACACACTCTCTCTCTCTCTCTTTCTCTACACAAGTACATCCCAACCAAGCAGCCAACACGCGACACCCAAGAAAAAAATCCTTATTCCTCTACCCCTTCAAACCCCCTTTATTCCCCGCACCACCACCCACTCTCAACCCGAAACTCACCGCCACACTAACCAACAAGCCAAAGCAAAGCACACTCGGTCCAAACCAGTCATGATAACTGACCGCCCTCCTCTTCCGCGTCATGCGCACTCTCCACAGGTACAAGCCCAAGCTATACAACATTGCCGCCGCCGCAACGAGCGTAAACGCCCACGCACTCAGCAGCGCCAGGCCATCGCCGAAATTGAGCAACGCGGCCGCTATCGACGCGAGGATGATGCTGAACTCGAGCCATGCGAGGAACGTGCGCTCGGTGGCGAGATGGACTTTCGGCTCGATGCGAACGGGGACATGGATGCGTTTGCCTGGGGGCGCTTTGAAGCGCTTCGTCTCGCCCGTGTACTTCGGGATGCCGAGTTGGGTGGTTTGTACAGGCATGGTGGAGCCATGCGGGCTGAGTTTCTTGCCCATTGACGAGAGCTTTGAGCCGAGATTGACGATGTGATGCTTGGCGATGGTTTGGTAGTAGTGTAAGCCACCGACGCGGCGAGCTTCTTCAAGTTCGTGGTTTGCAAGCTCCTCGTCTTCATCGTCTGAGTCGTAGAGCGGGTAATCATTCGCAGTATTAGGGGCTGCAGCAATGCGTTCTTCAACGTCAAGAGAGTTGCCGGCGGCGCCATTGACTTCACCATTGCTGGCAGTTCCGTAGTCGCGGCGTTGTTCGAGATCATGTTGCTCCAAAGCATCACGGGCAGCACGGAGGCGACGGAGATCTTCATTCTCTTCCACAACGGGAGGCTCTTCGTCTTCAAAATCGTCGTCATCTGAATCAGGGTCCATATTGCCACTGGTAGAGATATCGGTCGATTGGCCTGGACGGTCGATTCCGAACTTATGGGTGATGGGTTTACGAATATCCACATCCATCTGAGGCATCCAGAATGGGATCAGGTGGATACGATTAGGATTGAGAGTTGCCGTTCCGTGGATGAATTTACTGAACTTGGGTACAGCCTCGACGAGATGACAGGCTGTCAAGTCTCGGATCCATTGTGGTGGCTCCTGACCAGCTTGAGTCTGCAGCTTGACTTCCAGAACAGCGTACGGAAAGAGTTCCAAATCTTCTTGAGGGACCTTTTTGAATGGAAAGTCGATGCCAGCATCAGGTCTTCGCCAATTCTTGCCAGCACGGGTCTTCCCATCGAGGTTGTCCTCCCGGATCATGGTAAGCTCTGAGTCTAACGAAACACGGACGCGAGCATCCCCGGGGAGTTGGAACGCTGTACGGTGGTAGAATGATCGAGTAACAGGTACAAGCCTCCGTGTGATCACTCGATATTGGATCTCTCGGGCCAGCTGTTCCTCCTCGTCTATCGCCTTCTCACTCTTCTTTCCTTCTCTCCGATCCTTCTCAAAGATTGATTCCACCGTCAGCTTCCCAGAAAGGTAGTCATTGACGTTCTTCTCCTTGAGCTTGAAACGAGCTTTGACCGATTTCTCTCCAGTCCAATCTTCTCGGTGCGTCTTTCGTTCAATAAAAATGTTGTCCTCGTTCATCCCACCGTACCACCGTAGACGAATTGCTTCTGCTCCCTCGGTCTTCTTCAAGCGACCCATGTACAATTCCCAGGTATCAGTGTTGTCGTAATAGATGGATGAAATGGCCGAGTCACTGGGATCCCACTCCTTGTTGGCATTGAATACGAGAACGGGAAGATGCTGAGGCAGTTTAGTTTGTACGTCTCGAAATGTATGCCTATATAATACGTACCTTCATAAGAATGAGCTTGACTTCAGTAATGTTATCCGGGTGGACCCAGTACTTCGTAGTCTGGCGAACGAAATTCTGCTGCTTCCCGCCCGCTGAAGAGTCTCCTTTGACTGGATTGCCACGCGTCCGGACGAGATCATATAGCTTCGAAAGCTTGACAATGAATGCATCGTAGTTGTCCTTGAAAAACGGTTTTGCTTTTAGTCTGGCAGCGAAGACCGGCTTCAGGTGCCAGCTAGTTTGTTTCTACTCGCGTGTTAAAAATGCCTGAAAAGAGAGATGAGGTCTACACACATCGTGTTTCTTGATAATCTTCTGGAAACCCGTGTAATTCAACTGCACGAACTTTGCAAGGTCATGTACGTCCGCAATGATATCACTCAAGTCTTCTTCCAGCAGCAAGAAGTCCTCTTCTGTAGGAGCATCCACTTGACTACCACGCAGCTCATCCGCAGCCTGCCTTTCCGCCCTGGAGACGACATCATTGACTTCCTTCTCGGAAGCCTTTATCCTCTGCACAATCTCCCTACTCTTCACCTCTTGAAAGTCTGCGACCTTGCCCAGCTCCTGCTCAAGCTCTCGAACAAATCTGCGCTCATTGTCTTCGGTCCATGGCTTCCTGTTCGGCTTCGGATTCGTCTTTGTAGGGGCAGTCACAAAGTCGGTCTTGAGCTGGGCTTTCAGGTCATCGTATGCGATGTAGTAATAATACCAATCCTTGAGCAAGGAGGATCGAAGCTGCTGACCGAATCTGCAATTGACTAGGATTAGCGACGGCTGCTTCTGAAGCTCCTCATTGGAAGCACGAGACAGGGCTGTGTAGCTAGGGAGAGAAATCATTGGATAAGCTCATGACATACCTCATACTTGCAAAAAAGCAACGCACGACCTACAGTAAAGAATGACAATCAATTGGAGAAAGACTTCAGACAAAGAGAGAAGAAGCTTGAGAAGCGCCGTGGGGAAAGTTGGAAAGTGATGCAAGTAATGAGGTGAAAAGCGGCCTGCACTGGCGGCGTTCCGACAAGCAACGGCGTTGGGCGGGGCAGCCAAAGAGAGAGGCTGGGATGGGCACGTGCGGTCCTTTCCCTTGAGGCTCAAGCTGGGAATAGCAGAGGCGTGGGCTTCAATTGCCGGGCAGGTAATTAATTAGTTTATCGACAATGAAGAACTTCCATTTACCCTACCGAAGCCCAATGGTGCAGCAGTCCTGACGTGGGAATAGAGTTGAGTTGCTAGGAAACAAGACTCACGAGACGCTCAAGCCTCATGCAGACGCAATGCAATGAGCATCCGATGCTAATGTCGTCTGGTGCGAGAGAACGAGCATTGACGCCGGAACGCATGTAGTACATTAAGTAGTACGGGAGTCATTGCATTTAGTTGATCAAAGACTCCAGTAGAGTAGATACATGCTGCATGCATGCAGGACATCCGGTAGAGTCATCTTGACGCAATTGGGGATCTTGTACGAATGCATCATGATTGGTGCACCAAATGCCCATAGTATATGATATGATATCCGACATGTAGATACTGTCCAGCGAAACATTGGTAACCCATTACCATAATCCAAGCTATTACGACCATGTTGAGAATTTCTTTGATCGCGTCCTCTCTGATGTCTTCACTCTACAGTTAGTTCTACATCCTACCGTCCATCTCGCAATAGGCTTTAGATCCATCCATACAGCTTAATTCTCAAAGCATCCCCGATGTTACTACAAACTGGGCAGAATGTTAAACCACATACTCAAACTTTTCGATCCGGAAATTCGTAATATCGTAGCGGGCGTGTCAGGCCAACTTGTAAATGTCCACTACTCCAAGGGTATCGCTGAAAAACATCACCATTACATGGTAACCACACTCTGATCTGCGCAGGACCGAGGCCAAAGGACAGTACGCGGGCTGGCCGCGAGTAGACTCCACGTGTCCAAATGTACTACAGCGCACATGCTGAGTCTGCTATATATTTCTCCCTCCATGGCAGAAGGTGTTGCACAATTTTTGCCTAGAGCTTCGCCAGGGTCTGATAAATCCAATGCGATACGCTTTTATATGCATCAAGGACCGGCGCGAGATTTCGGTAAAGGTGGCATCGGAGGAGCAGCCCCATCTCTCGTCGATGGAGGAGAGAACGTAGCTCTGAGGTCTTTGAAACTAAGCGCGAAAATATAGTAAGTATAGGTCGCAACAGTATCATAAGCTATGCGACATACCTTCTTGTCTTCCTCAAGCCACCACTACCGAACCACTTCTTAAACCCTTTAGAGCTCTTCGTTGTTTGTGAGTCCTACGACGCTGTTAATGCCATGATATACACTCGCTCGACGTAGAGAACACTCACCTGCTCCCCGCTATTTCGTATTGTGCCATTCTCACTCCCACTATGCCTGCTGTGTCCACTGCCAGTACTGCTATCATTGCCATTGAGGTAGTCGGACGGAGCAGGCGGCACCCATCGCTCTGTATCCCCACAGACCACAACAAACCAGCCAACCTTCTCTCCTGGCGCAAGCTGGTCTCGTAGCTCAATCAACGAGCCCCAAGCTTCATTGTCCACTCCCTTGCCTCTGACCTCTTCTACGTCAATGCCCAGCTTGACCTCATGCACAATATCGCAAACGTATGCGAAAGGCTGCGATTTGATATTCTCGTCGAGCGGATCGTACTGTTCGACAAACCGCAAGCTCGGCAGGGTCGACATGAGGTGTGGGTACAAGGTGGTGAAATTCTGTAGCATGGTCTTCGTTGTAGCTGGAGCTATTAGCCATTCAGCAGCAGCGTCTTCGAGGTTCTGGAGGATGATATGGATCCGTATGAGCGATCGCGGCCAACGGAAGCCATGGACGAGGTAGGTCGGCATGGCGATGAGGGTGACCTAAGAAGCGACAGGGCATAGAAGTGGTGAGAGTGAGAGGCAGTCAGCACAGAATGAGAAAAGATATCGTGTGCAGGCGGCCAAGAGGCCTTCAGTGATTGGAGCTGGTGCCAGAGTGAGGTCCTTGTCGAGGTCGGTTAGATGGATTGAGGCTGGAAGGACGAATGCTTGTCATTCCCTCAGACGGAAGGGTCATCTAATCAATAGTGACTCTGTCAGGACACCCGACCGCTGTCGTGAGCAATAATCATGGAACAAGGTTGTAGTGCGACTGCTTCCGACAATGTGACGAGCGGATAGCGTCCTGTCTTTGGACGTCTTCCTCTTTCTGTCCCGGGAATATGGTGATACACAATTTACTAGCTTGGTGGCTAGCAAACACGGAGAAAGCTGAAGACAAGAAGGTTCCGATGGTATGACTAGGATAGGGAGTCGGAGGGACAGGAGTAGATGTGACTGAGGCGCACAGAATACGACATCAAGCAACCGAGTCAGATGAAAGATATTAACGGTGTGATTCGAACACGAAAAAAGGCTGAAAGTTGGCGAGAAAGATGCTCCTCATTTGCGCTTGGCGGGGCTGTCCCTAGCTGTGAGACCCCTGTCAATCAGGGCATAACTGTTTAGCGTCATCTAAACGGTCTGTTGGCTCCCGCTGTCACGAGCCAATCTCATTCGCTGCTCTCCTCCTTGTAAGTAAGCAGTAGTAATCCCCAACACCCGTTAAACAACACGAAGCGAGATTCAAAAAGTCAAAACATTCAACAGTGGGTATTCGCTAGTGGTCACCCACCTAACTACTAATCCACCCCTAACCAGCTTAAATAGGCGGGAGCGAACGGGACCGCTTGCTTTCTGGTTGGTATGGCCGAATGTGCTGACCGTAATTTGAATGCTCATTATACCCAGTAACACAGAAACGCAAAAGCAAACGCAAAGACGTACCGAGAGAAGTCCTTCCTCGTTCCAGGTCCCACATTTCAAAATACACAGGCTTATGCTTCAAACAGGCACTTCAAGATTAATCGCTGAATGACTGTTCATGAGGACTGATAATGGTAGTATGATATGTTCAATCTACATACAAAATATAAGAAAATGTATAGCAGGGCAGGCGCTTGGGTATCATGTGATGCTCGCGCCAGAGCATCGAAAAATGAGAGAAGGCAATAGTGTATTTTACGCCAAGCCATGCTTTATGTCCAAACGTCATTACAATGTTGTATTCGAAAGTTTGATCAAACGGCCCAGACTGCCAGCAACAAAGTCACCGGACTCGTTTGTCCTCGGATTAGAAGCAGCTCAGGTTCCGTGCCACAGTGGGTCTAGCAGACGAACTTTTCAGGCTGCCGGCCTCGCTATGTTGAGGGAGGGACAATCGATGTCTCCTCACACTGCAGCTGTCGTCGCCATTCTTTTCGTCGTAGAATTTGGCTGGAACACGTGGGCAGAGCCATCGTGGGGCGACCTTCCGCCAGAGACCTCGCAGACCACTGTGCATCCGATCTATCTCTGCGTACTGCTGTCGACGAGTGTCTGGTGACGTCCAGTGTATAATGGTAGGTGGCACGGGTTCGTAGAGCTCTTCCTCTTCCTCTTCCTCTTGGTCGGGGTATTCAAGTCTAGTAGTAGTTATTGGTGGAGACCGTGAGTATGGCATGTTGGTCCCAAAATTCAACACAGTAGTGAACGGGATAACGTTCTCTCGCTTTGGACTCGATGGTGCAGAGTAGGGCCCTTGGGGCAGACTTTGGAAAAGTGAAACGCTTTGTCGATGGAAGTCGACAGCCTCTTGAGTGGTCATGCGACGAGGTATGGCTCCATGGGAAGTATGTGCTCTGGCTAGACCTGGTCTCTTTCCGGACTGAGTTGATGAGCGTCGTGAATCAGCTCTTCTGTGCTTCCTATCACTGGAGCTTGAAGACGTTGCTACCGAGTCTCGTCGCCGTACTTGTCGCCGGTCACCATCTTCGACGACTCTGTCGGAACGAGGGGTGTCGGAAGAAGAGACTGTGCCGTATATTGATATGGGTGTGGCGTTACGACCGAACCGTTCAAGGGTTGGAGGTTTCTCGACGGTCATGGCGGGATCCAAATGGCGTGTTCCATAGACACCGAAGACCAGCAACGGATATCTAGAACACTGAAGTGAAAGCCGATGGAAAGGTTGAGAGAAAAACTCGAGGGTATTTAAAACAGAGCACTACCAGCAGTCCACGATCACGATACAACAAGCTCCACTCTGGAAAAGCCAGGTGATGTGGAAGCGCGCTTTAGTGTTGCATAACAGGTCCGTGATTTGTTGATTAGGCGTTTACATGCAGGCACTCGGGCCTAAAGTAATGGGTAGCCGGCCGGTTTGAAGCTCACCGCTAGGAATGTAATGAGGGAACTTCACCACTTTCGTGTAAGGCGGCTTGGCGGAGTGGGTATAAGATTGAGCGACGTGGGGCAAGAAGAAGGGTTCAGAAATAGAATCGAACACGGCAGATTGCTGAGAGTAATGAAAAAGACGTGGATAGACTGCTGCAAAGGGCAGAGAAATAGTAGTAGTCCTTTTGGAGATCGATCATGAGAACGAACGACTTTCACATGTGAATGAAAACCGCTAGGTACGGACCTACTTGGCACAGTCACGACCACGAGCAGCAGCATCCATTCCATTCTCGTGATATGGAAAGCCACCGCCACGAACCATGAAAGTCCATAAGAACGGACCTGCAGAAGATCTGAAGGCGCGACGGTGAGTTGCTGGCAGAAATCAAGTGGTCATGCAGCCGCGAGTCACTTCACCGCCAGGCCGAGATCGCTGGATCAACACGCGCGCCGCCTGCAATGATAGAGACAACAGCTCATGCTCCAACCAACGAGCCGTGTCTTGCCCGCATGCCTCATGCGGGCAATGAGGAAGACGCACATGAGCTGTCGATTTCCATGGGTCAGCATCGCCCATCGCGAGGCTGTTGTCGACGATCGTACCGAGTTGTGAGAGGACGTGCGATGGATGATGGATGCGAATGTCAACTGTTTCAGACGATCCATCAATCTGCTGGCGGCGCTTAGGCTGCCTGTAGCAGTGTAGCTTCGGTCCAGTTGCCGCCAATCAGCCAAATCGTCGGCCGCATGTCCGGCTCGAGCGATGGATGCGCACATCTGGCGGCGGTTCTACCCGAGAGCGCCTCGGTCCGTGATGACTGTGAAGTCTGTTTTGTGAGATCAAATCTAAGGCGTGGATGTATATCATGGAGGAAGGGTGGACACTCATTTGAGTCCGGAAGATGATTGCGTGTATTGTATGCACTAGACCATTATTGGATGGCTTGGGAACAAGGGACTTGATCAGCAGACGACATCGCACCATCTCATCAGACACGGTAACAGAACTATCTCGTGTCGGAAAACGTGCTTGACACGGCAGTGTATACGAGCTTGAGGTCAACCAAGGTACTTCCTATGTGCTGCTGTTCGCTTCGTAGCTCGTTCACGGTTACTAGAATGGACTGGAGGGCTTTGATGTCGCTGATTGGAACAGTTGTATCTGGCATGTCGTCAAACTGGAGCATCACCTGCGATTGCTCTGGTGGATTCGGACTCGTCCGGGTATACCGGATCATGTTCATTGCGACCTTGGCAAATTCTGCCGCGTCAATGTCCCGTATCAGGCGTGTTTCCGCATGCCTTGATGGCCAGAAGAGCAGTTCACTCACGTGCAGAATCGTTCCACTTGGCATGGTGAGATAGATGGATCCAGCCGTGTCTGTGCTGCTGTTATTGTCGAGGTTACAGTTCGGGTATGCGGATATGGCTTCTGAATTTGGGGGTGTGGTGCGCTGCACTGTTGTGGTGTGCTGCACTGTTGTGGTGCGCTGCACTGTTGTGGTGCGCCCGGGGTTGACAAGATCTTTATATTCGCGGCGCCTCCTTAGTAGTGCGAGCTCGTCTTTGAATTGTTGGGTAGCGACATCGCGAGCAGCGGTGTTCCATAGTGGCATGGGTCTCTTCCGGGCTTTGGTGCTCAAACGCGTACCGGACATGTGCTTTTGTATCGAGAACTAGATAAGCGCTATATCAGTATGCAACATAAGCTAATACTCTTCCCGAGGCATTAGGTACATTATACTTGGATACTCAATAGAAGCTAAACTTCTCAAAGTAGAAAACAGATATATTTTTACATTCTAGATGATACATCAGATAGGTTATATATCACTTCTTACACAGTTGCTATTGCACGAGTACATCACCCACGAGTCTAGCAGCTAGCTCCAATATCGTATCCTCATGTGCTTAGATCCTTGATGTATGTATGTGAAGAAACGCGTTACTATCAAGTCGCTATGGAGCTGCTACTACTATCTAGCAGAGGAAGTTGCTGAATGTTCTGATAGATATCTAGGAAATGGCAACCTCTATTACCTATGGTCAAGTCACATCTTACCCCACTCCGTCTGAAGTAAACAACTCTTTGTTCCAGATATCGTCGGCGTAGCGTTGGTACAGGAAGCGTCCAGATGATGAGTCCATAGGTAGGTTAGTTGTATACTTCCGCAACGGTGGCAGGTCCTGTCCAATCATGTGTGTGTAGTTTTTGGAGCACGGAGGGTATGTTGATGTATACGTTCTGCGTTTAATCGTGCGTGCAAACGTAATCTGCAGGCGCTCTCCGATCTCCGTTTTGTCCATTTCCTCTTTTCTACCATTAGTACCGGACACGACGTGTGACGTAAAGGTCATTGAACATGCCTGGAACTTCCTAAACTTCTTCTCTGTGATAAACTGACTTGGGAATTCTGGCAGCCAGGGGTCACATGGGATCTTGGCTCGGCGACAAAGCTTCCGAAGCTGTAGCCACTCTGAACATAGTTTTGGAGACTCGAATATTCTGAGCCAACCGACAAAGTTGGCAGGTGAGTTGATGATTGGTGTAGCGCTCATGAGTGTATTGTAACAAGCACCCAAGAGGCGAACAGCAAAGTTCATCTTGGATCGCGGATTTCTCATAATGTGAGCTTCGTCACCTATTACCTACTCGGCCATCGTGTTTTGGTAGTGTGACTTGACACGTTATTGTCAAGAAGCTGTTTCACGTTCAGTTGTGCACACTGTAGAAGAACTGTCTAGCGCCCTGCTGGGTACTCGAAAAGTGGCTTCTCGGGTCCCTTAATCACTCTTCGTGATACACAAAGTACACAACAAGTCACGTCATAGAAGCAGTGATGCAAGTCAAGATGTGGTAGCTATTTTCGCTACGGTGCTACGATAAAGCGGTGAAAACCGCGCACTGCTCTGCTGGGTAGCCAAAATGTTGGCTCCTCCTCCACCCTCAAACCCCCCTCATCCCCCTCACCACCTCCTCCAACTGCTCCATTCGGAGCTTCAGCTCCTCGAACTCTGCGAGGCTTGGTACGGAAATCCCACCCACGTTGCCGCGGAATGGGTTGATGCGACCCTGCTTGTTCAGGGCCTCGGTCAGCAGGACACGGTAATGCTCCTCCTTTGAGAAGCGTGGCTCGCGCTCGGACAAGTCCTGCGCCAGGTTCTCGAGCTTGACGAGGCCCTTCTCTACATCCTCGAAGGCGTAGTTGGACCAATCCGTGTGTTCGTAGACTCCCGGACCACAGGGGCCAGGGTGGCCAAGTTGGCCAGGGAGGATCAGCCGGAGTCTGGACGCGTTGTCCGGGCGGAGGGTGGCCAGCGAAGTGGAGAGAGCGACACGGCGAGGGGAGCCTGACATGCGTGAGCTGATGTCTGGAAGAAGTACTCGGCTACGAGGGCTTCCGAGAGCAACGTGGATAAGTCCTCGATTACCTTCAGTATCACCCTCTGAGATGGAGGGTGTGGCGGACCTGACGGAACGCGGAGACGTAACGCTAGACTCAGCGGCAATGATGGTGTGGAAAGAAGAACCCAACATGGGTACTGTCGGTTGAGCGTATAGACTGGGAGTTGGCGAGCCGAATGGACTGTTGTCGGGGTTGGTACGACCATGTCTGCTGAAATCAAGGCTCACGGCGTCGTTGTGATGCTCTTCAATGGCATCGAGGCGAGTAGCGACGCGGGAAACGTCGACGGGAAGACTCATCTGGACTGGCTCACCAGCGAAGCCGGTGATAGAACGAGGTCCGGGAGTGTTGACAGGGACAGTCGCGCCAACAGTGCTGCTAGAATCGGTGCTCACAGTGTCAGAGCGACGGCGAATCGGAAGGTTGAACGCAGTCATGACTTGGGCGGCAGACGGAGTTGAGCTTGGTGGAGGTCCATCCGGAAATGGATTGCCATCTTCACCAAACGCGATCAGCTTTCGATTGGACCACAGCCTGCGGCTGATAGGACTGAGAGAAACGATCTTACCTTTGCGGCTGCCTTCGACCTTAGCATTAGGAATGTCGATGGGAGCTGAAGGACCGACAGGAGCCGAAGATTCATCCATATTCGCCGCAGAGTCCACAGAAGCTGGAACGTCGATTGGAGATGAAGACATTGTACAATCGGCCGAGTATCGCGTACTGTACACGAGATCTGAGCGGTGAACGAAGCGATGAAGACAGAGTATGATGTAACAGGTCTCTTATTGACACTGTACGACGCGTGAATGTGTGAGCTGATCAATGTCTGAAATGAAGGGCATTGAGGGAAACTTACAGCTGAGAGAATGTCACAGTTTGTCACAAGAGAAAAGGTTGTAGGAAGGTAGAAAGTTAGAGGTGGGCGAAGACTATATATGAGATAGGGACTCGAAGTGAATCAGTTGCTGCACTCAATTCTTCTGGTCCAGTGACGTGTACAGGCAGTAACGGTGGTCCGAGCGGGTACTTTGCAGCAAAGTGAATTGAGTGAACTGCGAAAAGCGCAATATGGAGCGGTGAGTGAGACTTTTCACTTTCGTCATGCGATCGGATCTGAGAGAAACCTGGAAAACGCGGGGAAAACATGAGGGGCAGAACGCGGAGAGTAGATTGTGGGGAAGAAAAGGGGAAAAGGAAGGAGCAAAGGGGGCGGATGCTTTTCTGTTTCTCCATGCGTGTACGAGACGTTTGTTCTTCACACTGACAGTAAAGCAGTGTTATGTATGTGAGGACTTGGGGGACGCGCAGTGTGAAACAAGACTCTAGGAGATAGTGGACTGTTGGCATGTTCAGGAGTTATCGGAACCAGAATTGACAGAGCATCTGACATTATGTTGACAATAAAACGCAGCGAAAGTTGGACTGTTTGCTATGCTCTTGTGATCCACGCACACGTCAACGATACTATCGAAGAGATAGGGGGTTCTATATGAAACTGGATTTACTTGAAGTAGAAATGATGCTCAGATCTCGACAGAAACGAAATACGTGCCCTATGGCTCGGTGGTGGTGGTCATTATTTGATTTCTGCGCATGCTGCCTGCCCTCACCACAGTATTATTCCCTGACGCTGTTCAGAAAACCGAGACAGACGATCGAAGATCATGTAGAGCAGCACCAATATAATTTTTCCAATTGATACAGCAGTACCTAAACTGGCAGACCTAGCCAGTATGATGTTGCGAGCCTTGTTACTGACCTGTGGACGTGTTCAGGGGGTGAGGTCGTAATATCATCCCACAGCGAAAGCACCGATCTGAGAAACGCGTCCAGCTAAGAGCTCATAGACCACTAGATTCAACACATTTGCGATAAACTCGAAAGAAAGAAGGGAAATGAGCGAATTCAGATCCTCATGCATTGATACCTACGAAGCAGAAAGAAATGGCTCGTACCGGCATAGATGTCCCAATAGTGGTGATTGCCCGTAAACAGTACCAACGTTTGTGTTGGTAGTGTTAGCCATATATGCTATGGTCACAATGCCTCTACATTACCTTACTACAGTGATAGCATTGAGCCTAGGCCAGTACACTCCGGAGTGTCATTACCTGTGGCTGTATAGGGGGGTAATATTGAAGTTCTCGTCTATGTTGTATACGCCATGTGGTATGTATCCCTAGCCCCGTCATACGGCGCCGAAGCTGATTGATGGTAGCTTGTGTTATGACTTCTAGAGTGTAAACAAGAGATCTTGGTCCAGGAAAAGTCACCAGGTCACCAGGAGTGCGCTCCGGAAGTGTCCGGCTTGAGTGTACTGCGCCAAAGCCCTCGTTATATTCGCAGCAATAATGCGTATGTCGATGTTGGGCAGGCAGTGAGACACGAAACGATCCAATGCTGGAGCTATGCCGATGATGATCGCGATGACGATGAAGATAGAGTTCCCAGGGGTTCAAATGAAGTCGTCTGGAGTCGCATGAAGTCAAAGAAGACAAAGCATGGGGACTTGGCGGCGGGGGGGAGGAACGGAAGGAAGGCTAGTCAACTAAAAAGTAAGCGAGCCACACTCAGTGGGTAAAGTTGCCGTGGCAGAGAGTCGAGTTTTCTGGTTTTGTTATGATATAGGTATTCGCTATTCATAACTCAGTACAATCAATTCTCCTCCCGTCATCTTCCTCCTCCTATCTCTCATCTCCGGCTTACACGAGCCTCCCTAATGGCTGAATTGGCAACTCCATCGGCCGTAACCATGTCCACTTCCGATCCAGCACCCGCCAAAGGCGGCAAGCAGACAGTTGTCAAACCAGAGAGACCCGACGAGGAGAAATTCAAGGCGGAAGAAGCCAAGCTCGAGAAGGCTCTCAAGGAAGCACAGGACAAAACTGTCAGTGTTTATGCTACCAATATACCCCAAGAGCCACCCAATTTCATTTGCGACAATGACTGACACATTCGCAATAGGCCAAGATCCAAGAGAAACTAAACAACCGCTCCAGCAACAAGGATTCCCCGACAGCTAAACGTCTCCAAGAGATCAAGGCGGAACAAGATGAGATCAAAGCCAAGCAGGCGGGAAGCAAGAACTCCTTTGCACAGGTCCAAGAGCGCAGAAAGAAGATTGACGAGCAAGTCAAGTCTCGCATTGCCGAACTAAATGCTGCCAAGGGTAAATTGAGCTTCAAGTCGGTGGAAGAAATTGATCGGGAAATCCAACGTCTTCAGAAACAAGTCGACACTGGCACCATGAAGCTTGTCGAGGAAAAGAAGAATCTCAATGAGATTACGAATCTAAACAAACAACGCAAGAATTTCGCCGGATTCGAACAACAACAAAAGGCCATTGACGACTTGAAGGCTCAAAGCGCAGAACAAAGCAAGCAACTGAACGACCCCGAGCGCAAAGCACTCAACGATCGCTTCACTGCGCTGAAGAACGAAGCCGACGAGCTATATGGGCAGTCTCGTTCCGCCCAGAAGGATCAGAATGCTATTTGGGAAGAGAGGAACAAAGCGAGGACTGTCCAGAATGAGAAATTCGCTGCGCTAAGAAAACTTCGTGACGAGTACCACGGCGCCCTGAGAGAAGCAAAGAATTACGAGCGCGAAGCACGTAAGATCAGGAACGAAAAGTACAAGGCTGAGCAGGATGCCTACCATGCTCAGAAGAGAAAGCAAAACGCCGCCACCAAGCTAGAGGAAGCAAGTGCTCCAGCGTACTCGAACGAGATCATCATCGCCGAAGGTCTCATTCGTTACTTCGACCCATCAGCACTCCCAGCTAAGACGGAAGCTGCACCAAGCAAGTTCGCTGCTTCGGCAGGGGGTCGTGCGGTCGACACCAAAGGTTTCGAAGGCATGAAGGTCGCGAAGAAGGATGATGAGGATTACTTCCAAGGCACTGGTGGAAAGAAGGGCAAGAAAGGCAAGACAACCACTGCCGCAACCAAGTATTCTCTCGATATCGGGACCATCGATGAGCTGGGAAAAGTTGGCGTCAATCCTCCGTCTTCCCAAGCGGAGGTTCCTGGTGTTGTTGAGAAGCTCAAGGAGAAACTTGCGCACTGGAAGTCGGATCAGAAACGAGCAACTGATGAGGTACGTTGATCACTTGAACCCTAAATTGACCTAAATTGAAATTGATGTATGACTGACGTTGTACAGAACATCGCCAAGGCCCAAAAGGAAATCGACCGTCTCGAAGCTGAGGAAGCCAATGGAGGCAGTCGTGATGCAGCTACGAAGCCAGCCCAAGCCAACCAGGGTGTCAACGGCAAGCCTTCTGCAGAGGCAGAACTACAGCAAGAGAAGGATGCGGACGCAGACGTCGCCGCTGAGTTGGAGAAGGCCAAGATCGAGGACGCCTCCGAGACCTCATAGCACCGCTGAAAGACCCTAACTATGCGTACGATCACTACATGAGATTGATGTGGTGGGATCATAATGGGATTTGGTCTTGCATCGCACAAGTCCATGAGCATCGTCCAGAACGTTGGGAGACAGTGGTTATATACTGCTCGATAATCAGAGCACCGTATCATAATGAAATTAGTGCCGATTCAGGCGAGAAACCAAGTCGTCTTTTGCTCAATCGGCTCCAAAAGGATATCTAATAGTAATCGGCAGACTGAATTTGACTGGGGGATGGAGGGCAAGGTAAGCACCAGTATCAGGATGGCAAAATTTCCCAGAAGTTATACGCCAGCGTATGCAAAGGAAGCACAGATGCGCAATAATGGTAAGACAGAGTGGTCAGATTCGCTCTTATTACTGATCGGTCTCAGATGGTCACATTAACTCACAAGCCTCGAAACTGGATTCATGATTCGATATCATTGTCGGTTGAGCAAATGCCCCATATAGCCGCCAGCATCGTTCCCATCAACCGTCTCACGCTCATTTCCGGTAGCAGGAACATAATAACAATCCATCAAAGGTTGAACAAAACTTCCAAGCGATGTTCCAGTCTCCTAATTTGACAGCCTCTGACACGTTGATCGTTTGGCCTAGCTATGGAGTCGGGTTTCGCACCCTTGCAATTGTTGCCGGTCTCCAAGCGAAGGGATCCCAGCTTCATTTTCGACAGCGCGCCATGGCTCCACATTACAAGCTCCTATAGATATCGACATATCCAGATGCCCCGTTATCACGAGAACCATGTCGATAGAAGTCTTCAAGATTGTATTATGCTGTGCCCGCGGAGGATGCTAAACATGGCTCTTACGTCGCCTACAATCATAGGGGGCATATACACCTAGTCGTAATATCGAGTGTGAAGCACAAGGGTAATGGAACGCCGCTTATGGGTGATTGCCATGAAAGGAGTATCCGGCGGCTCGATCCTTATGCACCGATCTCTAGAATTTTCGAAGCAGATATAACTAACGCATGTCTACAGAATCTCCATCTTGAAGACATCGACTTCACCGCATCTAACCAAGCCTCTCGTTTATTCATTTCACTATTCATTTTCAATTTCTTGATACCTTTCCTGGAGAATAGGTATCGGCCGGTCCTTCTTGACACCCTTTACTTCTTTTACTTATCTTTGTTATATCACGTATATCAAGTACACCCACGAGCACCACGCATCATGAAGAACTCACTCATCCTATCCCTCCCCTTTCTCATCTCAATCTCCTCCGCCACACCAATCCAGCGCTCACACATCCACCGTCGCGAAGTCCCCCAAGAACACTCCCACGAGGCCATCCTCCGCACAGTCAACACTCTCCTGAAAACCAACAATCCCGACAACATCCAAGATGCCGTCTTCGGCCTCCTCGGCAACGCCGCCGCCTCCACCGGCCAAGGCAACATCGCAGACACTGGTCCGTCTCCTTCTCCCCCTACCCCCCAACAAGTACATACATACTCACAAAAGCCCCCCCAACAGACTGCCTCCAACAAGCCACCGCCGACCAAGCCTTCACCAACGCCAAAGCCGCCTCCGACACCCCCGGCATGACCGCCGCCCTCCTCTACCGCGCCCTCGAGCGCAACACCGGCAAAGTCGGCCTCGCAAGCACCCCCTGCACCGCCCTAACCGCCACAAACCCCGAAATCGCCGCTCTGACACAACACCAGGACCCGGCCTCCGCAGACGCCGCCCAGGGCAACAAAGCCCTCACCCTCGAGCTCGCGCGCCAGATTGCCAGCGTGGGCGGCGATCCGCTGGATGCGCTCAAGGCCGGCACGTTTGCCCCGGGCGATGTGAATGATCCGACGGCGCGGGGGAACTCGTGTGACGATGCGGATGATGCGCAGGGGTGTATTGAGAGTTTGGGACTGCGGGTTGATGATGCTACTGAGGCGGAGATTCGGGATGCTGTGGCTGGGGCGGGTGGTGCTGGTGCTGAGGCGGATGCAGGGGCTGGGACGATGACGATGACGGTGATGTCGGATGTGCCTGTGGCTAGCACGGCGGTTGATCCGGCGGCGGCGGTAGTCGGGTGCGGAGCTCCGGGTGCGACGGCTGCTGTCGTTGCAACGCCTACACCTACACCTACACCTACTGCGGTTGCGGACCCAGCTCCTGCGGACGCGACGGCGCTCGATCTGGGCTTGTGTGCGGATCCGACGATTGTGTTTGGCGGCCCGTTTGATGGGCGCAAGGAGGATGCGTTCCAGCCGGCTGATACGGCGACGTTTACGCATGGGTCGGCGCTGGGGATCAAGGTGATTACGGACTTTATCTGTCAGCAGTTGGAGGTGAAGTGTAAGGCGAGTGCGGATGCGATTGCGGCGTGTAATCAGGGGGCGGCGGATGCGCAGGGTGCTCAGGGGCAGGGGGCGGCGGATGCGTTTAATCGGGCGCTTGGGTTTTGAGGGATGGGTTGTGCGGTTGGGGATGTTGGGTGGGCGTTGAGATCTGGTGGAGTTGTGTTGGATACTGATGTTCAAGTAGCTGATTAGTGTAGATGAGGATCTGAGACGACTCTGCTGTACACACTGCTCCATCAGTCACATGGATACACACCACCACCACCACCACCACCCCTATCCCATCCTCCAAACTCCCTCATTCCCTAAACCCTATCCTTCGCCCCAGCCCTCTCATCCAACACCACAACCTCCCCATGTTCCATATCCCCACTCCGATTCTTCTTCTTCAACTTATCCGGCGCCCACGCACAATACCACATCACCAACAACGCAACCGCAACCCCGATACTCAGCCCCACCGCAAGTCCGATCTTCGCACTCTTGCCCACCCCCTTATTCTCCTGCCTTGCCGCAAGCCGGTCTGTTCGTCGCTGCGCAGGTACAGCGGTGCGGACATCTATGTCTCCTTCGCTTGCGCGCGCGTTTGTAGTTTTCGTGTCCTAGATTCGGTTATTAATGCCCGTCTTAGCCGCTATGGACCGTTTCATATCAGTCAGAGCACTCACCGTCTCGCTATCTGCTGCCCGCCATGAGATCTGCACGTCCTCACCCCGAGCCACAACGTATGGCACTGTGGATACGAATGAAAGTTGTGCACGCTTCGCTCGTGCGTACGTCCTGGGTTGAACTTGTTCCCGTGATGGTGCGGCAGCGCAGATGCTGAGGAGGAGGGATATGTATGCGAGGAGGAGTGTTACTGGGGACGATAGGCCACGCATTTTTGCAAGTATGCAATTGGTATAAGAAGTATATAGACACCTACACACAGTCCGAATACACGCACCAACGCACCACAGGAATTAGGACGAGAGAGGTCGAGAGTGGAGGGTGAGCGATTGAGCGAGTAACCTCGAGACGCACCAAGCACGAAAGCGAAGCTTCGCCAAGCGCGACAGGGCGCTGCCTAGGCAAGCTGTTTATATATGCAATCTACAGGCCAATAGCAATACTAGCAATAAGCCGCCTTGCCGGGCGACGACGAAGAAGGCGGATCAGAGGCAGGGTTTGAAAGGATATGGGATTGCCAGAATGCTCAAACGAGTTGCCTATTCGGGAATGGCTTGTGGAGCCAGTGTCAGCGTGCTGTGATTGGGCCGGGGGGTCGCGTTGTGCGGGATGCTTCGCGGACGAAAGGCTTGTGTGTCTTTTGGTGCTTGGTTGGGTGTTATTGTGTGGTATTGGGGCTGGTGGATTTTTTTCAGAGACGGTGAGGGATGTGAGGGATGGATATGGTGTTTGGTCATTTCTGGGTTGCGTATGTTTGGGATTATGTGGTAAAGGACGAGGATTGATGCTGCAAGCATGATCGTGTGGGATATAAGGAGAGAAAGGCACATGCTGATATACCAACTTCATTGTTGAACAGGATTGAATAGTTGTATGGTGCGTGGTACTAAAGCCTGCCATGTGCGTACGATACGTTAAGAATATAAGGCAATAAAGAGAGCAATCGGCTACTTCAAAGTACAGGAGAAGACCATGAAGCCAGTACAGTGCCAGCGGACCGTGCCATTACATATCATCTTTTTGGCGCTTAGGTTCAGAGAAGTGTGTTGGCTGTAGCACTCGTATCGCGAGAGGAAAACATTACATGCAACTACGCAGCCTCAGAGCAGCGTCGAATGCCAAAATTTTGTGTATTCTTTTGCTCGACATACGAGGCAAGACAATGCAATAAAAATACATATATACATACACGGTCGGAGATTGTATCAATATGCTCATAACGCCCGCTTCTATACAATGCAGTGCATCACCTCCAAGAGGTCTTGAGCTTCGCAGGTCATGTCAGTCCTCTGATATCAAGCCCATACCAACTCCATGATCAAGTAGAACAGAGCAGTAATCCGCTTGATGCAAGCCTATGTCCCCCTATCGAGTCTTTGGCATAATCACGGGACAATAACGACCCCCAAGGTAGCCGCCTGTGCAACCACACTCTTCACCAGCGCTTCCATACTTAGCGCTTGCAATCTCTCCTCGCTCTGCTTTATTTTGGCAATCTCCCACACGTGCTTCAAGCTAACCTTCCCAACGGTGCCCACGACTGAGTTGCCGACCGTGGGCGTGTTTGAGCTGGATTTGCCGATGGCACCCTCCACCAGATTGGTCGGTCCCGGTGTGCGGCCAGCGCCACGCAGCTTGTTGCCTTTCCCGCCTTTCAGTACGCCTGCGGCGAGGAGAAGAAGTGTAGATGTGGGTGGTGTGCGAATGTCGAATGCGAACGAGCGGTCGGGGCGAACGGTTATGAGACAAGGAATCGGGGTGCCGACGATGTAGGATGCGGTACGCGCATTAAACTCCTACACATGTCACGTCAGTTTGTGATCATGAAGGTACATGAATCTTGAGATATTTGACGCAATTCATACTTTGCAGAAGTCCATACTCTTTACACCTTTGCTTCCTAGCGCTGGACCGACGGGCGGTGAAGGTGAAGCTTGGCCGGCACCCACGATGAGCTTGACCAGCACATCCTTCTGCTGGACTGCTTTACGCGACATGTTTGTGGTGTCGCAGAGCTTACACTGCAATTGCCATGACCCGTAGAGAATTCCTGACGGAGAGAGAATGGACGATTCAGGCGAAGATTAGCCGCATCATGCATCCAGAGATGGATGCCTCTGATTGGTCAGATCACTAAGAGCTCGAATTGTTTTGCTTAGAGCTGTCCACAGGCTGTATAATTCCTGTTGCATTTCATAAAACTACTCTAGATTGGACTCATTGGTTCAACGCTTCTCTCTTCTGTACTTGGGCGGACGGTCCGGCACTTAACCACAAAACCTTGACAATGGCGATTCACTAGACGATTCTTGGCGATCGAGCTGCAACTTGTATGTCCCTGTCTGCATATCCATCCATTCTTCCATGGAAGCAATATGGATATGGATGACACAGAGTACGGGACTGGGAGTACACATAGAGCTCAAAGCATGCTCTAACCAATGATGTTGTTCGTGGCTTTGAGAACGCAGAATGATGATCTCTATGTGCATGATGGATGTGTAAATAAACGCATATGATTGGTTCACCAAAGCTCCAGCAAGTTGGTTTGCGTCAACACTTGGAGGCCTCAGCTCCTACGAAGCATGCGCCATCCCGGAAATGGCGTCTATATAGCCCCGCTTGACGGAAGCATCTCGTGTATATTACAAGGACAAAGCCCCTAGCTGTGCTTGAATCTGCCTAAATCTGATCTCTCCATCTTCCTCTACAACCACAACACATAATTGCTGTAGTCCTTCATCGAAACGTACCGTCAAACGAAACAGCAACATGGCATCAGCAACCGGTATTCCAGAACGGAATCCAGCTTCGACCGGTTACGGCGAGGATGAGCCTTTGCTAGGCAGAGCTGGAGATGCGAGTCAGCAGAAAGACAAGGCACTGCCATACAATCTGATTCTGGGTGAGCTGGGTACACTTGTACATTCACACACTCGACAGCTCTAACCTGCGCGCATAGGCACAGCACCAATTGCACAGCTCGGGATATGGGTGTTGACTGCTGCGGTCTGGGGCAGCGTGTTCTCTCATGACTTTATATTCTTCTCGTACCACCCAGTACGTATGCTCAGCTACTCGATGCTCGACGAAGTTGACCCATATCATAGCTCCTCAATTCTGTCGGAATCCTCCTCGTCAGCCAAGCTGCTCTCATCCTACAGCCCACGCATACGCCCCAACAAAAGAAAAATGGAACATATGCACATGCGGCATTCAATGATCTTGGTGTAGCAGCCCTGGTTGCTGGCCTTATCGTCATCGTAAAGAATAAGGGTGACCACGGTCACTTTGAGTCTCCGCACGCGATCTTGGGCCTCATCACCTACATCCTGCTTGGCATACAAGCTCTCGTGGGCATCACAATGTACTTCGTTCCGGCCATTTACGGAGGAGTAAACAATGCAAAGAGCATCTGGAAGTACCACCGCATGAGTGGATATCTGGTCTTTGTGCTCCTGCTGGCAACTGTTGCTGCTGCGACACAGACGTACTACGTCAAGAATGTGTTGAAGCTTCAACTTTGGGCCGTCATTGTCACAGCAGTAATCACGCTCGCTGGGATCTTGCCGCGGATCAAGAAACAAAAGCTTGGACTGTAGTCGAACGCACACATATAGCACAAGCACAGACCTGACGACCGTAAGGGTTCAAGACAAGTATGCGTCTAAGCGAGGATGTCCCATGACGGACGGAATTGTCGAGTGGTGAAGGGCAAGGTTATATAATTCGAATGTCACAAACACACGGAAGAGGGTTCAGCATGGCACAGGCGTTTTGACCACAAGCAGTCTTAGCGCGCGATCCTTTAGCAAGGGACTAGGATGCAAGATATATCACTCAGTCGGCAAGCGTAGGACGAATGTGGAGAGTCTCAGGGATCTATGATGTACTCATTCTGTACTGCATACAGTATCTAACATGTTATCCTCCCTGTCCCGCGGCAAAGGGGCACTCTAGTTCCGTGTCATGGTCCGTGAATCTTGGCACTCAAATTGTCAATAAACGTTCCGTGATACTATCCATGCCTGCGAAGTCTCCCTAGTCTCAATTGTGAACGTCTTATCCCACGCGTTCGTGACAGGCGTGTTTGCTTTTATCGATGGCGAATCCGCGGGCCGATCTGACAGGTCACACTATACTGTACACTACACATCCACCAACGTCGACGGACGGGGATTTCGATGGCGTAGGGCCGGCTAGAATCCTTTGACGGAAGACGGAAGAGTACCTTAAGGCTTAAGGTTGGGTATAGCTGCACGTATAATAGAGTCAGTGGAGTGGGGCCGGCACAGTGCAGCCAGTCAGAGAGGACAATATGCGCCTTGGTCGCGCGAATGCCATGCAAGTGCTGCATTTGGCCGTCGTCACTTTCCTGGTCGAAATGCCTCCTACTTCTCTCCTCACCATCTCTCTTTTGCTTCACTCACGATTCTTTGCGCCATGTACGACAACTTCACTTTGCTTTATCCTCGCGCCTTACCACTTCTTCGCAAGCCTAAGACGACACGGCCACGGTAGCCTTAAGGCCTAGCGCGGGGTGTCGCGGAAGTCCAAGCGCAAGAATGTCTTCTGACACCGAACCGCGTCTATCTCAGGACTTCTCACCATCACAGCGTCACTATTGGACTACACATTGGAAAAGTGACGGGCCACCACGGATTGTCATTTCCGACGAAGACTCATTCACGCCTGCTATGGGTCAATCTCAATCGGCCCTGCAGCGCGACTCTGGGGGAATGAAACGCCCGCTCTCGGCGCCTTCCCCAAGCCACAACATCTTACAACACAACGACACACCTCAAACCTCAATTGACGACAAAGGCTCCTTACACTCTAAATCTAGAGTCTTGAGAAGGCTCTCCTTGGTGGTGCGGCGCCCTAAGCCCGGCACACCTCTCCGTATCAATGCCATAAAACGAAGAAGCGCATTGGAAAGCTTCGATCCAAGGCGTGACTCTGCCTTGACTGAGACCTCAAACAACCTCAGGTATGGCTTCAATGGCCATTTATCTGACATGCAAAATACTAATGCGCCCACAGTATCCCTGAAGCTCACAATAGAACACCCACTGCTGAGCCGGTCCTGTCTGATATTATACCGGTCGACTCTGACAGTATTACGGCTCCATCTACGTCAGACACGAGGCCTGCTACCAGTAGTCTCTCTGCAATACAACAAGAAGATCTCATTCTATCCGAAAAAGTACGAGCTCTGTACGACGTACCTGAACAAATCGAGACATCGACCCCGGCAGATGATGACGAGATAATCATCGATCATTCCGCTGTTGATAGATATGGATTCATAATCACTGATCCTCCAACAAGCCGGAATTCGAAAGATTCTAATGAGACCACTCCACCAATAAGAGAGGACTCCAAACTCAGATCAAATCCGTCAACACTGCGTCGACTGAAACCGCATTCGATGATTCACAAAGCTTCAAGACGGTCACTCCGGCGCACACCATCTGTCATCTCGCGTGCTAGAAGTAACGTTTCTGTACGATCAGTTCGCTCCTACACATACCTTCACCTACCTCAAAATCACGACAAAAAGATTATATACAACGCTGGAAGCATGCTTCTAGGACCTTCAGGAATGGTCAATTTCCCAGAGAAAGCGCAGAGCCGCAAACAAACGATACAACAGAAGAAGCGAGAATGGAGACGTGAAGACAAATGGAGAGCGATGGCGAAAAAGGTCGTCAATGCAAACGGAGGCGGTACAGATTTTCAATTCGACCAGGCGCATCCAAAACTCGTTGAGCGAACATGGAAAGGCGTGCCAGACCGTCTACGAGCAAGTGTGTGGTGGAGTTTCATGAAAACCGCCTCATCCAATGATCCAGATGCCGATACCGAAGACACACTCATGAAAGCTTTTTATACCTTGCAAAACACAACAAGTCCCGACGATCTACAGATCGATTTGGACGTACCACGAACTATCAACCACCATGAAATGTTTGGACAAAGATACCGAGGGGGTCAGCGACTTCTCTTCCGCGTTCTTCATGCGCTGTCCCTCTACCTCCCTGATCTTGGCTACACCCAGGGCATGGCAGCGATTGCGGTTACACTCTTATGTTATTTTCCAGAGGAGAGAGCTTTTATCATGATGATACGCATTTTCAAATATCGAGGCCTCGCAGACTTGTACAAGCCTGGATTCGAGGGCTTGATGGTGTGCCTAGAGCAATTCGAGAAGAAATACCTCTCGAAAAAGCCCTTGATAGCCGCGAAACTTGAAAACCTGGGCATTTCGCCAACAACATATGGCACGCGGTGGTACCTTACACTTTTCAATTACTCGATACCCTTTCATTGTCAGTTGCGGATTTGGGACCTATACATGTTGCTGGGGTTTGGAGTTTTGCACGCGGCAAGTGCTGCCTTGGTGGATGCCTGCAGGGAGGTTTTGGAGATGGAGAGCAGCGACTTTGAGAATGCGATGAAGCTGTTGACGGGCTTTATTACGGTCAAGGATGAGGATTTCTTGATTGCTACCACGAAGGCTGAGTGGCAGCTTGAGAAGAAGGCGCAGAAGGCGGCGCGATAGATGGCACATGGGAGATGGGAGACTGGACAACGTGGGGAACGAACGGGTAATGGGAAATGAACACACAAAACCAATTAATGTATTCTTAATTGTCCCCCCCCCGGAAACCAAGAACTCGAAAATTACATCAGGATTTTTGGATCGTGCTCAAAGGAGCTTTGATATTGAGTTGAGTGCTACTTTTGTGAGATTGTGGACTTGTCATAATCATGCGTGCTTGTGCCGGTATATATATATATATCTCTTCCATGATGGTTAGAATAGCTATGCAAGCTGAACGGAACTGAACTTGCGGGCTATTAAACATCTTACGACTGACTTTGTGAAACGGGTAGATCGCACAGCAAAGCTAGCCACACATCCTGTAATCAACCAACAAAACCGCTAATTGTGCGGAGTGAAGACAAGATTTGTAGGTTTGCTATGATTACAGATCTGCACGGACGGACATCACATGCTCTCACTTTTTCTAACAACTTGAGATATAACTGTACATGCATGAACCAACCATTCTCCCACCCCCCTAGACACTTATTCACTCACTAACTCACTTGCTTGCTTGCCTTGCCCTGCCTTGCCTTGCCTTGCCTTGCCTTGCCTTGCCTTACTCTGCGTGCCAGAGCAAATTCCAGCCCCCCCTCCCTCACCCCAACTCACACGACAACCTCAAGACTCAGCATCCAGTTATCAAACTCATGATAGAAACTCGGCGCCACGCGGGGCTTCCCCTGCAGCATAGTCTGCAAGTACACCATCGCAACCTCCTCGCGAAACTGCACGCCCTTGGCGACCAACAAGCGGCAAAACAGCAGACTGGCGAGACTACACGCCTTGAGCCAGCGGGCAGCGACGCCGGCGCCAGCGTCACCAGGTCGGCGGACCGCGGCGTGGACGGCGAGTAAGCCTGCTTTGGCGTCTTGGGTGTCGACGACGGGCTGGTTGCGGCCTTTCGCGCCGTCGGCATAGGTCTTGAGAAGGGTGAAGGCTTTGTTGCTGAGCTGGGGGCTGCTCGTGGAGCGGATGCAGCGGAGGAGGGAGGGGATGAGGGCGAGGGCGAGCGGGCTGCTGCGTTCGCGCTTGACGAAGAGGAGGAGGAGGTCGAGGACGCGGTTTTTGAAGTTGAGGACTGTGGCGCGGGCGTCGCGGCGTTGGCGGGCGGGTTTGGCTGTTGGGCCGGCTGCTTTGGCGCGCTGGGCGAAGATGGAGCTGAGGGCGGCGTCGGTGGCGAGCATGGCGTCTGAGTCGAGGGAGGATGCTGAGGAGGCTGGGGATGCGGAGCGTGAGCGGTTGGGGTCGAAGGGGGTTGTGCCGAGGGCGAGGGCGAATTTGCGGTTGAATTCGGCGGCTTCGTCTTCGTTGTCGTCGTCGTCGTCAGAGGCGGAGACGGCGGAGTCGGAGGATTGGGCGTCGTCGTTGTCGGAGAGCATTTCGACATCGGAGGCGGCGGCACCATCGATAGAGGCGGCGTCGGAATCTGAGGCTTCGTCGTCCATGTCGGATGCGTCTTGCTGGAAGAGCTCTTTCTGGCCGCTGACAGTCTCGCTGGTGTCGAGGATGGCGGTCATGGATGCAAGGGACTGGGGGGTTAGGTCTGCCGCAAAGGCAGAGAAGACTTGTTCGGACAGACTGCGTGATAGGGCGGATGGGCGCGCGGCAAAGCTGAGTATGAGCTCGAAGAGCACATCGAATCCATCCGAGGTCGCGTTGGCACCTTCTGTTATAGACTCGTAACACTGTTTAAGTTCGTCCAATATCGATACAGCGTCGGGATCGCCGTTGTACACTTGCAGTACTGACATCGATCCAAGAAGCTTCAACGCATTGAGACTGCTGGCTGAAGCCCCTCCTTTCGCCTTACGGCTCTAGAGCAGGATTAGCAAGTCAAACTGTGGACAGACTTCGGGTGTTTCTCACTTCTTTGTCGATATTTTTCAGCATCTTGTGAGCCTTCTTCAGACTCTTTGTGATATCTTTGCTCGCCTGAAAGATGAACTCCTGTTTCTCATCCTCTGCTGTGCGCGAGATGAATGCAACGAGTTGGAAAGCTATCGTCCCAACATTAGTGACCCCCTGAGAGATCAGATGTGTCAAGCATGACAATGTTCTGTCCTTCAACAGAGAACGGTCAGCATCCACGAGTGGTGGTGACGGCAGATGCTTTGTGGCAGTTTCACTCGGTCGAAAGTACGCAAACTTTGCCAACACTTGAAGGGTCTTGAGATACCACGAGTCCATAGGCTCAACTTCTTCAAAGTCCGGCTTCGTTCGTTGCCGAATGATGTTCAGCAGCAAGTCTCCGGCAATATGGCGTTGTGTTTCAGCCTCTGTTGCTTCCTCTGCAGCCGGCTTTACAATTTTCGACTCCAGAAATTCCGTGGTCTCGGACAAAGTGCCATGGTCTGCATGCTTGAGACAGTTTTCAACGGTCTTGGACTTGGTCACTCTGTCGAAATCCAAAGATCCGTTGTGTGTCATCAATTCAGGTACAATAATGCGGGCAGACTCGGGCTCCCTATGCACTCTTGAGGACACTTCCTTCAGTGCTGATTTTGCAGCGGCGTGTAACATCCTGTCAGGCTCCTGGCACTGGTTGATGATACAACGCATAAGATTGGGACTGAAGATCGCCTTAAGAGATGACACTGGCGCTGTCTTGAGCATGTTCATGAATATCTGTAGACCACAGGACTTTCGTTTAGGTGTCGAAGTATTTGTGAACATGTTCTCTGCGAGAAGGTCAGTGGTAGCCTTTTCGCGCGTATAGAACCCTGAGACCTACGATCTACGATTTGTTTCCAGAACTTTTTGAACTCTACCTCGTCCATGACGCTCAATGCAGACATCAGCACGACGTCCCAGGCGAAGCTAGGTGCAGATCGTGCGTATCCAGATTGGGTCTTCTTTTGACTTCCATTGGCAGAGACTTTTTCGACAGTGTCTTTGAAGTTTTCGCGCATAACTTGAGCTAGTGTGTGTCGCTCCTTGGAGCAGAGGGGATCATTCTCATGCCAAATATTCGGTGGCAATTCGGAATCGCCAAACTTTGACTTATACGCTATCCATATCGCAACACCCTCAGGCGTCTTGAGCATATCATTCGCGTTCATACCTTCCATTAGTTTCTGAATGTACGGGCTCGGGTCCTTCACTTTGTCGAAGTTCTTTGCAGCATCACAGAGCATCAGACCCGCATTTTCGCGAAGATTCGGAGTAGTCTTTGCAATCTCAAACGCATATTCCAATATCGCTGACCAGTGCTCCAAAGAGATGGCCGCGGAGGATTGCAGAATTGCTGAGAGGCCGAACGCTTGGCCTAGAAGAAGAGACTGTTTTTCTTCCTGTATGATCATTAAATGGGCATCCCTTTCCAGTCCCAAGGTATACTAACCTTGTTCTCTCCATCTCCAGTTGGGCTTGTCTGATTTACGACAAAGCGAATGAATTCGCTAAGATTCCAAGGCACTTCAGCCTGCGTAGTTTCCACGGACCCATAAAGTTGTGACACCAATTCCGTCAGAACGAGCGAGAAACCAATGCGGGCAGATTTTCTATTGCTACCCAGTCCTCTCGTCAATCGCCGTAGGACCTTCTCTATGAGTGCGTTATCGTTTTGAGTCTTCGTATCAACTAGTCGTAACAAATCCTTGGCAGCTTTCAGACGTGTCTCTGAATCTTCAGATGCCAGATTGTCAAGTAGATTCGCTAGCTCCGCGTCAGCTTCCGAGTAAACCGACTTCTTCTTCCCTGGCGCTGCTGATCCATTCACAGCTGGCCGGGCTGAAGATTCTGCGTGGCCATTTTGATGGGCTTTCTTTTGTCTTTTCTCCGAAAGATTCCCAGCAGGCTTTTCAGTATCAGCGTTCTGCTTTCTCTTAGTACCCATGGTCGGTCACGGGACAATAAAAGATTGTCTGCTTGTGTTGACGTCGCAAATCTATATCGAAGCTTTTTTTCCACACTAAAACACGAACTACGCTAGAGCATATACGGCTAGTTCATGTATAGGTAGGGTTGACCCCCACGCGCCGCCCCGCGATAGCCCCACTCCAATACTCAAGGCTGCCTCAATTCATATGAATGCCTCCAGCTGCTTCCGGGACACATTCCCCTACCCATCTAATCCTGTACTCTTACCTTCGCAGATACAGACCTCAAAGACCAAGATCAAAATTCCACAGCTATGCCTCCCTCCTCGTCTCTGATAGTACGCAGCAGCCTTACCAAACCGCCATCGAGATGCTTACATCACCCTTCTTAGAACCGACTGAAAGTCCAACTCAAAATGTCCATATCGCGTTTGCGGATGGTTCAACAGAAAGATACTGCACTTGCAAAACAACAACGGCGAGCGCTCTCACAGCTTGTCGAGCAAGGCAAGCTCGAATCGGCACGAATTCGCGTCGAAAACATAATCCGCAGCGACATCACCACCGAACTTCACGAGATTCTTGAACTGTACTGCGAATTGCTACTCGCACGCAGTCAACTACTCGATCCCCCTTCCACATCCACCGCACCCTCCTCACCATCTACATATTGTGACCCAGGTCTTGAAGAGCCAGTACGAAGCCTTATATATGCCGCGCCACGGACTGAGGTAAAGGAATTGCACATGGCACGGAATATATTGATAGAGAAATTCGGAAAGGAGTTTGCTCTGAGTGCTATGGAAGGCGAGGGCGTCGCAGAGCGTGTACTGAAGAAGCTGAAAGTGGAAACGCCAAGCAGAGACCTCGTGGATGCCTATCTGGGCGAGATATGCAAAGCTTATGGAGTGCCCTTCGGCTCAGACAACACCGAGGATGATGGTAATGAGTCGGATGGGGACGGCGGGGGTCAACGAGCGAAGCAGGAAAGCGAGCTGGGTTTAGAACCAGCACTTGAAGCAGAGTCAGGGGCTACGAATACTTCGACCAGCGATAAAAAGGGAGAGGAGGTGGATGAGCTGAAGAAAGCAAAGGCGCCAAAGAGTCTAGGGCCTGGCAGTCCGTTACGCATTGCGCCGTCAAGCCCAAGCTCGGAGAACCCAACACCGCGGATAAGAATGCCAGGACAGACAGGGAAGGAGCCAGTGTCGGCAGTGAAGAAGACTCCAACGGCGGCAGCGAAGAAGAAGGATGATGGGCCGGGCGGGAAGATTCCAGATGTTGATGAGTTGGCGAAGAGGTTTGCAGCGTTGAAACGATGACCTTGACTCACGGCGTGGTCTAGTCTACGTACCCCGAATGGTACAACACGTTCGGCCGTAGCCATACTATTTTGCAACCAACGAAGCAATAACTATGGCCGGAATAACTGTGCAGGACCATACCAAACTCTGGCCGATTTCATCTATCTCATAGTCCTGTATTACATGTTTGTAATGGAGGCCAACCCCAGTGTCCCCTGGACTTTCAGGTCAACACCTAGTTGCTAACGTCTTTCCCCACGCACTATCAACTATTGCTGTCTTTGATACCAGGGAGTATGTCAGCTGTGCGCATGCATCGCTGGAAAAATGCTACATTGTGTATATCAGATTAGAATTCACATCATTCCGTGGCTATATGATGTCATGGCTCGTAGGGGTACACCCCCTCAGGGTCCTTCTACGACCTCAAAACGTCTGTAATAGCTTTCTGTGGTGAACACAGAGAGTACCACAAACAAATTTGAAATCACTGAGGTGTTGAGAAGTGCGGTCGTCAACATCGAGAATAGTGAACGTAGGTGACCAGTGTCATTCGCATTGTTGACAAAAGACCTCGAGGGTGCCTCAGGCCAGGCACCCCCTACCAGCTGACTCGGGAGGCACCTGCAGCTCCACTACGTACGTTCCACCTTGTCTTTCCAGCGTTTTGACACATTTCTCCATTCACTTCTCCACATCATCGCTGGCAAGCTTGCTCTGACAAATCCGTCTTTGTCTTTCTTTCATCGATGTGACGCTGCACTCCTCGGTTGCGCTATATTCTCCGCCGCCTCACCCTCGCCTCGAAACTTAGCATCAACACTCACCCCACCACAGTACTCTGTTCTACATTGTCCACTGCCTGACAGTACCTCCCTTCTTTGTTCCGCCGGTTTCATTTCATCGACAAGTACCCAACAGCTCGGTCTCGCCCGGCTCCGGACGAGCACGAGCCACAAGCCGCATTCAAGACGACGTCTCACGGCCAGAAACGCAAGGCGCCATCTGACACCGATTCTACCGCACATCTCATAAAGAAGAGGTCTAGTAAGCTGGACAGTGTCAGGGACACAGATATCGTGAAGAGCGCGGGCACTGCGGAGCTGCCAGCTACGCCTCAGACCACAGGTTCCGGCATGGATTCGGACGATGACATGCGTAGTGTACAGAGTAGTGACGACGATTTTATGGATGGGGGCGATAGCCCGTTTAGCGTTGATGATGATGACGGTATGTTCTAGACTTTACTGTTCTTCGACATCAAGGATCTGACTTTACTGGGCAGACTCAGATATAGATCTGGATGACGGCATCGGCTTTGAAGCCCAAGACAAGGACATATATCCAGCCAAGAAATCCTATGAGGTCGACTTTGATGTATTCGGTCCTGAGCAGATTCAGGCGCACCAGGACAGGCAGGTTGAGGAAGTCTCAAATATCCTGGGACAACCTACAGAATCCACAGCTATACTCCTCCGATACGCAAAATGGAACAAAGAACGATTGATAGAATCCTACATGGATAGACAAGATGAAGTACTGGAAGCCGTTGGGCTCGGTTCGGATGCCAATGTTCCCAGGAAAATTACAAAAGTCAAGGGATTCATATGTGACATATGTTGCGAAGATGACGCCGATTTGGACACTTTCGCTATGAAATGTGGGCATCGCTTTTGTGTAGACTGCTATAAACAATATTTGTCGCAAAAGATCAAAGAGGAGGGAGAGGCAGCGCGCATCAAATGCCCTGGAGATGGCTGCAATCGCACAGTCGATTCAAAGTCGCTAGACCTTCTTGTCGGCCATGACTTGCACGCTAGGTCTGTTACACAGGCTCCTCCGTATCGTGTCACACTAATCATTTTAGGTACCACGAACTTCTCACCCGCACCTATGTCGACGACAAGGATAATCTGAAGTGGTGTCCGGCCCCGAACTGTGTATACGCCATAGACTGCAAAGTCAAGGCGCGAGACCTGATGCGAATAGTGCCGACCGTCCTCTGCAAATGCGGCCATCCCTTTTGCTTCGGCTGTACTCTCGCTGACCATCAACCTGCACCTTGCGCGCTTGTCAAGAAGTGGCTCAAGAAGTGTGAAGACGATTCCGAGACGGCAAATTGGATATCGGCAAACACAAAAGAATGCCCCAAATGCGGCTCCACGATCGAGAAGAATGGTGGTTGCAACCACATGACGTGCCGGAAATGCCGCCACGAGTTCTGCTGGATGTGCATGGGGATCTGGTCCGAGCACGGAACCAGCTGGTACAACTGCAACCGTTTTGAAGAAAAGTCCGGCCACGACGCCCGTGATGCACAGGCCAAGTCCCGTCAGTCGCTTGAGCGCTACTTGCACTACTACAATCGCTATGCAAACCATGAGCAGTCGGCAAAACTTGACAAGGACATCTACCTCAAGACGGAGAAGAAGATGACACAGTTGCAGGTTACAGCCAGCATGTCGTGGATCGAAGTGCAGTTTCTCGAGAGTGCAAGTCAGGCCCTGCAGCAGTGCCGGCAGACGCTGAAGTGGACGTATGCGTTCGCCTATTACCTTGCGCGCAACAACCAGACGGAAATCTTCGAGGATAACCAGAAGGACCTCGAGATGGCGGTGGAGAATCTGTCGGAGATGTTTGAGAAGAGCGTCGACCAGTTAGCCGGGCTGAAGGTCGACATGTTGGACAAGACGAGCTATTGCAACCGCAGACGGGTCATTCTATTGGAGCACACGGCAAATGATCTCAAGGCTGGTGAGTGCTATCGTGCTATGGGGTCTTCTGTTCGTATACTAACTATCGTCAGGCAATTGGGAATTCAATGTTACGCTGACATGATGAAGCCGATTTCCTCCCATCCTAGCCACTCTGGCTTCAGCAAGGAGTTTTGGTATCTTACTACAACTTTCATCTCGCCTCACTTATTATGCTCTGTTTTCTTTTTGTTAAAGGAGTATTTACTCTTGCATGTCCGGAGCTCTATGATTTTTTTTGTGCACGGGATCATGGGGATGGCTGGGAAGCTTGCATTACACGAACCAGACCTCGATCGGGGGAGTCCGGTGGGACTACGATGGTCTGACTTGCATTTTTTATCTTTCGACTGCGGAGCGTGTGGGATAGTCAAACGGCACAGTATTGTTCGGTCCGGAAGCGAATAGGGGTCGGGGAGCAGTATATGCTAGCATTAGTAGCGTCAGACAGACCGCAATGAGACAGACAGAAGACAGTCAGACAGCCAGACGACAGACAGACAATCATTTCGTGATTATTTCGTGAAAGTAGCTAAGAACGCACGTAAATCGGAACGAAGTTCAAATGCGTCACCATGAGCTTAATTGTGTAACATGGTTTATGTTTTCCTATGCTCGACATTAAGTCATTATTCTACCTTATTCTACCATATTCTACTTTATTCTAGCTTATACTACCTCCTCTTCTATCTTATTCTATCTTATTTAATTCTATTTTATCAAAGAAATAGTACTTAAGTCTATAATAAGATACTTTAATACTATATATATACTCAATCTAGGCTGAAGATTATTCTAGATATGACTTGAGATATATTTTAAAGATAATTTCTATCTAGAGATAGACTATCTATTGTACTATTATATAAAGAGAGAATATATATATGAATATGAAGAGAGAGATATGTAGAGAGGGAAGAGAAAAGGTTAATGAAGATAAGTATGGTTTTTCAGGCGAGGTCTCGGTAAGGAAAAAGTGTGGCCCTTAGACACATACCGTCCACGGTATCATCCTTCATTCTGAGCATTACTTCTTCTTTTTAAGCTTTCGCTTAAGCTTCTGCCTTACAAATCTTCCGATAGAAGGGTCGCTATAATGGAGAATCGAAACATTGGACCCGACGATATCATATTGAAAGAGATCTTCACGATTGACTTGCCAACAAAAACCACAGTCATTTTACAGGACTGGAATAAATGCGTGCTCAAGGCCGAATTTTCCAACGGCATCGAACCATGTATTGTCCGACTTGAGAGAGTAGCTGGTGAGTCCCGGATGTTTCCCATGATCGCTGCCCTGCAACAAGTCGCCGCGATGGTCATTCCCCATCTCGTGCCTCGTACGCTTCAGTTCGGCAAGGCCATGAATGCAGAGAAAGACGAGTTCCACTTCTCAGTAGTTGAGTTTATACGTGGTAGCACACTGGAAGAAGTATGGGGTACACTGAGTGAGGAAGAGCGGATTTCGGTGGTGGAAGAGCTTGGCGCAGCCCTGGAGAAGTTGCACTCCGTGCGGCCCGGGGATGATAACGTTCGGAGAGTCCTTCAGGACATGACATCCATTAACATGGAGGGGTTGGGTCCTCTCGAGCAGGCCGGGGTTTTCGGTGGTCCTGAACTTGGCTTCTTCCAAGATGGGCCTTCTCTGCTAGAAGCGATCGAGAAAAGTCGACGACGCAAAACACCGGCTTGTACCCTTACGACTGGCGACATCTCGTCTGGGACCACGATCTTATCTCACTTCGACGAGATCGGAACAGCTACTGTAAACACATCTGACATGGAGACGTGGAAGTCAGAAGCTGTGCTTTGTCACAACGACCTTACGCCTCGTAACCTCATTCTTCGATCATGCACCTCTCCTACCGGTGAGGTTCGCTATAAACTGGCTGGTATTATCGATTGGGAGTTTTCTGGATTCTTTCCCGCCTCATACGAGCTCAGTCTACAAGACACATACTTTCCAACAGCTAATCGACACGTGTCTTACTATCTATTACTCAAAGAGCACTTGGGAAAGTTGACACCGCGAAGCTCTTCGCACACCACGCTCTCGAAGGCCATGGACCTCATCTACGAGTCTCAGCAGAGATCTTTGGTGGAAGGCAACAAGATCCCTGCGAAAATTCGCAAGAGGTTTCTTGAGACTCTGAAAATGGTCAAAGATGAAGATCCATATGTTGGTTGGCGCAGGTCTAGTCAAGAGACACCGTTCGAGGAACTCTCACAAGCGGAGTTTGTAAAATTAGAGAATGATGTGATTGAGGAGGTAGTTACTAAGAGAAAGGCGAGCGCGGGGACTACTTGAGATATCAGATATTTTTGGAGGGAAGAACCTCATAGACGAGCATTAATCGTGCCTTCATCGTACCCAATGTCATGCGCCGAGAAGGGATCGTGCGAGTTGTACGGCGCTTATAATACCACCCCGGAATTTGGGGCTATTAGAATGGCTCAGCTAATTCTAGGCAGGCTATGGCAACTGATGCTTCGGAAATGAAATGGCTTAGCGGCTTCGATAAGGAATTACGAGACTGGACCTAAGTTACTTGACTAACGCTAAGATTACAAATGAATCGTGTGGTCGAGGTTCACAATGCCTAATACGTCGTTCTAGCAGGTCTCTAGTTGTCAGCTAACCATTCATGAGTTCTGGTTATACTCGCCCTCCTTGCCATCGCTGCTAGAAGAGGGTAGAGTAATTAGTCATATTTCTAAAAAAAAAAATAATAGAATTAAGCCTAGTAAAGGCTTAACACAGATAATATAGAATAAATTATATATAGAAAAATAATAGATTCAAGAATATAGTAGAGCTATATAGATTATAATCTATAAAAGTTAAAAGAAGTTATATTATCTAGAAGCTTAAGTCTATAAAGAGTTAAGTTAAGTATATAATACTAATAAGTAGTATAATAGAGAGAGTAGTTCTTTCTATAGATATAAGTATCCAGAGAGATAGAAACCGTAGCTATAATAAGATAATGCTAGAGATTTGTAACACTGCGTTGATTGGATATAGAGACAAGTGAATTTAGGGAGAAAAGTGGACGAACCTGATAAGATGTTAGAAATGATACAGGGCGAGGGCTATTGTTTATATATCTATGCGTAGGTTTGGTCGCGTCTATTATTCAAGACGCCTCGCTGTGAGAGATGCTTGAGCGCGTCGAGCCACCCGCTAGGGCATGAATATTCGAAACATCTCCAGCACAAATAGGTATAGAGATATAAGACCTTAATTCAGATCTTTGGCTCCGCTCTTCGCTCTGTTTACATGACATGTGGATGGTAAGGGGCTGAAGTCGCCCGGGTCTCTTTCCGTGGCATTTCCTGGCGTGACGTAAGCTAAGATCCATCGTAATAGTTGAACCAAGCGCACTCCAATCCATTGTTTCCCATCCACCATCGCCTCCAATCATATAGGCCCACACGATATTCGACATGACAGCATCACGATTAACCCCGCCGAATCACACTCTAGAGAAGGACGACCCACGATCGACTCCGCAAAATGCAAACCCTCGAGATACTCGACTACGGCGACCCTGTAAACTCGAGCGATGAGGAAGAAGTCGACGACCTCGAGGAGAATGCCGAACCTCTCATACTATACTTCCAGCCGCCCTTCTACTACCCAATCTGCATCGGCAACACCCTGGCCCAGAGATACCGCATCGAGCACAAACTCGGCCACGGCGGCTTCTCGACCGTGTGGATGGCGCACGACGTCCTGACAAACACGGACGTCGCCCTCAAGATCACGACGCTCGCCAGAGACGAGATCGATCGTGAAGGAAATATGCATGATGAGATCCGCCGGCGTGTCCAGGACACGTCTAATCTCCTCCTCGCTCATCAAGATGCCTCGTTCTCGCTCCCGAGCTCCCCTGGCGGCGATGGATTTCATCGAGTTTACGTGTTTCCCCTGCGTGGGCCAAGTCTGCATTCTTGCTTCGCTGTCATGTCTATGGCTGAGCGCATGGCTGCCGCGAAACAGCTGCTCGAAGCCCTAAAACGCCTTCACGACGCTGGTATCGTGCATCGAGGTCCGCCTTCCCCTGTGTTCACCAGAATCTACCCCCGCGCTCACCACACTCCCAGATCTCAACGACAAAAACGTCCTATGCGGCATCACACCCCTCGACACCCTCCCCACCACAACAAAATACACCCTCCTCACCCGGCCTAAAAAGATCCGCCTGCGAACCCCGTCAGGCCTCCTCGGCAACCTCGTCCGTCCCGTCATCGTCCCGCCCACCCACATCAACACCCGCTCAATCTCCCTCTGCGACTTCGGCCTCGCTGCCACAACCCCTGTGTCCAGCTCCACCCCCCAAGGCCCCGGCGCGTGGTGCGCGCCCGAACGCCTGCACGGCTACGCTGCTACCCGCGCCAGCGACATGTGGAGCTACACCTGCATTCTCGCGAAGCTGTATATTGGGGAACTACCGTGGTCTATCTACGGCGAGGCGCCGCGCGGGTTTGTGCGTGCGCTGGGGCCGCTGCCGGGGGAGTGGGCGGGGAGGTATTGGAGGCCTGGGTGGGAGGCGGCGAAGTGGTATGATGCCGCGTTGCTGCGGCCGGAGGTGGAGCCGGAGGCTATGTTGGGGGCGGTGCTGGCGAGGGCGAGGGGGGATGTTGAAGAGGAGAAGGAGGAGGAGGAGGAGAGGAGGCGGGTTGTGGAGCGGGTGTTGCGGAGGGGGTTTTGTTATGATGCTGCGCGGCGGATTACGGCGGCGGAGTTGCTGGGGGATGGGGAGTTTTGGGGGGTGTTTGGGCTGTGATTGGTTGTGTTGTTGGTATATTATTAGCATGTAGGACTAGGAGTCTTGTTCTAGTATATCAGACCAGCTAACCCTCTATACTCTACAGCAATGAGAAAGAAAAGGTCTAATATCTCTATATATATAAGCGCTCCTACTATAGTAGATGGATGTCTTAGGTTACCCCCCCCCGAAAAAAAAAATCCCTTAACTAACCTAAATCAAGCGTAGATACACGTATATAATATAATATAACATGGCATAATCGAGCGCTAAACATACCTATATAGTAGAGTAAAAACACTCTACTACTAAGAAGAAGAAGAAGAGAAAGGGAGAGAGAGAGAAAGGGAGAGAGAGAGAAAGGGAGAGAGAGAGAAAGGGAGAGAGAGAGAAAGGGAGAGAGAGAGAAAGGGAGAGA